TACGCGCTTGATCCTACCGACGGGCACAACATTGCAGCTACCAAGGGCAATGTTGCCTCCGCGATGAACTGGCTGCTGGCAACCACGAGCTCAATTAACGACCTCTGTCCTCGTCATTTTGTTTTCACTGTTGCACGCAACATGCACCGACCATCATTGTTTCGCAACACTATTTGTTCGAACAGGACTGGGCAGCTTCTGGTCATCCCATTACCAGATCATCACAGTCCTACAATCGTGGGACGTTGCCACAGGCAGGCAAGGCTGACAGAATCGACTCGAGACCTTTGTTGGCGCTCGGATACGTTGGATCACGACAACAGAGATGGTTTGCATGCGTTTTTGTTGTGCCGTGATGATGGTTGTTTGCTCCGCCGTCTGCAACATTTCTTGACAGAGGCTGGCGAGCTTCATATTTCGGGCTGGTCGGCGGCACAGCTGCACACATCTTCAACACAAAGTGCGACATGAACAGCGTAAGTTTAGACAGCGCTGGTGTCATGATACTACTCATTTCACGTTCTTTGGCAACGTGATTTGGTCTGGTCTTCTTCAATCCACATAGTCCATCAAGATGACTCTCATAGTCTTCTGCATTAGAACGATTACGTCTCCGGAAGAGGCTACGCCCAGGTAAGACCGTCGTGTTCTGTTGTCACACACCAGTTGTCATTTGCCTTCAATACGATCGTCGTTCGCAACTTTTAGCAACATGCAGAGAATCTGGACACAAGAACATGATTTTTTTGCCACGAATCTCTTGATCCGACTCCATTTCCTGCTGTTCGCACCTTGCCATTGCCGTACACAACAAACGGTCCTTCTCCCTGTCATCTCGAAAGATCTGAATTCACTCTCAGGCATCGAAGCAATCACAAAGCCAGTGTGGAGCGTGAATAAATCAGTTCGTCAACACACTGCCGCTGACAACACTTTTGAATCAAACATTCCATCTCTTGATAGCATTGCATTGAAAGGACACACAGATGACCTCAGACTTCCATTAGTTGGGGAGAAATCGCTGGCCAACGTTCTGATTGTCGCGTGGCAATTGGAATCCCTTCACGGATGCTGACAGGGCGGTCGCATACGGAAGCGATGCTTGACGATGCATGTTGCACCTGTTGGCCGTCGCTGGAACTCATGCAGTGCACAATCGAGTACAGCCATGGCTTGGAAAGACGCTTCCGATTCCGAGCAGATACGTTTGATCACTAAGCAACAATACCGCAAGGTCGCCCGTCGTCCGTCTTCGATCGCGAGGATCAGTCGACTGATCCTTTGTCCATGGGCGTACTGCGCCAGATAGTAAGCCGTAAAGCAGTCACAGGACTTTTGTGACCTTATAGCGGGCCACAGTCCGCTCTGAAGAACCATGACCAAGCCTAGCGCCCCCAGTTCTAGGCTGAGCCTTACACTCAGCGCACCTACATCTGCAGTGACAGTATGTGCTGTCTCAGCTACAGCAAGTTTGAGCAACAAAATGTATTCTGGAAGGCTGCGCTCGAACTGCCTGCAGTGGCTCTTGTATCAAGCTGGAATGCAACGTGACATATCGTCGCGAAAGTCCTGGACAGGTCTGGAATCGCGCCATTGTAGTAAGAAACGATCGACGACCATGCAGTGCTCAACAATGTCTCGGGTCATGTGTATTGAGGCCGACTCGCAAGCACGAACCTTCGATGGTCAAGACGCATAGAGTTCAGTACTATCCATTTTCAGGCCTATTGGAGCCCAGACCCAGGACAGACACAGCGCTAGCATTTACGCTCATCCCAGTCAGGACTTAAGACTTGAAGCTTATTTCAGCACCTCCTTTGTGGTACTGTCCAGAACAGTAATGTCGGATCTTTTCTTACAGCGTTCTTGTCGTCTCAGATACAACAACCAAGTATGTGCCCTAGCCCCGCGCTCATCTACCGCTTGTGTTTTGTGCCATAAAACCGAACACATCTCATTGCGATGTGAAAGAAGTTGCTTGCTTTTCTCGACAGATGTGTTTTCGCTGATTCACTCTCGCAGATGTTTTTTGACAACTTAAGGCCGGCGACGTTGCGACTCTAGCCGAAGCTCATGCTGTCATGCGGCGGCAAAGCCCTTCCATTCACAGCGCAGGACAATGCAGCAAAACCCAACAGAAGTAGATTCAGATCGTACAGCAGCCTGCTATAGCTACTGATCAATTCGAAGAGAGACGAGCTCGGAACGGCTATACGTCGCTCCTTGTGTCTAAATCGACATCCATCAGCTTGGTACAAATTGTCTCTCAGTATCACAAAGAAGTATTAACATCAGGCGTGACGCAAGAGGCATGGCAAAGGGCATTTGTGTGAGGAGCATAGCTGGTGTAGAGTAGCCGCCAAGTTGGGAAGCAGTGGGGGTAGAAGCTGTGAAGGAAAAATCTGTCCTACTGATAAATAATGATCTCGAGCTGAAGATATGGGCTGAGTGCGTCATTTCATATAAGAACAGTATCGCGCTTTCCTTGTGCTTCGGGGCAGCACCTTTTCCCAAGCCACGCACCCCACGTGACTTTCCGCATTTCAATCTCATACAGACTACATGGCATAATACACGGGGTCAGGTAGGTATCAGACACCTGCTTCACCATAAAGGCTGCTTGAGTCCTACCTAAGTCACAGTGTTAGATTGCTCTGATCAGTCACAGCTACACCTCAAATCAAGATAATGCTAGATAACACATAGACATAGACTTAGAAGGGTTGTAGTAGGGAGTAGATTCCTCAAGGTGACAAGTTAGATAACATACTGATATATAGACTGAATAGCCTGAATGTCTATCTATTTGAGCTGTCTATCTAAGATATCTGTCTTATACCTATCTGAGGCACTTTTCTAGGGATACAAGGGGAATAAGATCTTGAGAAGCAAGGAGAAACAGACAGCATTACAAAAGATTGTAAAGTACGAATTCTATATCCGCCAATCAGTGACCCTTGATTGTAGTCACGTGGGGTGCGTGGCTTGAAAAAAGGTGCTGCCCCAAAGTACGAGGTCGCGCTTTGTCGTGAAAAGATCATGAAAGGAGAATAGCACGCAACGTCGCGGTTGTACGAGTATCAAGCGTAAGCTAGACACCGAAGAGCGACTGGCGGATGACGGCGACGACAATCGGCTGCGGGGAGCGAGAGCAGGACGTCGAAACCGGTGATGAGGAGCGTAATTTGCCTCGGTGCAGCATCCATCTGGCAGCAAAGCATAGATTTTAGGCATCTACTGGACTCCCTGGACGACATGTGCTGCAGACAGATCCAGTGGCTGGATTCTCCAAAAGGGACAGTGTCTGGGACGCAATGACGTCTTGTCTTAGCAAGAACAAATCTCTGGGAACAGCACCGAGCTTCTGGGAGCCGAGAGAGCCTGCGGTCAGTTGCTGGTATACACTTGTGATGGCGGACAATTGCAGACAAAAACGTAGTCCTGCAGTAGTGGTGGACGTAATCATGAGTGTCATGTTGGGTGCCATGCTGAGTGTCATCGTAGACGCGATCGAATGCCCTTCCCCAAGCACCATCAATGAAAGATGCTGTCCGGAGGGGGATTAGCAAACATGTGTCCGTAGCTGGCGACTGCTGCTACAGCTGGCAGCGAGCTTGCGGAAAAGACGTTATTTCGTTGTCGAACAGGGACGTTGAGACACTGCTGCCCAACGATAGTATCTGGCGGCATCAAGCTGTAGGACTGTGTCTGCTTCCGAGTAAAGAAGGAAGCTAGGATGATGAGGAGACTTCCTTGGAAAGAGAAGCGAAGCTGAAGAAGACTGACCGTTTGGATGTGGATGTGTGATCTTGTTCCTCAATATGTGCTGGACTGTATCGCTGTTCGACCATGGTTAGTAAGAGTGACGGCGGCCATGTAGTCGTTGAGGATTTGTTGTTCCTCCTGCGCTTGGTCCGATAAGTGATGCATGCGAAGAGGTGTTACAGAGTACCTCGTGTCTCCGTGCAGCATACGTTTGGCAGCAAATCAGGTATGTCATTTAAGAGATATACAGCATTGTTAAGCCGCGGTCGACGACAGGCGTGGGCGGTGATGGGTATCGTTTGATGAGAAGGTGAACTCTAGCAATGCCCCATGAGTGGAGCCAAACATACTCTGACGACAGTGAAGTGATGGAGTGAGACGGAAACGAAAGCATTAAGGCCATGGTGGTGGATCCTGGGGTGTTGAGAGCTCAAGAAAGAGCGATCAGGCGATTAGAGCCGTGATTCTCTTCCTCTGAGCTTGATGTTTCGCCAGTATAGAGTGAATTGACGCGGAAGACGATAAAAGCAACGGCGAGACGGAGTAATCGGCTTCTTCGTTGCAACAGATGCAACAAATTCACGGATGATAGGCTCAGATGGTATCTGTAAACAGTCGATTGGTCATACATTGAGCAGTGTACCTTTGCTTAGGTGGTCACAGATACCCTTAGAGACGAGTCACAGCACGAGGCAGAACGACAATAATGTGTGTCGGTCACAGATACCCTTAGAGACGAGTCACAGCACGAGGCAGAACGACAATAATGTGTGTCGGAATTATAGATGGCATCAACACAGGCTAAAGAGACGAGTAGGAGACACGGACGGGAAGTGGTAAGAGTGCTGGCATCTTGGGACATCACCTGAATGGCGGGATCTGGTCCTGGCTATCTGGTGTGACAGCGAAAGGTTGAAGAGTTGGGTAACGGACTCGCAGGCGTGAGAAGATGATAAGCTTTGCAAGGGGTGAGGCCTCAATAAAAAGCGCGATGCTGATATCCTTGCTAGAAAGAACAACCTCAATGCCGGTATGCCTCATCGCCTTGCTGGCAACAACAAGCAGCGCGCCACTGAACCCGGTCCCATCGAGAGCAATGACAACCGGCAGTTTTGGTCACGAGTCGACAGTTGCGCAGATGGAAGCGAGCTCTTACCGCAATGGGTAATTGGAATCTCATACACTCTGCATGTAATAGCTGTCGTCTTTGGCTGACCTGGGTTCCTTGATAGGCATCACTTATACCACATTCCCGGTGGACAAGCCCCTTCTCCGTACATCCCCGCACCCCATCCCTCCTTCACAGTTATCCGGTTCGCAACCCACATCTCCTTGTCGTCCTGACTCATGCTATCAAAGACCTTCTTCTCACTTCTCGCCTTGGCACGATCTTTGTCATCCGCCAGAGTGTCGTTGATTCTCTCGGTAAGGTTTTGCTCGTAGAACATGACAGCCTCAAGACGGCGTCGCGTGAGCTCCAACTCCTTTTTGCTGGAGGCACTGGAGGCGGAGTGGTGCTTGAAGCGGTCGGTGAGCTTGGCAAGCGATGAGCGACGGGGTGCAGCGCTGGTGGACGGTTCTTCCTCGTGAACAGAAGAGGCTGCTGGTTGAGGAGTCGTCTCCACCAGAAGATCGTGGTTCTTCTCTGCCATCGCGCCGCTCGGTGACTGTACTTGTCGTGATTTGTCGAACGTCTCATGCTCAACAATGTCAATATGTAGGATGCCAATCATCATATACAAAAATCTGGCGTCGTGGAGAGAACGATCGACAGCTAAAATTAGCGTTCTTCCCCAGATACAAAGGTTAGAAGACGCCATCGGTGATCTCCAACTCCACACAGAGCCGCGTAACACTCTCTGCTTCACAAACCAGCAATTCTTTCAAGCACGTGTACTCCGCTGAAAAGCTCATTTGCTCCTTGCTGCACTCTTCTCGGACTCGACTTGAGCCGGACGATGGTGAGTAAGGCGGAGTATGAGAACTCAATACGTCACAAAGTCAATTGTTGCATTCCAGGTGACTCTCCTGTTGTAGCAGAAGGCCGCTGGTGGAGCACTGTAAACAGGACATAGCCTGGTCCCAGGTGGTCCTTTCTGCTTCTCCTGACCGAGAAATTGGGACGGAGTCTGCTTGTTGACCAAGGTTGGTCTAGGGGTGGACTGCGTCAGCGCTCTTCTGCTTGATGCAGATACCGGGATCGTTCCGTTGGGGTACGGTGGAGTCATTGACCATTGTGCAGCACGACCATATGCTATCTCTCAGCTACTCTGCCTCCCCTTCTCCCTTCTACCTCAAGCCTTGATCAGCTATGGCCATGTTCCTTCGTAGCCTCTGCGTGGGTTTTCTCAACAGTGGCGTCTGCCAAGCCCGAAGCTTGGCTTCGCACGGAACTACATATCCGGCCGAGCATGCCAACGTCACAGTCGACCACTTCGAGATTGATAGCGATGGGAAGTCACTTGCTTCTTCAACATGGTCTAGATGACACATTGATCTGTAGCCGAACCACGTCTGACTGGTAGTCCACGCCGATGACAGAGCACCACAGCCCTTGACAGGCGCCCTTCCGGCCGTGTCACTGTACATGCCTGAGTCCTCCAGTTACGACAGTCAGTCTTGACATTCTCAACAGTCGGAAATAGATATCGCCATGCGATCGCGGCGTGATAGAATTGTCAAATAGGCAAGACGAAGGTCAGTCAAGGCCGTCTATGTGGTCTTCCCAATGCCCGAGAGCTAGAGGTTCCTAAAGGCAAGGCGCGATACCTTCAAGACTCTCTGGCATTCATTCAGACAGCAGTCTACGATCCATAATTTCTAGAATTCTACAATCTACTGCGGCGCATAGCGAGTCCACTAATCCTGTGGCATGTAAGTCATTGTCCCAGTGGTCTTGCAGAAGGTGCAAGTCAGTCGTCAAGTTGCAGAACATCCTTACTTGAAGTCGACCTCCTACGAACTGCACGCATCCCAGATACATCCGCAAGAGACTTGATGTGCCGAGTATGCTTCCTCGAGAGAGTCGTGGAAGATGTATATGCACCCCTCACGTGATATAAGTGTATACGAAGCTGCACGCCTTACTACAACACCAAAACCCTCACATATGAAGCTGCACTCCTGCCGTGCTCCAGCATCATCAACTTCGTGTCCCCCTCAACAAGATGAAGTACAAGCGTATGGCCATCGAGATCGAGGCGCCGGAAGAGTCTGGCGCCCACATTCAATATAACCTGAGTGAAAGTTCCACCACCGACCGAACGCTGCATTCACTTGGCCTGCAGCTCCCGGACCTCACACTACTATACACCGAGCACCGTGGAACAACACGCTTGCGCCAACTCATCGTCGAGGGTACCACGCTTCAACCAGATGATGTGCTCGTCACGGCTGGTGCCGCCGGCGCTTTGTTCATCATCGCTACATCTCAGCTGTCAGCGGGTGACCACTTACTTGTCATGCGACCCAACTATGCATCAAATCTGGAGACTCCTAGGGCCACCGGCTGCGATATCTCCTTCATCGACCTGCAGATGGAGGATAAATACCAACCCAACCTCGCAGACATCGAAGCAGCGATCAGACCCAACACCAAGCTCATATCGATCACGTGCCCCCACAACCCGACCGGGACCAACATCTCGCTCCAGTCTCTGAAGGACATCGTGGCCTTGGCGAAGCGAAAAGGCTGTCTGCTTCTCGTGGACGAGACCTACCACGAGATCCACTACGGCCATCAGCTTCCCATTGCAGCATCCCTCGGTAACCATGTGATCAGCGTCTCGTCCATGAGTAAGTCCTGGGGCTTGCCCGGCATCAGAATTGGATGGTTAATCACTCAAAACAAGGACCTCCAGACGACATTCCTTGCCGCTAAGGAACAGATCAGCATCAGTGGAAGTGTGATAGACGAATGGATTGCAGAGCAGATCTTGTCGCGGAAGGCCGAGTTGATTCCCGCAGCAAACAAGGAAATGGCCGAACGACGCAGCATCGTCGAAGCGTGGGTGGAGGAAGAGCCGTTGGTTGAATGGGTGAAACCTGTCGGAGGAGCTGTCTGCTTCCCCCGGATGAAGGAAGAGCCAATTGGTGGTACGGCTGCGTTCTACGATCGTCTTCTTCAGAAATACAGCACCTACGTTGGGTTGGGACATTGGTTTGAGCGACCGGACACGCATTTCAGGATCGGTTTCGGATGGCCATCGCAGGAGGAGCTGAGACAAGGATTAGAGAATATCTCGAAGGCTCTGCGAGATCAATGAGTGCGCCACCGCGGCGGAGAGCCGAAGCGAATTTCGGAAAGTTCCACGGGTATGCCGACGTTCCGCCAAGAGACCGACAAGACTTGCGAGACAGAGCGGATGAGGTCTTGAAGACTGTTCACGCTCCGAGAGCGCTCATCGATGGCATAGTTCTCATTTGAGATTGCAATCAACAGATGCTTCTGTGCATCAGTGAGATAGAAAAATCCACAGTTCTCATGGACTGGGTATCGGATTCTGTAGCCCGTCTCTGCTCTGGACAAACACTCTTCATCAGTGTATACATAAACACTTGTACACACCAAAACATCATACAGTTCCTTCCTCTATCAGCCAAAAATTCCGCTCGTGTCGATTCTGGGTATCATTCGTGTCTGAGCATCCACAAAAATTGCCTCAGCTTCAGTTCCATCCTTTTCAACTTCCTCTTCGACCTCCAGGATGCTTTGTATCCTGGGCTCCGTTACAACATTGTTTCCTGGGCTAGGCGTCGAATATTCGTCCCTGGGATCTGTAAGAACGCTGTCGCTCCTCACGGTCGAGCTCGACGAGTCCAGGTCAGGCACCGAAGATATTGCTGACACATTTGATGCCCGTGCACAAAGCGAATGCGGCGAATCTGCGGTTAGACCTGCATTATCGCTCTCGCAGTTGTGTTGCGGCTTCTCTTCTTCCGGCGACGATTGGGTCTCAGATGCCTGACTGTCCTCGTCGGATGCTGGTGATGACGATCGTCCGACGTCCTCATCATTCTCCTCGTCTTCGGGCTGTGGACTCGGCGCATCCAGCTCATTTCTCCTCTCTGCGAGGTCCTGAATTGCTGCGAGACATTGCTGATTGATCTTCCTCACAGTAGCAGCAACAGCGCCGACTTTGTCTCTTAGGCTTGGCTCCTCTTCTGCCATCTCGACTTGAGCTAAGGGACTGCCACTCCGGGAAGGCGAGAAGTGGGCTGCAAAGGGCGATGCTAGGGGCGAGAGCGGATTGGAGAGCTCCATCGTGCCGCTTCGACTGCGCGGGAGTACCATCGAAGAGCGAGGATTCATGCCCGGGCTCGTCGGTATTGGACCTCCGGGCATCGTCTGGAACGAGCGCCGCCTACTGGCACGGCTTTCTGTCCTTGAGGTTGGCCGGCTTTGTGGTGCCAGCAGACTGGCCAGCACACGCTCGATATATGCGATCTGTCCGCTGATCAAGCTTGTGAGATGGATCACTGCTCGATGCGCCTCGTCGCGCTCCTGTGAGACCGATTCGAACCTGGACTCGAATTGCTTTGCCATATCTCTTGACCGTTCGATCTCCTCGATCAACTCTTGCTGCATGGCTAGCGTCTGATTGGCGTCTTTCAGCTCGCTCTGCAGCTCCGATACGTGATTCGACAACTGCTTCGCGTGAACCGTCTTATCCTGGAGGTCGCTCTCTGTCTTCGCGTTGTCCTTCTTTTGCTGATTCACCACCTTCTGCAGCTGTCGTGTGTCCTCTATGAGTTGTTCTGTGCACTCGCTCAGATCGGCGAATTCCTTCTTCGACTCCGCAACAGAAGATTCGAGCTGTGACTCGCGCTTGAGCAATTCGCTGACTTTGACATCAGTACGTCGTTTGATCTTGATGTAGGAATCCCAGGCGTCGATGCTGTTCCGAGCAAAATGGTTCCGATCATGGATCATCTTGTTCAGGTCTGTGACGTTCACCTTGATGGACTGCTTCCGGACACTGTCGAGTGCGGAAAGGAGTTTGTAGTTTTGTCGCTGTGGCGAAGGTCAGTACAAGAGACAACGCAAAGGGTCAAATCGACTCACAATGCGCTTGCACACATGCTGAATAGCTGTCTGGACTCTAGCGGGATCCCACCAGGCAGGCTCGCCTACCGCACGTGGGCTGTGGTCTGAAGTGCCCATCATACTGCCGGCAGCACTGAAGCGATTGTTCTGCTCGTAGGCTGATTTGAGGTGCTTTGGTGGACCATTCACTTCGGCTTTGAACAGAGCTTCTGAAACTAGCGCAGCATACTTCTTCCGCTGGCGTGCAGATAATGACCCTGGCGGTCGTGAGGTGTATATGCGATGTTGGTCAAGATCAACCACCAGCGCATCCCGAGGAGCGGCAACTGTCGCTCGCGATTGCCGCGTCAGGCCCAGCATGTAAGGAGCATCCTCATTGAGCAGCTCCTGAGCATGATTTCCATATACTATCGGCTGGTACAACCCGCCCCATGTCTTGACGTAGTATCTAACAGTCTCAGACGCGATTGTCATCATTGCCGGATACTGGCTCGTGAACACAATTCGTCCCTTCGGTGAAAGCGCCGCTTCGAGGATAGCAATCACTTGTGACGGAGTGAGACAGGTGAAGAACGGCCATAGGGCGAAGTTCTGGAAATCTTGAGGACTTGCTGGCATCAGGTATGAGAAGGTATACTGATCAAGCTCGATCCGGAGGATCTGATCTGGCTGCGGCGGCGGTAGTCGCGTCATTCGGAGGACACCATTGCTGTTGAACTTGTCGGGGTCCTTGCCGTACAACATCCATGTGCAGCGCAGGTAATCGCTCATTAGATCAAAGAGCGGATAGTGCGACAGATAAGCCAGACAATACGGCATCCACAAAGTTGTTGTCTCGGCATTGCGCGCCGAGTCCTTCGGTGTGAGCACATCCAAAATCTTTCCTGTTCGCTCACTATCCGACTTCACCCACAGCTTCAGGGCGACACCGTAGAGACTCTGGGAGCTGTGCATTTGTAGGACGAATCCATGACAAGTCGAAGTGGGCGCTCGTGGCGTTGAGCAGACCTCTGCATCGTTGGGAAACACTGCCTTCAAAGCAGATGAAAACATTTGCGCCGTGGCTGCGTCCTTGTCTTGGGTAGGAATGCTACCCAGTATCGTGGGTAGTATGCATGGGCCAATGCTCCCGTGTGCGCGATATGCCTTGCTTGCTGCAGACTGATTTGACATGATCCAATCCTCTGGAAGTCTTGCGAGTCCGACCACCATGTAGCCATGTACCAGGTTTCGGGAGTCAGGGCTCATTGTAGCCACGGCCTGTTGTGCCGCAGCATGTGGTGGGACTGTGACTTCGGTCTTCGCTGGCGAGGCGATGTTCGGAAGAAAGTACTTGAGCGACACATTGCCGGTGGTAGATCGCGCCTGGTCACTCTTCATTGAGGACCGCGAATGAGGCCGACTCGACAAGATGGATGGCGCCATGGTCACGTTCGTCGGTTAGCACTTGATGCTCGTCCTTGATGTGGAATAGAGATCCTGCAATCACTGCCACCTTTGCGAGCGCATTGCTGCTGCAATTTCCCTGTCTTCGACGATGTTTCCGTGCTCGTGGTGCGTAAAGACCCAAAGCACCCTGAAGGTCAAGTTCATTGAAGTTGAAGAAGACCACCGGGTTTCAGGTCGCTTCTGGACAATTCTCCGCAAATAAGCACGAAATGCGCGTTTGAAGGTCCATTCGAGCCATGGCTACCCTGACACATCTGTAAGATCGACGCAAGGTGTTGAACTTTGGATGATATCTGGAGCTAGGCTGGTGAGTGAAGCGGAGCAGTGCTGAAGCCTGAAGGGCCGGTGCGAATCTGACAGCAGCTATTGGCAGTCCGCCGTTGAAGCTAGCAAGCATTTGGTACAGCTTCAGGCCTAGTCAGGTACCAAAGAAGCCCTTGCTCCTCGCCTATCGCGCCTATCAGACCTACCGAACCATTATGATACTGTAGATCGAAACAGCCTGAATGCCACAGACTTCTACAGAATATTGGACGAAACTTTGCGTTCTATTCACCATTTGCAGCTGTGATTGTAGCTCGGAGACGAGCAGGATGCACAGCTAAGGATTGGATCCCAGCTGTAGGGACAGCAGAGAGACACGGATGGTGACCCCTGGTCGTGTTAGTGGGGCTGGTCATGGTCAGGCACTATCCGCTAGGCCAAGCGACGAACCGACCCCTGAGATAGTCTCCGACGTCAATGCAGACGACTTCTTCACACATGTTATACAATAGCATGCGTAGGACAGCCTATAAGCATGCTCCAAGGATTTCCGCGTTCGCACTTGCGTAGATGGTTCTGACGTGTATTTAGACTCGAGCAACGGTCAACTCTGACAACAAGAGAGCAGCGGTGATCAGAAATGCTGAGTGATGGACAAAGTTCAGTTGTCCTGAAACATGGGGCGAAGGCGTACTTTTCTCGAGCTAAAACTCCCAATAGAGAATTGCCGAAATTACGACTCAGATACTTTCTTGGCCGCAAAGGATCAGCATAAACCATCAGCGATTCTGACAGCGAAGGAAGAAAGATGGGCTGTCGGTTGCCGTCGCGCGCAATCGTGCACGTAGCATGGTTAATGGCCGTCAAAGTCAGTGCAAGTGTGCCGCACGAGGAGGAGAAGTAGCTGGACAGTGATTGCCATAAGGTGAGATGAAGCCCTCGAAGGAAGGCAGCCCGCGGTGACACTTTGTGCGCCAGCCTAGAGACACGCAGTGGCACCACAGCCGCCTGCTGCCGCCTGCTGCGGACACCAGCAGTCGATGTTGTAGATTGTGGCGACGCTTTGCTGTCAAGATAAAGGCCGCGACCCTCTGGACCACTCTTGCTTCAAATTTTAGCGGCGATCTTCAGCGAGTGATAACGACATTCCGCACATGTACCAGGCGTGTTGGGTGCGAGGTGCATCACAGCTGTGATCCTTGGAGACGCACAGAGTCTTTTGTATTGTGCTTTGTGTAAAAAGTACATACTGAAAAGAAATTGTGTTGGTGAATGGCCCAATGATAGGAGTTGAGGACAATTTGATCGCCAAGCCCTTCTAGCGCGAAGGTCGAGATGCTTAATTTCACCCGTGGCCTTGGGATGGGCCCCCAAAAGGGTCAGTCCATCTCCCGAACGAATCGTTCCTGGGTCTTCGAAGGTAAGCGGTGCCGAATTCTCCGTCGAGGCGTCCCCTCGAGCTGTCCATTCGCTGACTTGAGCAGCCCACGCAACTCTCGGGAGATTTCCTGCTCTTACGCCGATCTCGAAGAGGAGCCATACGAGGCACCTAGTCTCAAGCGCGCCCGCTACCAGAATGTACCCACGACAATATGGCAGACTGCAGCGTATCGCTAGATTCGCTACGAGTCGTTCCCTGGCGCCTTCATGAAGAATGACCAACGCCTTCGCTTGCGGTCAGATACTGATTCCTCCATGGCATTGTCGTTCTTCCATGGAGGCCAACTTGCGCGCGGAGTCCAGGCGCAAGAAGGAGAGAGCAGCACACATGCGCAGTCCTTGCGGAGGCTGTACTCAGAGACCGCACTGCAAGAGCAGTTGAGAAGCGAAGCTGGATCACTGCGCTCGGGCGCGCATTCGCGACCGCGTACAAGCCAACGAGGGGACTACAAGTCAACGAGACTGAACGAGCAGCCATCCGTGTCAACAATCAGCCGTCGACTGGCTATCAGAATCGACACGGATTGTCGTTACATCCTCCCGACGCCAGCAGGCCCAGAACAGCGGATCCGCATCCAGCTACCGATCCAACAATTCAGCATGGCTCGCACCAGACTACTATAACCTCAGATGCCCCTCCGACAGCTCCCAGCCGATGGGCCAACATTCTCAAGAACAATCCACTCAAGGGTAGTGCTCTCCTGACCAACCCACTCAAAAACGTGAAGAAGCCGAGTTTCACAATCTTGCGCCGGGAGCAATCAACAACCGACGAGAAGCCAAGGACGCCAAAGTCACCCGACAAGCGCTCGTGGAAGGCGAAAGAAGCAGAAAGGCGACGGGCGCGTCTGGTCGAGGAGGCGCTGGGCTCGGAGAGAAACGAGGAGGTGGAGCAAGAACAGGAACCACCAGACCGAATGGCCTCACGAAGGACAGTGCGCACTCAGGCGAGCGCGGCCGCCATCTCTTTTGCTACGCCTCGAGTCGATACGCCTATCGCTGCGCAAGCTGCGCCTAACCCCAGTCAGTTCCTTGCTGAATCGCTGGCCCATGTCATTGTGGGTGAGTGGCTCTACAAAGATCCGCACAAGCCAGGATTGTTCCCTCAATCGAACATACTCCAACGGCAAAATGGTCCACGGCCAAGGGGAGCCACTGGTGTACCACAACGGAGATGGTTCAGGATCGACCATACGAGAGGCAGCTACTCTGGAGTTCCAAATGGGACACGATGGAGACATCTCAACACAAGCAGAACAGAAAAGGTGAGATCATGTTGCTGCCGTCTGTCCCGTACCTAACCAGTTGCAGTGCCAATCAAACTGGTTTTCGAGGTCCCGAATCGCCTGGCGATTGACGGATGCATACCAGCCCACACCATGCCATACGACTATTCAATCGTCGTTGTGGCCCCCTCGAAAGTCATCAAGGTCACCGCGCCGGACGAAGCCCGGCACAACGCGTGGCTGACTGCGCTACAATATCTGGTCGACGCGACAAAGAAGGTGACGCCCGAATCATGGCCCGACGTGCTCGCCGCCCGATTAGCACTTCTAACCCAACCAACGGAAGCCTTATTCGGCAAGGAATCAGAGATCCCTAGTCGAGCTGGCACCCCATTCATCGCGGATAAGCCACTTCCACCCAGTCCGCCTCCAGAGACAAGCGACCAGCCGCCATCGATGGTGCCACCCTCAATACCACGCTTACCTTTCCATGCGCGAGATAACTCCAATGCGCTGTCCAGCATGCCAGATTCCGCCGACTCGCTCTCAGACGCCGGCAGTAAGGCGGCCTCTAGTGCCAGGAGTCAGCGAGTCGAGCCCTATACCCCTCCGTTATCTGGAGACACGAAGGAGAAGGGCCCGGCGAAGTACGAGAGCGACCATATCCACGCGCCGGCTATAGGCAGATGGACGCTCTTGTGTCGCGCCTGTCTGCTTGAGTCGGTCGGGCGGCCGGACGGATTCAGCACACGTGCAAAGATGTACAATGGTTCTGGGCGGACTTCATGTCCTAAGACGAACATTTCGAACAAGATACCCATACAATTTCATTGATGATGGACAATGTCCACTTGCACGCGATAGTGCTGCTGCAACTCGCCGCGGCTTTCCCGAACGAACGTGCCGTGTTCGTCTTCCAATCCACCCCTTGCCCTGGCCCTTTCGCGGCATCTTGAACAGCTCAGAGAGACCGGGAGCCTTCAGGACGTCAGGTGCTTGACTGCGCGCACCTCGCCGTCGTGATAGTCGATATCTGCCAATGGAAAGCAGGTGCATCCACTTCAATGCGAATCTCTTGATCCCGTCCTCCTTTTTCCCCCTGGCCAGCAACGCCCAGCCAAGCAATCCCGTCAGGGAGAATCAGCGTTCGCGCGGTGGCACAGCCTGTGTAGCGTCCAGTACATACGTGCCGTAGCTATGGAAGCAGTGTTCCTGTAGGCCTGTGTCACCTTCTCACGGTCGAGGGTGTGCTAGTCCGCAGTCGTAAATTCTGTGAAGCAGAGCTTTCGTGAGCAGCTGAGTGGCTGATTCATAGTCAGCACCTCCAGGTCTGCTTTCATTCAGCTGTTAATATGCACACCTTCAGCTGTGTAATGAAACACTGCCAAATAATCACACCATCGTTCCACTAACTCATCGAGAGAGATCTTGTGGTCAGCCTCACAGTACAGCAGAGTCTTCATGGTGACTATCCACAGTTCCCCACGGCCAGAGGTAGCTTTCCTCCAGAGTGAACGGGTGTCTGGGTCGATGGAGATATGACGCTGCCCATGCTGTCCTGCCTCCACAGACTACAGTCTCGGCAAGGTCCGCCACAGTCCATCAGTCGGCCGGTGATTCCAGGTCTCGGGGCACCTGCTTCGTGCCGAGTGCAATTGTGTCGAGATAGAATCCACTCTCGGCCTCTTCCTCTCATCAAAGCTAAGTCCTGATTCATTATTGGACTTGGTGGCGGTGGTTCCGGTCTTCTACTTGTGGACGTTGCTCTTTTGTGTTCGGAACAGACTCGACAAATCGTACGCCTAGGCATTGCTGGATTTCTGCAAGGGACGGTCACTGTATAGGGCCCCTGTGTCGCTCGAAAAGAAACGAGTTCTTCTCCCATTGCCATTCCTTTGGTTGCTTTGACACCTTTTATAGGGCGTGGTACACGTAGCACAGATTATTAACGGACTCAGAGGCAACACCTCTGTTCCTGCCTGCGCGACCATTGCAGTAGTGCTATTGAGCCATTGATGCCCGTGGTATCTGGGCACTCATTGCCGAGTGAGCCGCTGCATGTGTGGGAGCTCCGCTCAGGCAGGGTAGGATAGGGCGCAATGTCAGGCCGTTGCTCTACTTGCGGTATCATCATCTTGTCTTGGTTGGTGTTGACATGTATTGGTTGTTCTGGCGGATGCCCGTGCGCAGCTGCTCTGGGAAGCTATACTGGAAAAGATATTTGAACGTTGCGAGAAACGGCTCCTTCTTGCAAGCAGCGCAGGTTGTTAGGTATTTCTCTGATCTCGGGCTCGATGGTGTCGCCGGTCATCTCGATGGTGTCGCCGGTCATCTCGATGGTGCCACCATCGACACCGCGCTTGCCCTCGCATGCGCGAGATCCTAAGTGCTTCAAGCGCTCTCGAGCATGCCGGACTTTGCTGGCTCGCATACGGAGGCTGGAAGCAAGGCAGCTTCTAGTGCGAGGAGTCAGCCGCTTGAGCTGTACACCCCACCGCCAGTAGCCACAGAGGAAAGCGGGCCAACGAAGTACGAGAGCCTTCATAATAATGCGCCTGCGATTGGGATGGACGCTCTTGTGTTGCGTCTGTCTGCTTGAGTCGTTCAAACTGCCCGATAAGGCCCCTGGTGCATGGAAAATCGGCTCTTTGTTCAGTGGTGATCTGTATGATATTCCAGTGCGGTCATATGCGACCAGCACGAACACATTAGACGAGATACCCGATACAGCTTCAATGATGATGTACAGCTTTTTTACCATGCACAATTGATGGTGCAGAGTCCTCCTCGCCCCCGCGAGCGAAAGACCAGCATCCTCGACGTTGGACTTGCATGACTGATGTTTACAGCTTCGATTCTTTCTTGCCTCCCGTGACGCCTCCCTTCTCCGAACCCGGCGGCGCCATATCGAGCCACGAGAAATCCTGAAAGTCTTGTCAGCTCCATTGGGCGGACCGCATCGTTCTTTGGCGCTACCATAAAGCAAAAGAAAACAGGACAAGTTAGCACGACTCACCATGACCAGGTCCTTGGTAGTATCAACCAAGACATTAACCACCACCGGCCCCTCCTCCACCGTCCAAGCCTTTCTGACCGCTTCCTGCAACTCCTTAGGTGTTCGCGCCACAGTGCCCCACGCCTTCCCATCTCCTCCCAGCTCGGCTATCCTCTGATATTCTGTCTCGAACCCCAACCCAGTTGCACTCAGTCCCTGCGGCGCAGCAGGTGTGCCTTTAACACTCATGTCCTGCAGCTTGGTCCAGTCAGACCGCGAGTCCGCGTCGCCGCGGTACAGACCGGAGTTGTTGATGATGAGAATCAGGATGGGCATCCGATAGCGGATCATCGTCTCTACTTCTGCCATGCTGAAGCCAAAGGCGGAGTCGCCTTCGATGGCAATGATCTTCTTCTTCCGTGCTGATGCACTGGATGCAGAGGTGCCCGATGCACCGCCGTATGGTGTTGGTTGGGCAGTCGCGCCAGCTGTGACTGTCCCATCAGTCTTGGGTGCATGTGATGTTGATGTGCCGGAGGCGCCCCCATATGGTGATGGCTGGGCTGTCGCACCGCCTTCCACTTTGCCATCGGCGGGCTTGCCTATGGTGTTGGCTCCAGCCGCACCAGCATAGGGCGTTGCTTGAGCTGTCGCGCCTCCTTGTGTTCCGCCACCGCCTATTGTTGTTCCTGGCCCATGCTCGATACCAACACCTATGCTGCCTTCCGGGTTGGAATAGTTGTATGCTGCATATGCCGCGATAGCGTAGCCCAATCCGACGCCCATGGTTGCGTACGTTCCGGCATCGAGTCGTGTCCTGGGATATTCCATCGTGAATATGCTCCTCGATATATCCATCGCATTTGCGCCCTCGCTCACATACACAACATCCCCATTCTCCTGCGGCGAAAGCTGTCCACTTCCTTCTTGATGATTTGGAAGGCGTGTTCGTAAGTCATGGGCACCTTGCTGCTCTCCGCCTTCTTCCTCGCCTTCGCTTCATTTCTGCCTTTCGTCTCCTTAAGCGCCTGCCAATACTTGCCCTTTTGTGCCGCATCGTATTGCCAGCCGCCACTTAGTGCTTGCAGCAGCTGTTCGCAGACCAGGCCAACGTCACCGAGAAGGCTGAGCGAGGGATCGTGCCCGTTCTTGCCGAGCTCGTCGGCGGAGAGGTCGACTTGGATAATCTTGACGTTCGGTGCCCACTTTGGTGGCAGGCCAAATGATAGTATCCAGTTCAATCGAGCACCAAGCAGGAGAACCACGTCGGCATGCTTCAGTGCCGTGGAGCGAGCAGCAGAGATGTTGAGTGGGGAAGAGTCAGGGAGGATGCCCTTGCCCATCGGCGTGGGTAGGAATGGTATTCGCGTCCTCTCGACGAATTCTCTGATCGGTCCTTCCGCCCTCCCGTAAGCTGCACCTTTACCAACCACCACTAGAGGCGATTTCGCGCCCATCAGTGCTTCTACAGCTCTCCTCACGCCGACCTGATCAGCCATGCCCCTTGGCACTTCTTCAATCCTCCTCAGACGCTTCGCCTTGCCTCCATCTAATTCCTTGAACGTCCCCAGGATCAGATTCGCTGGTAGGTCCACGAAAGTCGGTCCGGGTCTGCCGAAGAATGCCGCTCGGTATGCATCCCGAATAAAGTCTGGAATCATGTGTGGGTAAGGTGGGCGAAGCGCAAGCTTGCAGTGAGGTGAGACGAGGTTGATAGCGTCCATTTCCTGGAAGGCGGCTTTGTTGGCATTGTGTGTTTCCGCACTCCCGGCGAGAATCAGTATTGGCCAGGCATTGGCTGCGGCGTGCGGAATCTTGCTGCGTCAGTCTGTGGCACAGTGAATGCTGCCTCGCATGGGCTTGACATACCCCAGCCATCGTGTTCAAGACGCCCGGTCCGCCGACGCAGACCACGACACCAGGTCTTGCCGTCAGATACCCATATGCACTAGCTGCGAGTACAGCGGCTTGCTCGTTTCGAAAGCTGATGAAGTTGATGCCCAGGTTCATCGCCTCTTGAGCGATGTCGATCACTGGGAGGCCAGGCAGACCAAACAGTACCTGCACGCCCAGGTCTCTCAAGGCCTGAGCTATCAGCGCGGCGCCGTAGACCATGTTGCCGGTTGCTTCGAGTGTTGTCGTTGATCTGGGTGGATTGGATTCGGAGGTTGTAGACGAGCAGAGATGGACGTTACACGCAATGTGCACGGGTTGTTCCTGTTCTCACCTACATGTGCGTTCGTTGGGCTGCTGATAAGTATGTGCTGTCGATCTCTACCGCTGTCATCGAATGTTGAGCAAGTATAGGTGATGGTCATCTCACCCGTAGAATGCCCAATGGCAAGCCAGGCACTGTGACGTCGCCGCTCACCTCGCTACACCAATCTTGGCTACGCGCTTACTCCAAGCGATTTCCTGGGGTAGGCCCAGACGCTAGGGGTCACGGTGGTCTGTGCGGGGTGTCGGGCGGTCCTTCCAGGCATGCCCCCCGCAAACTTCGCGCCCAGAGCCGAGGATAATTCCTTCCAGCCATCGTCTGAACCGTCGCTTTGATCGACCGATGATCATGCAGAAGCTTTCATGCGAGGACCTCGAAGTGAACAGGCCGTTGTGCGTCAATCGAAGTTGCAGATCGTTGGCCACGAGTGCTTGGAATCGGGTCAACGGGAGCTTGATCGAAAGCGGTTTCTCGAATCTCGGAAGTGAGGAATCTCGAAATGTATGGCTGTGCTCGAAGGCAAGAAGACGCCTGGAAGAGTATGCCAGTCGTGCATGAACTGAACCAAGAGGACCAGAACACAGTGGGAGCGCACCAAATGGGCACGACCTGGGATTTGACAAGCGTCGTATACATCACAATTTCGCCTTCTCCTTCTTCCCATCTTTCTTGATGAGCTTCTCCTCAACCAGCTTCCTCAGCTCCGGCTTGCTAACCTTCCCGCTCATCGTCTTTGGCCACTCCTCGGGCACATCCCCGTCCCCGAGCCACCAGATCCATGTTGGCGCCTTGAAGTAAGCCAGTTCGTCCTTCACCCATTTCTTGATCTCGTCGTCCGAAGGCTTGTCCCTGCCCTCCTTGAGCTCCAGAAATGCTCCCACTGCCTCCCCATACTTGTCATCCGGTACGCCAACAATACTTGCCTGTGCGATCGCTTCCATATCATTCAGCCGCTGCTCGATCTCCAGGGGCGCGATGTTCTCGCCGCCTCGAATGATCAGATCTTTGATGCGGCCCGTGAAGACCAAATAGCCATCTGCATCAAGCACTCCCTCGTCGCCTGTGTGCATCCAAGGACGCAGCGTTTGGGATCCTCGACCTTCCACGCCGCCTACGCCGCCTTCTTCTAGATCTTCATCGTGATAGCGTAGTGCCTCTTCGGTCTTTTCTTTATTGCCGATATACTCAGCCATCTGCCCATAGCCACTAACAACAATCTCGCCTCGTTCGCCCCATGGTAGAGTCTTGGTGCCGTTCGGCTCCACGATCTTGAGAATGAAATGTGGGAATAGCCGGCCAGTGGTGTGGATGCGCTTGTCCCATGGGTCCGTCTCATGCATCATGGTCACGAAGGAGGAGAGCTCTGTCATGCCCCAGCAGGTGTAGATTCGTGGAATCTCAAATTCCTTCATGACTCTGCGCAGGAATTCGGGTGGCATAGGTGAACCAGCGACGATGCCAAACTTCAGTGAGGACTTATTCGTTGATTTGAATGCTTTGGCAGACATCTCTGTTATGAACATCGTGTTCACGCCGTACAGGGCAGTGCATTTGTACTTCTCGATGCAAAGAAGTGCTGCTGTTGGGTCAAAGAGCTCCGAGGGAAAGACGAGTGATGAGCCGCATACTGTGCTCGTGCTAATGGCGACTATCATCCGAATGAGTGGAATAGGGGTACGGGACAGCAGATTCGGTCCTGGTCCGTGAGTCGTGTCTGCAACCAGATATTGCGGCCACAATTCATGATGTTGTAATGAGATAGTGAAACGGATTTCGGCAAACCAGTACTGCCAGATGTGAACTGGATGTTGACCATATCATGTGCCGAGATACTAGGATCGTCAGACCAGGAGCCTGCTGGTTTCGACTTCAAGAACGTTTCGTAGTTCTCGAATTTCAATGAAGACGATTGGTGCTTCTTGAAGATGTCGTCGAACAGTATGAAATGCTTGAGACTGGCTACAGAGTCCTGGGCTTTTCGTAATGCTTTGTTGTAGTCATACCGAGCGAAGCCAGGTGGTGCGAATATCATAATTGGTTCTGCGGCCGCATCAGCCTTGCGAAGCCTCTGTGCATCCAGTACGCATCTACTTACCGATCGACTTAATCAGTTGTACCAACTCAGAATCAGTGTATGCATAGTTGAATAAGATGAGGGCTGCTCCAAGTCTCGCCGTCGCAAAGAAGACCTTCCCCTAGTCAGTGCTCCTGTTCCTGGTGAGCATGACCATGAACGCCTACCTCGAGATACTCGATCCTGGTTCCCGAGATGATCCCAACTTTGCTTCCCTTCCGGATGCCAGCACCCTTCATGGCCTTGGCCAAGCTGATGCTCCTGTCACACAGCTCCTTATAGTCGATCGTCCGCCCTTGGACATGCGAGATGACTGCTGGACTCTGCGGCCTGGTCTTTGCATGATGGTCGAGGAGTTGCCCGAATGTGAGTGTCAATGTAACTGGAGCTCGGGGACCATACACGACGGATGGTCGACGTTTCTCTGTCTCGGCAGCCATGTTACGCGCGACACCGCTCAAGTCGCGAGTCTCACCTGGGCACCAAGATTGTCGGGTGACTACCTGATATCCAGCAGTGACACCCAGGGTCCCTTTGAACGAACGAGGTCTGAATTCCGGGGTATGGGGTAAGCTTGCTAGTACTGCCTAAGCGAAACCTGGGGCAATCGTCATCGACCAACTCAAATGCTTCAAGTGGCCTGTCTAGCGGGCGATCTCCCCATCGCTACCTGCCTATACACAACAACTCAAATACGGGCGCTCGTTCTGAACACCTCACTGCACAAGCAGCAAAGACCATACCATAGATGGCCACGAAGAACAAAGTGTATGTTGCAGGAGTTGGACTCTCGCCTTCAACAGAACGGTCTGGTCCTTTCGTTCTCTCCGCTGCGGTCAAGGCGCTGCTAGACGCCGGTGTTACATACGATCATGTGTCGAAGTCCTTAGTATCGAAGGATGTTACGGGTGGCAAAAGCACGTTTGCGGCCTTCAACGACGACAGGGTGATTGTAGACCTTGTTGCGAATAGGTCGTTGCTCGGGCATGGAATCGATGAAATTAGCGGAGCGAGATCGCAATGTGTGCTGATTGCTGGAGTTGACAAGGTGTGTCGTCTCAGGTCTTACGCCAAATTGACGTGCTAATTTGGATATACAGGAGGAGGCAGTCGCTTTTGTGCTGGTTTCCGAAGATTTCCTGATGCGCTGGCCTTACCTCAAGGACTCTTCGATGCTAGTGTCTAAGGTCGGGAGGAGCGATGGATCACTGTCCCAGGCTGTGAGGAAAGGTAGGAAAGCGAAATTTGTTCGTCGGCATCGCTAAGTCATGTACAGTGTGGAGACTGAGAGGCTGGGGATCGGTCAAGGGAGCATCACCTCGTGGAGAGAGCTCAATCGAATTGGCCCGTGCTGATGGCCAATCTACGCCGAAGTGGAAAGACGTGGAATGCAAGCTCGACGGCAAGCATCGACTGGGCTACAACCCAGCTACTGAAACCAAGCAAGTATCGCAGGAGGACCTTGAAGCCGTACAGGCAACGGGAAAGACGCAACAGAAGACCAGCGCCTTCAAGCGACGGGGCGGCGATCTGGCGATACTGACCAAGCAGCATGACTTCGTGGCGAAGCTGTGAAGCCAGTATAATGCGATTGGAGGTATAAAAGGACGGCTACTTCGTCAATGATATCAATTGAGTGACGCAGTTCCACAGATATCAGTTGAGGTACGCTCAGTGAGTCTTGATACCATTCGCCTTTGCGATCATCTCCGCTGCAATCTCGCCGATGCCATAAGCCGGCATCTGCGTGTGTCCACTGTGCAACGTAGGCATCACGCTGCAGTCGACAACTCTCAAGCCCTTCACGCCATAAACGAATAGATTCTGATCGACGACAGCGTTCTCATCCTCTCGCTTGCCCATCTTACAGGTCCCGCCGGGATGGTACGAAGTCGAAGCATACTTCTGCACGAATGGCTGCCAATCCTCGTTTGTCTTGTTCAGATGATGAGTTGCGCCAGGAGGCCAAGCACCCTTGATCTTGTCACGTGTGCCAGCCCCGGTCATGACAAGCTCGTTGGCGAAGCGGACGCCTTCGGACATCATAAGCAGATCGCGACGATCGTCGAGGTACTTGTGGTCGACAATCGGATTTTCGAGAGGGTCAGTGCTGTTGAGCTTGACTGATCCACGAGAGCAGAGACCGCACAGGAAGCAGCACATGGCGAAAGCGTACTGGCCCTCTTTGGGGAAGTCGGTGTACCTGGTGGACCGTTAGCGGAATGAAGGACAAAATGGCGCACGACCTACTCGGGAGGTCCTCCATAGCACACAGTGTGGAAGAATTCCAGATTCGGCTGACTCTCGGTCAGCTCCATAGGGTCACGATGTGGCTTCCGAGCAAAGCTGCGCCACTCAGCATTGTCTCGCATCAGACGGTCGTCTAATCTGGCGAATGCGAATGAGCCGAAGGGAAACGTTGCGAGCCAACCAGACTTCTTCTCCTTCCACTCTCTGATCCCATTCTCCATGGCATTCGGATCGTGATTGACCCTGGGGTCATCGGTCAGGCCGGGCTGATTGAGTTCGTAGTAGATGAAGATGAGCTGATGGTCCTGTAAGTTCTTGCCGACACCTGGCAGGTCGCTGATGCATTTGATGCCAAGGGCCTCTAGATCGGCCTTAGGACCTATGCCAGACCGCATCAATGTTGCGGGGCTGCCATAGGTGCCGCAGGCCAGGATGACTTCGTTTCGAGCGTGCGCCTTAAACTTGTTACCTTTCTCGTCAACATACTCAACTCCTTTTGCCGTTCCGTTGTCGATTATGACCTTGTCGACAATGGAGTGGCACTTGATAGTGACGTTGTTTCGTTTATGATCTTTAGTGATGTAATCTGCTGCCGTAGTTCTGTTGCCCTGCCAAGTCGTACGCATTGCATGCCCACAACCGTTGGCTGTCTCGCCGTTGCTGAACATGTCTGGTCGGTACGGCAATCCTTTAGATTGATAATCTAGTGCACCGATCAGACCGAACATGTACCGGGAAGGACTAGAGCCGGGAGATCGGTGTCTCGCCCGCTTCAGGTTCATTAAAATACGTACTCTCGAGGAAAAGATCTCCCAGAGCACCACAGGGGGCTGGCTCAATATGCAATGGTCCGTCATGTCCATGAGCTTCCTTATCGTGCTGGAACCACTTTTGCGGATGAAATGTCTCGGCCTGTACCGTCGTTAGCAAGTGATTATGTCGTATGGAGCAGACATACCTTCTTCATAGCTCTGAACATCTCATCGCCACTCCATTCTGGGAAGCCCCAGTCGTCGTAGTCTTGCTTGACACCTCGGACGCATATGGTCCCGTTGCAACCAGAGCTGCCTCCCAAGAATCGCCCGCGTGGTACATGGCATTTGCGACCGTTAAGACCACCTTGCGGCGTGGTCATGATGTTCCAGTCAGTCTCACCTAGGCATTGTATCAGTAGCTATCCCGTATAAAGCGCTTGGCAATACCTTTGTGGTTCTGTGTCCAGCTACAATCGATCAGCTAGGGTACCAGCGACCCGAACGGAAGTAACTCACGCGCCTGCCATATGCATGTTATCCATCTCTGCACTGTCCTGGCCTGCCTCGAGCAACAAGATCTTGACATCGGAGTTCTCTGACAAACGGCCTGCCACAACTGGCCCAGACGTTCCGCCTCTGACTTCACTTCAGTACGGGGCTCTCTTCGTAGGGCGACGACGTCTTACCCGCAGATGATGTAGTCGTACGTGTCCGTCATTGTCGCGCTTCGACGTGGTGTATTTGGTCGAATATTGAGGGTAGCAAAGGTATCTGTGTTCTTTGCAAGGGAGTTGTTGGGTGGCAGCACGTAGAAGAGACCCTGAGTCGTTTACATCTGCTGATTCACACACACTTTTCGCAAAAGTCCAGCATGACGGCGGCTAGATCCCGGTGCCATACTGAATCCTGTCCAGGAAGCATTGCGTAGGCTTCGACCCTGGCCTATGGATCTTACCCCAGATTTGCGCATTTATGCGGGGTTGAGTGGGATCTCTTCGCAGCGGTTCAAGGGACGCGAGCACCTATGAGAGCTCGAATGCTGTGCCGCTGATGGTTTCTTTGGTGTCCTTGAGGAAGGGCTGCTGCGGGGGAGGACATGGCTGGCGACTCAGAAGCGACGGTTAGAGCTTGTCGGAGGTGGTCATCGACACTCAGCTCGAAACTTCGCACACGGACATTGCTCTTACCTGATAGCACGATCTTCGATCTCGGAACTGTAGGTAGGGATCTGCGCACGACACTTCGAGAAGCGGGCGACGATCTCAGACGTCGAGTCAACGCGAGAGTATCGATGCAAATTGACTTGAGCAGCAAGGATTTCGAGAGCAGACAATTCTCAATCCCAAATGCATAATCCGAAACAGACGAGCATCACGTGATCGCTTGCTGTGCCCATCTGTCGAGCACGGAGGAACAGCCAGCCAAGCGACATGGACACGTCGCGCGAAGCGTGTACGTTCCCGACACCCTCGCCAATGGCCAAAGTTGCAACAGTATCGCCCAATCTACTTCACCTCCACCCTGAAGCTGCAGCCTCTGCGGAAGTCGTCAGCCCGTGTCCGCCGCTCATCATGAGCTTGGACGCGAGATGGTATTGTCTTGGTTTGTGATGTGGCAGTAGCTCTAGCAGCTCCATTCGTAGCCCACGCTGCTTCGACGTCTCTCAAGACTCTGTGCGACGCAAATCATTGTATCCTTTCACATCTCTTGGGGTTTCTGGTCGATCGTCAAGAAGCCAGAATAGCAGCTGGGATTTCGCTGCGGCCATGAGTGGCGGAGATCCGAGCCTGAGGAGGTGTATCATATCTATCACCTGCCAGACATCAAGCTGAGTACGCTTGAACGAAGGACCCATGTAGTCGATACACATGAGGCTGATGCACAGCATTCCTGTCACGGCAACCCCTGCACCTAGCTCGGGAGTACTACAGGTAGGCTTTCTGCGCTGAAAACACTGGATGATGAGCCGGAGGAAAGCGAGCGACTCAGCTGGACCAACATGCTGATGGAGCTCCAGGGCAGCCAGGTTCAGGATCAGCATGAGTCCAACGAACATCCTGATATCCACGGGCGCGGTTTCGTTGTATGGCGCCATCAAGAGTAGTCTGAGTTGAAGATGCGTGGCCTTGTGGAACTTGTCTTCTGGCATGAATCGGCCACTTTTGAAGTGCTGGAGCCGTTCGGCCTTGCCGATCTGCAGGGCCTCGAAGAACGTCGTCATTAGAACGTGAGCCGCCCGAATCTCATCGATGTTCTTGAAGTAATGCAACAGACCGACCTGTATGTACATCGGTATGCAAACAGTCCCTCGCGGATGCATACCACGCTGAGCCCCTGTGCACGGCGCAGATCGCGGACCGTTAGAGCAGCCCGCAGGTGCATTTGTGCTGTAGCCTGGCCTCCAATGCGATTCTCCACGAGGCCCGCGAAAGCTAGTCCGTACATAAGGTCTTCGGATAGACCGTTGTCGCGTTTCATCATCTCGTTCATCGCTCGGTAGACCGATTGCCGGTGGCGGAGCACCAGCGGACTGCTGGCCGGATCGTGTGTCTGTGATCGTGCTTCGCGATAAGAGACGGAGGTGAGCACCCAATTGAGCACAACGGTGTTAGCGGCCATAAGACCAAGTGTAATGTCTCGAACAGGACACAGGCGTGATTGGGCGTTCGTACCATAGAGATCTGCGGGCACGTTTGTGAGATCTGTGTTTATGCTATCAGCAGGCAGCATTCAATGAAACGTCAAGCTTTACTTACATTTGTGCAAGCGATTTCGATCGTCTCGCGTCAGATCTGTGCAAGTGACGACGAACGGGTCCAGGAGACCGCTTTCGGGGGTTTTGAACAGTTTCGCACGCTTCGAGCTCGAATATTGTTGTTCGTCTCGTTCCCGCTCAACTTGTCTCTGATTCGAGACACGTGCACTGTGTCGTCTTGCGTCGAATCGCCATACCTGCGGGTCGTCGTGATGACCAAGGGTAAGATTTACTGGGAGAAAATGAATCTGTGGGCTCATGGTAGTAGCCTACAACATTGGCACTTGCGACTGGACAGGGAGCCCATCCCGAAAGGGTCCTCTTTGCACTGATATAATGGACACCTCATCAATGGGACTGTAGAAGGCTCGAACCGCGCCTGCAATTCAGCACTGAAGCCGAAATGCGCAAGGCCGTTAGTCAGCTACTTGATCTGGTATCGGTCGGGACCTCAATTACATCGATCCGAGGTTGTTAGGCAGGACCTACCACAACTATCAACGGTATCTTCTTGACACTTCGATAGCTCGTACCGACACCAAGGAAATGGAACCTATCAGCTGCTGACATCTCGTACACAACCTTACTGAGCTCTAGTGTGTTTGCGTTGTCCCCTTTACCTTATTCATCAATGGACCAGAGAGGCTGGACTGACTGTCGACGGACGTAGCACAACTAGAGCAACATCGGATGCATTAGAAATAGCCATTGCTGGAGGAGGATGAGGTCCAGGAAGATGGGAGAAGCCAATATCGAAAGCGAAAGCTTAGAATTGGACCCGTGCTCGGCGAAGGAGATCACGTGATATGTTGTTAATGTCACCGTCGCTTTGGGCAGGTCCTCGACTGCGCTGTCTCTCTTGCACCGACCGTGACAGCACTACCACCATTCTGCTTGTAGGACCAGCATCGTCTCATCGTTCCACAGTCCTGTCATCGGTCAGAATGAGTGAGTTGTGAGCAGCCGCCCACGAGAGGCCCAGCGATGTTGCGCGTCCGTCCCCGAAGCCTTTGAGCGATCCAACTCTTCCCCGGCGCACCATCATGCTACGGGCTCCTGCTCGACAAACTGCCACCGAGACGATACAAACATTGAGCAGCCGACTGCAGAGTGCTACCCTCCTCGAAGACAGACGCGCTGCAATCCAAGGTCTCCGCAGTTTCGCCAAACTCTACCCTGCCTCAGTTGCCTCGGGCGGTCTTCGAGATCTTGTGGCATGTCTACGACGAGATGCAGATGACTTGGACACCATCAAAATCGTCTTGGAGACGCTGCTTGGTCTCTTCGACCCAGATGCCAATTCCGATGAGGCGTCAGAGGAGATTACGGTCTGGCTCGCCGATGAGTTTGCCTTGAAACAGGATAATGTTACTGCGTTGTTGGACCTTCTCGAGAACCACGAACTGTACCCTAGGCTATACTCGCTGCAGATACTGGGCCATGTCGCCGACGCTCGCCCAGAAAGGTCGCAGGAAGCAGTCTTCGCAGCTCCGTTAGGCGTGTCTCGAATCGTGTCGATACTCGACGATAAAAGGGAAATGGTTCGAAACGAGGCTCTCCTGTTACTCGTCAAGCTCACTCCCACGTCGGGAGAACTGCAGAAGGTTGTTGCCTTCGAAGACGCCTTCGGGCGAATATTTGCCATTATTGAGGCCGAAGGTGGACTTACCCATGGAGCCACGATTGTGCAAGACTGCCTGGCATTACTGGGAAATCTGCTGCGACTCAATACCTCCAATCAATCATACTTCGCGAAGTTGGGGGAGTCTCCCGGCTGACCAAGCTCTTGGAGGATGCTGTGGCAGAAGAGGAGAGTGCCGAAGGCGTCACAGACTGGCTGAAGCCACAGCGGGACGTCAATGTCTGGGGTATTCTGACAGTCATTCAGATGTTCGTTCCCAAAGGCGCACCCGGAACTGGTCTGAATCAGCAGACATTCTGGCAGAGCGGCATATTGACTCGCATGCTGAAATTGGCTTTCCACGACTCTTTCAGCATAAGCATTCGGTCAAAAGCGCTCGAAACGTGCGGAGATGTCATTCGTTCAAACGCAGCACTACAGGAGCGCTTTGGTGATCTACCTGTACAGCTCCTGTCCAAAACCCAGCCTCCGACCACCAATGGGCATACGACTCCGAAGCCAGGTGCAAATGCTCGCGAGCCAACACCCAAGCCGAAACCGAAGCCGGTCTTCGACGACGTCAATGTCATTGAAGCTCTTCTCGAACTGGCACTCGAAGCAGCGCCGCTTTCCACGTTTGACGTCCGCTTAGCGGCTTGTAACTGTTTCAAAGCCTTCATCGAGGGCCACAATGGCATTCGCATGCATGTCCTGCGACGAGCGATCGAGGGTCATCGCAGCGGCGACGATGCGATACCGAACATTCTCACAGTGCTGCTAGAGCCGTCCTCGTCACGAAGCAACGCAGATCCCTATCAACAGTGGATGGCAGCGGTCATTCTGATGCACTTGCTGTTTGACAATCCTGAAACGAAGGCAGTGGCATTGAAAGTGGCTGAAGGCGATGCGGACAGTGGCGAGGAAGTAGTCACGTTTGTGCAGAGCATAGCCTCCAATGTCATTGCTGGCGTGCAGCATGTCGAGGACGAGCGAGCACTCCTAGGCTGCCTGATGCTATTGTGCACCTGGCTTTTCGAGGATCCAGATGCTGTCAATGATTTGCTTGGTGAAGGTACGAATGTCCAAGGTCTCATTGCTGCCATCAAAGTCTCGAATAACACCATGCCCTTGGTGTCGAGTCTGTGCTCATTACTAATCGGCATTGTTTATGAATTCTCGAGCAAAGACTCTCCTGTCCCTCGAAAAGCCCTTCATAGCCTACTGACGGGCAGCTTGGGCCGGGAGACGTATGTCGATAGGATGACAAGACTGCGTGAAAACCCTCTGGTTCGGGATTACGAGGTTCTGCCTCAGACAGGCAACGGCGGTTTACCGGACGTCTTCTTCGACAAGGCATTCATCGACTTCCTGAAGGACAACTTCAGTCGCCTGTTGCGAGCGATTGACCGAGACCCCGGATTCGAAGTATCAGTCATGAGCAATGGTGTTCAGAAAGGGGTTTCACGAGACTTGGTCGACGGTCTTCGAGCGAATCTCGAAGAACACAAGCGGCTTCTCGAGATCGCGAACGCCGAACTGCTTCAGGCTCAACGAAAGCTGGAAGACGAAGGACTGGAACACCGTCGGACACGTGAGTCAACTACGGTCGAGCTGAATCGCATCAAGCAGATCAACCAGAGCCTGCAATCAGGACACGAAGATGAGCTCAATCAAATGCGGGCAGAACACGGACGGGAAATGAGCAATTTGAAGAGAAGCCACGACGAAGACCTGAACAAACGGCGAATCGACACGTCTGCAGCTATGGACGCCGCACAAAGGCAGCGAGATCAAGAACGCGAGAAGGCTGCTCAGCAGATCAAGGCTTTCGAGCAGCAGAATAGTCAAGCCAGGGAAAAGCTTGCCAAAGAACACGAACGCGCTCTTGAGAATGCCGCTGAAGTCCGCGAGAAGCTGATCGTCGAGCATGCTACAGAAATTAATGGGCTTCAGACCAGATTGAAGGAGGCAAGAGGTGCCAACGAGGCAGAGCTTGATGACCTGAAGCAACAAGTGGAATCCCTGCGGAAGCAGCTTGACAAGGCCGGACAAGACCACGTGCAAGATCTCCAGACTGCGAATGAGGAGTACCAGACAAAGACGTCCAACCTCAAAGCACAGCTCAAGCGGGCGGAGATTCGCGAGAAAGAAGCAATAGCAGAGACGGAGACTCTCACCAAGAAGCTGGAAGAAGCCGAGAGCTCACGCAAGGATGTGCAGACGGAACTGGACGATCTGCTTGTTGTATTCGGCGACCTCGAAGCGAAAAGGGCGGCGGATAAGGCCAAGCTCAAGGAGCTGGGACAAGGAGTCTCGGATGACGAGGACGAGGAAGACGGAGACGACGATGACGATGCGGGTGACGGCGAAGGAGGTAGCGACGTGGACTGAGCCCCATATACTGCATTGCATGCGTGGCGGTACCTAATGAGCGACTTGGATAAAAAGTGATAGAACGAGATACCCTGTACAAAAATCTAGAGCTTTCCACCGATCATGTCATCCGAGCTCTTCCTGTACTAAGACGAAAATCGACGTGTGGGCTAGTCGCGACTGCGCAGCTTCTGCGACAGTTCTGTGGTGTTCTCCTCACCAGCAGGAACCCCTGCTGATGGTAGCCTCATACCCTTGTTATTTGACTCCGCCGTGCCTGCCAAGACTCTCCGAGCCGTTTTGGCGGAACGGGCAGTTCAAAGTCATAATTCTTGCGCAGTCGCAACTGCTGTCCTGCCTCTTACACAACGGGCAACAACATGGCGGTCGACTTCTCCGCTGAAGAGAAGGCGACCCTCGCTCGCTGGCAAGAGATCGATGCTTCCAGCGGCAGGTCGAGCTTTCCAAAGGCAATCCCGCCTACACTTTTTTCGACGGTAAATTATTCCCCGCCTCCGCAGAGCACAAGACCAGTCATACTGACGACGTGCTTCAGGACCACCCTTCGCGACAGGTCTCCCTCACTATGGCCACCTGCTCGCATCCACCATCAAAGACATCATCCCACGCTACTGGTCAAGCAAAGGCTACTATGTCGAGCGGCGCTTCGGATGGGACACGCATGGCCTGCCGATCGAGTATGAGATTGACAAGAAGTTCAACATCTCCGGCCCAGCGGCGGTCAGAGAGATGGGAATAGCACAGTACAACAAGGAATGTAAAGCCATTGTCATGAGGTTCGCGTCCGAGTGGAAGACCACCATCGACCGCCTCGGTCGCTGGATCGACTTCGAAAATGACTATAAGACCATGAACCCGACCTTCATGGAGTCGGTGTGGTGGGTCTTCAAGCAGTTGTTTGACAAGGGTCAGGTCTATCGCAGCTATCGCGTCATGCCATTCTCAACCGCTCTGAGTACACCACTGAGCCAACACGAGGCGCAGTCGAACTACAAAGACGTCCAAGATCCCGCGGTCGTGGTTTCGTTTCCACTGGTCGAGGATCCAAAGACGAGTTTTCTGGCGTGGACGACGACGCCCTGGACGCTGCCGTCAAATGTTGCATTGGCTGTGCATCCCGAGTTCGAGTACATCAAGTTCGTGGACCTGGCCACAGGCAACCAGTACATTATGGTCGAGGAGTTGCTCGGCACCCTGTACAAGGATCCTAAGAAGGCAAAATTCACCATACTAGAACGCATCAAAGGCGCAGAGCTCAAGGGCAAGAAGTACGAGCCATTGTTTCCCTACTTCTACGATCAGTTCAAGGATCATGGTTTCAAGGTCCTGACCGCAACATATGTCACCAAGACCGACGGTACCGGCATTGTCCACCAAGCTCCATCATTCGGTGAAGACGATTATCGAGTAGGCCAGGAGCACGGTGTCATCAATGCCGACCGTCTACCACCCAATCCCGTTGACGAGACCGGCAAGTTCACCAAAGAGGTCGCCGACTTTGTAGGTCAACATGTCAAGGATGCGGACAAAAACATCATCAAACATCTCAAAGGCACCGGCCGTATGATCAAAGATGGCCAGCTGTTCCATTCGTATCCCTTCTGCTGGCGATCGGATACGCCACTCATCTACCGAGCCATCTCAGGTTGGTTCGTAAATATCGCAGGCACAGAAAAGGGCGAATCTATCATCCCTGCTATGCTTGACGGTATCTCAAGTCGCACTGGTCCCTGGCTTCGTCAAGGAGAAACGGTTCGGTGACTGGATCAAGAACGCTCGAGACTGGAACATCTCACGGAATCGATATTGGGGCACGCCAATACCGTTATGGGCCAACGAGGACTACTCGGAGATTGTTGCCGTAGGAGCATCGCAGAGCTACAGGAGCTCTCGGGCTCAAAGCAACCCATCACTGATCTTCATCGAGACACCGTCGACGAAATCACTATTCCTTCCAAGAAGAATCCATCCGGTCCTCCTCTAAGACGTATCGAGGAGGTCTTCGACTGCTGGTTCGAGTCAGGATCTATGCCATACGCACAATCACATTACCCTTTCGAAGACAAGGACTCCTTTCCAGACCGATTTCCCGGAGACTTCATCGCAGAAGGCCTCGACCAGACGCGAGGCTGGTTCTACACACTTGTCATCCTCGGCATCCACCTGTTTGGCAAGCTTCCCTTCAAGAACTGTGTCGTCAATGGTATCGTTCTAGCCGAAGACGGCAAGAAGATGTCGAAGCGCTTGAAGAACTATCCCGACCCCATGGAGGTCATCGAAAAATACGGCGCCGATGCCCTTCGCCTGTACATGATCAATTCGCCCGTCGTACGAGCAGAAACACTGCGCTTCAAAGAAGCCGGCGTAAAAGAGATCGTCACAAAAGTTCTGTTGCCATTATGGAACTCCTACAAATTCTTCGAAGGCCAAGTTGAGCTCCTCAAGAAACTCGAGAACCACGATTTTGTCTGGAACCCCAATTCCGAAGAGACCAACTCGAATGTTATGGACAAATGGATCCTCGCCTCGATGCAGTCCCTCCTGAAATACATCAACGAAGAAATGGCTGGCTACCGGCTCTACACAGTCGTCCCGGGTCTCCTCAAACTCATCGACGACACCACCAATTGGTACATCCGCTTCAATCGAAAGCGGCTCAAGGGTGAGCTCGGCAAAGAAGACACTCTGCATGCGCTGAACACCCTCTTCGACGTTCTCTTCACACTCGTCCGCGGTCTCGCACCCTTCACACCCTTCATCGCCGATCTGATCTACAGCAAACTACTCCCCTACATACCAAAATCAGCCTACTCCTCAAAAGACATGCGATCAGTGCACTTCCTCCCCTTCCCAGAAGTCCGCGAGTCTCTCTTCGACGAAGCCGTCGAGCGACGTGTCGCACGCATGCAGAAGGTCATCGAACTCGCCCGCCAATCACGCGACCGAGTCGCCATCGGCCTCAAAACACCACTCAAGACCCTTGTCGTCATTCACACTGATCCTCAATACCTCGACGACATCCGTAGCCTGGAAGGATACATCACCGAAGAGCTCAACATCCGCGACCTCGTCCTCAGCGCCGACGAAGACAAGTACAATGTCCAGTATTCCGTGTCCGCTGACTGGCCTGTGCTCGGAAAGAAACTGAAAAAGGATGTGCAGAAAGTGAAGAAAGCCCTTCCAGACCTCTCGTCCGCGGACTGCAAGAAGTATCTTGCTGATGGCAAAACCTCTGTGGCGGGCATCGAGCTCGTAGAAGGCGACCTCGTCGTGAAACGCGCGCTCAAGGAGTCAGAAGACTCAAAAGCTCAACTTCCGAACTCAGACAATGACGTCCTGACTATCCTCGACACAGCCATCTATCCTGAGCTCGCGCAAGAAGCACTGGCACGAGAGATCGTGCGGCGGGTGAACGATGTGCGGAAGAAGGCCGGGTTGAAGCCGACGGACGATGTCAAGATGGAGTACAGAGTCAAAGAAGATCCCGAGGGGACGGGGATCGAGAAGGCGTTCGAGGAGCAGGCGGCCTTCATCGAGAAGGCGTTGAGGCGGCCGGTGGATAAGCATGTGGTGACGGATCTGGAGCCTGAGCCGGGCAAGGAGGAGATGGCGAAGGAGAGTGTGATAATGGAGGTGGATCAGGAGGTTAATCGGGCGGTGTTTGCGCTGAGACTAGTGAGGCTCTGAGCATGCGCGGAATGATACTGTTTTGTACCAGAAGCGAGTGGCGCAGGGGAACGGTCTACGTGTGTGATGGAGATGTGCTCCGACGAAGCAAGACTCTGTGTCGCGCTGTATCACAGTGCGCTGCGCACAGAAGCTGCGACAACGGCCTCAAGGGTCGCCTAACTCCGTCGCCCAGAAAAAAGCAAGCTCAGCACACAAGGAAAACAATACGATGGAACGATACCAAGAAAACGGAAAGCGCACATGGCAATGAACGATATGCTGGTAGATAGCGCTCCGAAGGTAGACAGAAATCGAGTGATGTCCCAACAAACCCATGAGAAGGAATACACAGCATGGACGCAGAGAGAAATCCTGATCGGCAAGAGAGAATCGTGTCGGCAGGTCTCTGAGTCTACCAAAGGAAATCGATCTCAATGCCTTGGCCAACGACCGAGCCTGCTTCACTCCAATCCATCAGTGACTCGCATCTCCTGCAGCCAGCGAAAGACCCCTCTCGTTCCGCTCCTGATCGTTGGCCGGCCGGTTGGTCGTAGTAGCCAGGTAGTGCTGCACCACCGTTCAGATCTTGTGCCTTGTTCACACCCCGAACAGTCCACTAGTCCCCCCCTTCCAGTATATCTCCGACATGTTAGGCTCCTTGGGGCCCGATTTGTACCTCTAGAAGTGGCGCACTGGGACAGATGACCTTGAGCATGGACTTCAAATGCTGATCGGTCAAATCGTCCGCCATGGCTTTGCTGCACTTGCGGAGTTTTCGCATTGAACTCCATCCAAGGTGTCCTACACGGAAATATCATTGCCATACTGGCTTTGGCTTGCTCACGTTGATGATATGGCTTCTAGTTGTATCCCATCTTCTGTCATCTCATAATCGATGCTGTCGTTGTGTTCTCGAGCGTCGTAAAAGACATCACCATCGTCATCAGGATCTGGCTCCTTGGCTTCGGTATTGTCTTGAGAATCCTGATACTCAGGGCCCGAGGGGCGCAAGCCTTTCGTCGGATCCCCCGCCATACCTGTGCTCATGTTCTCAACTGGTCCGATGATCCATGATGGTCGAAATGAGGCGAGAGCAGTCTGAGAATGTCGAATTTCTTGACATATTTGAGCTGCCGCTAATCTCAAGCCTTTGGTTGACAACAGGCCCTCCTTTGATATCCGTAAGGAATCTAAGCCCTTCAGTGCCATGACGAAGTCGTTGAGAACTGTGCGGCTCTCCAACTCAAACTTGATATGTTCCAGAGCGCAAGGCCGGAACTTGATCTCTGCCAGGGGACTGGTTCGCGTGCTGTAACCAACGCTGGATATGTCATCGACGTGCCACGGACCCATAAAAGAGAAGATATGTTCGGTGCGAACCTCGATCCGCATCATGTTATCGCATGTGTCCCATACCAAGGCACAAGACTCGAGCCGCAGTGTAGGGAGTAGACCATCACCTGCGAGCTGGACTAGCCCAAAGGTCTGCATGCTGGAATGGTGACGCGACGGAAGTGCCACTGACCCCTTCCATGGCGGCACATCTGGCGGCGCCCACCATCTTGTCACTGGTCGGATCTTTGGGGAGGGAGGAGTGATTACGACGCCTGCCATTTCGCGTTGCCTGGTCTTTGCATTGGCTGGACTGTTGAAGATCCCACCAAGATGCTCGAAAGCTATCTGATTGGCGAAATGCTCGTAAGATTCTGCATTGAGCAGAGCACCCAGTGCTCCGTGACGCAGTTTTGCCAGATGCTCACATTTTGTGATGCCGTACGCTCTGTCGTCTTCAAACTCACGTACCTCTGCTATTTCCCAAGGTGTAGCGATGGACGACAGGTTTGTATCTCCGATCATATGTTCGTCCCGTAGGCCATGAGGGAGACTGGCTCGATCCAACCCACTAACAGCGAGAAACTCGTCGAAACAGAAGTAGCTAACCAGATGTACGAGTTCATGTAACAACGTGGAGTCCTGAGACTCAAAAGCCGCATTCTCAGCAGATTTTTGGTCGTTCGCGTGCTGGCTGCGGATCTCATGGAAACTGCGCAATGTCGACAGTGGCAATCCTCGAACGCCGTCATAGAAGTTGATGTTTCCCCACTCCTTACTGGTGATACAGTCGGCGATGGTGCTGGACTGCTGGGAATTAGATGCTCGGAAGATGTCGGCGATGTATAGATTCACCTCGTCTATGGGCTCTTGGTCCGTGTCCATCTCAGAGATCGCTCTGGTGAGGAATGCAGTGATGAACCTGTAGAGCTGCTTCGTCAAGAAGGCGATGGAAGGCTGATAATCGTAGGACTTGAACCACCGTTCGTATGCTGCGCGGACTTCAGGATGTCGCTTTGAGGTCTTCAGATATAGCTCAACCACCTGAAGCACCCACTGTAGATTGCGCATCATGGACCTGAAGAGTATCTTTCTTTCCCGCGACATCTCCATGCAATGGGTTTGGAGATAGTTGAGTCCCTCTTCAGCGTTGAGTGGCCGAGGCGCATCTCTTCGCTGTTGCACCAGGTGCCAGGTGGACCTCATCATGAATTCTGTTCGTAATGTTCGGACCAAGCGTAAAGCGCCGCGAAGGCGACATCGTTGTGACTACACAGTAACGTAAGATCAGAGTGTAGTGATCGCGCCGCTTGGAAGACTTGAAGTAGCAGAAACGAAATTCTTGCAAATGCGAAGTGAGTTGATCAGCGAAGCAAGTGACAAGCTCTGGACCAGGTGAAGTGCTTGGCAACAATCCGCTTTGCGATGCATCGAGTAGCATGCCAGCAGCTGGAATGACACAGTAGGTACCAACATTCTCACTGAACAGCTCGAAATGGAACACAAGCTCTCCCAGACATCTGCAGCACAGTCAGCACCGTCCGATCAGGCATAGACGTCTATTTGCTGCATGATCGACCATGCAGGCTTGTGCTTCATGTGATGGGACCGCTACAATCTGCTGCTGGTCAGTACGTGGTAAGCGAGAAATTTCGTCCGAACGAGTGAAAGCGGCAGCCAGAAGCAAGTTGTAAATTTTTCGAGGCTGTCTATCATGGTCGTTGATACACGTCAGCTGGCTGATCGAACTTCCGGAGATAGGACACCCACGCTGAGGCGTCGCAAGTGACTACTTTGTCATGGCCCTTACTTCACCCCCCTTGGCCCATTGCTCCATCCTACGTAATCTGTAGCTTCGATGCCTCGCCATATCGCGCTCATTCATCGTGACTGGAACAGTTCCCTTCGTTATCCTTCATGCACATCCGTTTCCAACCTCTCAGTATTTGGTGTCGGCGTAGGGCCGGCGAGCAAATTCGCACTTCCAAGGGTCATTCGAGTCGTGCTGTAGTTGTATCGGGGCCCTGCCAAAGAACCCCCGTTCAGTTGTGCAACTGTCGCCGCAGATGTATTCATCACTTGATCGAGCAAGACAATATGACTATAATATTGTACAGCCAAGTGCCGAATTCAAGAGATTAGCACCAAGTGATGGCCTGTGGAACTTGGGCTTCTGAATCTCTGGCTTGTGTATTGCGATCTTGTCGATTTTGAGCTTCGAGACTTTTGCCTTTAGCGTTATGGGCTTCAGCACTTTGGGCTTCAGCAATTTAGGCTTTTGATTTTGCGGTAGAGTCTTCGGTGCTGTTTGGCTTAGTGATTGTGGTTGCAATTCTGATGGTGGTCGTGGTTGTACCTCAGATGGTGATCCTGCAGCGCGCGGCGTCGCCTGGGGTTGCAACCCCCATTCCGCTGGAGTTGTGTATTGTGACGGTGGTGTACTAATGATGTCGACAACTGTTCGTCGGTTGTACCAGCCAGATGGGTTGTGATAGATTCCACCAGCGTACTCAAAGGCCACCTGAGCAGCAAAGAGCATATAGGAGTCTGCGTTGAGTAAAGCACCCAGCGCTCCATCTTGCAGTCTCGCCAGGTGCTCACACTTCGTGATGCCGTAAGCTGTGTCGTCCCACCAGGTTGCTTGGCTAGAAGCTTCCAATCCGTGGCGATCGACTCTAGCTTCACATCTCCAATCCCGTGTCGAGAGAGACCCTTGGGTATCACCGCCCGCCTCAGCCCGCAAGAAACAAGGAAACCGTCAAAGCAATAGTCACTGACCAGGTGGACGAGCTCATGCAGCAGTGTGAATTCCTGAGAGTTGAAGGCCATTCGCTCGGCAGAACTTTTGCTATTTGCCCACACAGACTGGAAAACGCTGTCGTTGAGGGTGGACACCGGCAGAAGTCGGCTTTCCGGATCAAAATTAATGTTCGCTCGATTGGAGCTGCGTCGGTAGCAAGCCTCGCCTTGCCACTTTGAGGGAGCCTTGTGGATATGGGTGAAGTTGAAGGTGACACTCTCGGTCGTAGCTTGGGCGACGTCTAGGTCCGGGTGCTCTCGAGCAACGAATGCGGACACGAAGGTCGTCAGCTGTCTTGTGAGGTAGACGAGACCAGACTGGTACTTGAAAGTTTTGTACCATTGGAGGTAAGCCTGACGCGTGCCCAAATCCTTCTGGGACCTGTCCAGATAAAGTGCAACAACCTGGAGTACCCACAGCAAATTGCGCATCATCTCATCCATCTCTGCTGTTCTGGCCGCCGACATTGGCCCGCAATGCTTGTCAATATGACCATTTTCGACATCTGCGGCCACATTGTGTGAACGTGGACGTGGTGCATCCGCTCGTTGTTCCAATAGTCTCCAGACGACCTTCATCGTGACCGCTGCTTGTCGTGCCTCAGAGTCCGGGTAGCAGTCGGCGGCGATAACGACGAGGTGCCGAGATGATAACGTTTTGCAGCTTCATGGCTGACATGCCTATATAATTACATGACGACAGGCGATGTCCTCCGCAGGCAGATCTCGGCGTTGGCGAATCGTTGTCTCAGATGGCACTCTGCAAGGCCATTGTCATTGCCTAGGCTGTCGAAACCCAGGGCAGCCTCTGTTACGGTGCCTCGTGCTCTGTTCGCCTGCTGCAACTGCCCAGTGCAATGGACGTCACGCACAACAACGGGACACTTCCCTTTGCTCGTTGCATGCTGGGGCAAGACGGCGCCCTCCAAGTATAGGCCGGTTGCCATGCCTTTGTATATTCGGGTGTCAGACGTTTCGACGTCTTGCAGGAGGCATGCCCACATTCACGTGGAAAAGCGTCACTTTGTTGTCTGGTAGCAAGCATGCTTGTTGGTGGCGGCATGTTCGACGGTCGAAAAGTATGGTTGGGATGGCCATATCGTGTCCATAGCATGCAATAGCATGTTATGGATAAGAGACGCGATGAGCCAAGGAGACCCAACCGGAGAGCTCGAAATTTGGGTACGCGTATTATGGCTTCTTAGAGGCCTTCTGGAACGATGAAAAGAACTTAGGTCAGCCGGTCCATTGAATGGTGCAAAGTGCACCCATGACAATGAGAGACAAAGGAGCATGGAATGGCTTTCGAGGTGGAAGAGTATGAAATTCCCGAAAGAGCAGCTGCTGCCAACCACGTGCTGGTGCCACTTTCCTCAACCAGCGCAGCCACGTCGTTCATGCCGCTGATACTTGCCCGCCGATCCTTATACATCGTCTGCACCAAGACCTCGATGTGGACCGAATGCTTGCACGACACGAAGCACACACCAATTTGGCACATAATGCGAACAAAGACAAAGACAAAAAGAAGACAAGCAAACAAATGAACTCACCAAGAAACAACCCCACAATAGCCTAAACTCCTTTTCACACATCCCCTGGTGCACACTCTGATAATCCTTGAGAATACACTGACCATAGGCAGCCGCTTCAGCAGGACACTGTGATGCTGCACGCGCGAATTTGGCGATCGGCCTGATGGGTTTCGATGTTGGAGCCGTCATTCTGATGCTGCGTGGCGTTGCCGTTGCAGACACTGGACCTGTGCACCGCCTGGAATATGACCACGAGCTGACCGGGCGAGATACTCGAAGATGTGCGTTGTAAGCGACCGAGAAGTGATCAGGAGCTACTTCGAGAGATGGAAGATGGCGGATGTGGCGAAGTGAACTTGCTGCTGGAGTTCGAAGAAGGGCAAACACAAAGGAGTTCAATGACTGCTCGTCGGTGGGAGCGTCGTGGGCACCGTCACTGCTGTTCAGTCGATGTGGTGCTGGCCGGGACGTGATAGACGAGCTGAGAGTGTCGAATATGTCTGATACGTCCTCGTAACGTGTTGTGCAGAGAGATGATGTCGTAGATCAAGGAGATCGATGGTGGACCGTTCCTCCCTGTCGCTGGGCCAATGAGCTTGCTTTTGGTCCTGCCGAGCTTGGCGCCGTTTTACGGATGTGCGGTTTATCGACGACATCGTTCTTTCCAAAATGCATCGGCTACTCGTTCACAGCAGCACAGATACCTAGGCATGCGTTTCTATCAAAGCGCCAGCCTGCCCCAGTAGCATGCTCTGGGACGCTATTGCCACAATGTTCACTCGAACTCCAGGTCCAATTCTGAATTGACGAGCTCTGATCTACTGTACCCTGACTGGATGCGATGTCCTGGAGGACTGCGTGTGCACACGGCCGGCCCAGAGCAGTCTGGTTGTGTGTTTCGTTGACTCGCCTGAATGATGAGAATACTCGCGCAACCCTAGGCGAGGCGGCGTGACATGTCGTCTGAGAATATATATATCGCGAAAACGTCATCTCTAGCAGCGGTTGCATCACGAGTGTCGCCTAAGGTGTATGACAGTCGGCAGGCACTTAGTCGGCCTTCATGGGAGCAGTAGGTGATAGGTAGACTTGAACTACGCACCATCCATAATGCAACCAAACACATCTACATCCAAACCACTACGCCTTACTTCGTCATAACCACAAACAACCTCGGAAACCGCAACAGCACTCCCCCATCCACCAACGTCGGATACTCCGGCCTCAGCAACTCAAGGTACCTCTCCACAAACTCTCTCCTCTGCTCTTCATCCACCAAAGGCTCCATATACGGCCGCAGCCCAGTCGTCGCAACCCAATCCACAATCGCCTGATGACTCGCCAACTTGTGCTCGTAGATCGTGTGCCATATGTCCACCGTCTGACAGTGCGGCTTGAACGCATCATATAGCTCCGAAGGCGTAGGGAAGCCTCTGTTCCCAGGCATGTTAGCGCCATACTGCTGACGAAACGGTTCCTGAATCGCAACTTCCCGCATCATCTTGTGGCTGGGCTCGTTGAAGTTGTTGGGGACTTGTACTGCGAAGCAGCCGCCTGGCGGCAGTAGGTCTAGGTAGCGCCGTATGGCCGGTATTCGCTCATCGACTGAGAGCCACTGAAAGGTGGCGTTGCTGTAGTATAAGTCTACTGGACCATCCTCTGCTGGCGGCGAGTACTTTCGTAGATCTCCCAGCTGGAACGTAATATTAGGCAGCGCAGCACGAGCTTTCTCCAGCATGTTAGGCGAAGTGTCGACGCCGGTGACGTGTGCTTCTGGATAGCGTTCCGCCAGGAGAGCGGACGAGTTGCCGGGACCGCATCCCAAGTCCACGACTCTCCTTGGGTGGAGCTCGGGAGGTACTTGGGCGAGTAAGTCACGTGCTGGTCGCGTTCGCTCGCGCTCGAAGGCGAGGTAGCGGGCGGCTTCCCAGTCCGGTGGCGACTGCGCTGTGGTTCTGGAAGCTTGCTGAATGGTGGCTGAGGACATATTGCGCTGTCGTGATCTTGGCGTAGGAATATGGTCGATGTGATTGTATGCTAGTCTTGGCTTCAAGCTTCGATCAATGCTTGAGAGGACTATGAATCGTCGGACTTGGAGGACTGCAAGGCTATGGCGGCTGACATTGCCGACATTGATTCTGCAGAAAGTCGGATTCATCTCTCATACCACGCAGTTGACTGCTCTCCCATGTGTCGATCTTACAGCTGGTATAACTGTCCGGTCCTTAAGTTGCTGTCGGGGTTTGACCGAGAGCCTAGCGGCAATGACTTGGCACCAGCATCTGGAGGCCATTAAACAGCGCATAAGGTCATCAGTCGGGACGCCACGATGTGCATGCCAGGCTACTAAGAGCAGATTCTACTTCATATTCGAGTCGCGTATAACGCTGTGCAATGGGCGATGCAAGATGGCAGATGGCTTGCGATGTGTAGTCCTATCAATGTGTCACTTTTCCGCTTTAATTGCGCATATCCACTATCGCATAAGGGCCATGTGCGCAAAGGCCATGGCCCCATAAACCAGCAGCTCACTGTGTGTGCCCGCTCTGCAGCTTGGTTGTTCATGTTCGGGCGGCCTGTTTGTACCCAACCCATGCAAAGAGCCAGCCCGTATCCATAGCTTTAATTGTACTGCAAAAGAGCAGGATCGCTCCCCGAAACCGTGGTATCGCAGTCATGCCCGAGACCTCCGCCATATGCCAACCATTTCGTTTTGTATCGTATGTCAAGTTCACTGATCCCACTCGCCGCCCTGGCTGAAGAAGTCGTCGCCTTGTGTGCCTGTTCTTTGTACACCACTCATTCTCTGATCCCTGTCTCGCTGACTTTCCTGGCCCCCCTGCTTGTCCTGCAGTTGCTGCAGTTCTCGAGTCTTCTGTCGCAATAGTCCACTGTCGTCCATTCTCTCGTCAACATCATCTGTGCCATCTCGATCACCGAATTGTGACTCAAGTGTACTCTCGTCCACAAAAGTGAAACCTTGGAATGCGTTCTGCATCGTTGGACTCAGAGGCGTGGAGTCGGTCTGCCCACCTGCTGCAAGTGCAGCAGCACGTGCGTTTAGTGAACTCGAAGTGTTGAGTGCGTTGGTGAATTCGGGATCGAAGTTGGACGTGTCGGCGTTTGATGTCAATTTCGGCTTGAATGGAGGAATCAAGTTCTTCTTCCCGAGCGCATCCCAGTCGACATCAGCAAAGAACGGGTGCTCCTGCAACTCGACCGCGTCACGCGTCGCGCCGAGTCGGTGTTTCGGGTTCCGGTTGAGGAGACCTTTGACAAAGTTGCGGCCTTCAGTGGATAGTGCGTCGCGAGGGAAGCGGACTTTGCCGAAAGCGATGTTCTTATACATCTGCTGTGTGTCTTCCGCGTAAAACGGCGACCACCCACAGCACATTTCGAACACAAGGACCCCCAGGGACCAGAAGTCTACCATTTTCGTGTAGCCTTGCTCGTCGAGTAGAACTTCTGGTGCCAGATATTCTGTTGTGCCGCAGAATGTGTTGGTGGTGTCGTTCTTGGTGAGGTTGGCTTTCGAGAGACCGAAGTCGCACAGTGCGATGTGGCCGTTAGCATCAAGAAGAATATTCTCGGGCTTGAGGTCGCGATAGACGATGTCGTGTTCGTGTAGATGCTTTAACGCAAGAATCAATTCGGCGATGTAGAATTTCGCGCGATCCTCCTTGAAACGACCTTCCTTCTGCAGATGCCAGAATAGCTCACCCCCAGACATGAAGTCTGTGACCAGGTAGAGATCGGCTGCAGTCTGGAATGAGAATTTGAGACCAACGATGAAGGGTGAATCCGTCATTGCTGTTCTGACGAGAATATTCCTCTCGCCGATTGTGTGTTGAATCTCCTTCTTCTGGATGATGACTTTCTTCGAGAGGACTTTCATGGCGTAGATTCTTTGTGTGTCCTTCTTCCGCACCTGATAGACTTGACCAAATGTTCCCTTGCCAATAAGTTTGAGAATCTGGAAGTCGTGCGGGCCAATATGACGTTTCTCCGTTTCTGTGAAAGCCATGCTTATGTGAATTTCGCCGGAGATGTCCTGGTCGCCCACAGCTCGTGCCATCAGTGGAAAGAAATTCTCAAGTCGTGGTTGTTGTTTCGTGAGATTTAGACAGAGACGAACGTGTCCGAGGAAAGCGTCTTGATGGCGATCGTAAACAGAAACTTCAAGTTCTGATTGTTTCCCAACCACGTCACTTTCTCAAGTTAGTACCTTCACTTCACACGGTAACTGCACAGTGACCACTTACAATAATGCTTCATGGTCCCATTGAGGGTCAGTGACCTTGTTCAAGGCTCGACCACTCTCTTCACTCAGACCATTCGTACTGCTCTGCCTGCTTCTCATCGGGATTGCCATTGCCCGCCCCGTCTCGCTATCTGACCTTTGCATCGGCTGTGCACGTGAGGGTCCAAGGCTATCAACATCCATACTATCTGTTTTCGAGCCTTTCGATATGAACTCATTGTACTCAAAAGTTACGACCACATAAGGGTCGAAAGCTGCTTTGATGTTACGTCCCTCCGCTATCTTGACAGCAAGCTTGCCTCGTGGCTGCTGGGTCGGAACTTTGGGGTCTACATCTGTTACTGTTTTGTGTTTGTGTGAGTCGTCCACGAGTGGTGACCGTCGACGGTCTTCTTGTGATAACGCTCTCGGGGTGTGTGGAGGTGTAGCCTTCTCCCGTGGCGCATTGGCCACGTCCTCAGTTAGCGCAGTGTTTTCAGAAATCAACTGGGACTGCGTAGGTCTTCGGGCTGGGGAAGCCTGAGGAGAGTGACTCTGGGAAGACTGTGCTGTAGACGAGGGATTGGAAATATGAGGAGCAGAAACCGAAGTGTGGTTCACGCTTGAGACTGGGAGAGACTGATGTCGAGTGCTGTGGCCGCTGGAGGAACTTTTCGGTAGCACAAAATTTCGCAGCGCCTGAGTAATAGATGCAAGGCCTGACTCGGCCAGAGGTCTTCCGTTCTCAGCAGACTCCCCGTCTCGATTCACATCAGAAGAGCCTGATGATATCGGCGTGGGAGGCATGCGAGAAGAGTCAACCTCTAGCTGAGTTGGAAGCTCTTCTTGCACCTCTTCTGGCGGTGGTGTCGGTATTTGTGCTTGTTCGCGTTCGACCATGACCATTGAGCCGACGGATGTTGTTGACCCACGCCTCGATTTCCTCCGCACATGTTTTGGGGGATGGCTTGCAACCGAATCGATAGAAGGGGTGACAAGAGCTTGGGCATCTTTGAGGGGTGAACTGGTAGAAGCCTGGCTACCCACCTGGCCAAAATAGCTGCTGTCTAATGCGGGTAGTCGTTTGTCGTGGAAATCTGGACGTGGTGTCTCTACGCCTGAGGCGTTGGTGATTCTGTGCCGATCTGATCCATCCCTTGTTCTCGAAGCTCGTGTCGCGCACTGCTGGAGGGTCGTTAGCATGAGTGGACTAGCAGAATGCAAGAGCACGGTGTGTCAAGGCATTAGAGCAGTCGAGCCGCGGTCTCGACCGTGGCCGCCTCAGTCCGGTGACCATTGTGGAGAGGGTAGCATCTTGGAATTTTGCACATGCTAAAGGTCCCATTGTGTTGTGCTAGTGCTGATGACGCGGAGAATACACCATTTTGCCATGGCAGCGTTGACAACACCATAGGAGCACGCTGGGTTGCGCAGGAGACAGGCAGGAAGACACGTACTTTTGAGCGACAGCTTGCCTCAGCAGGTCTGCTGCATGTGATGGGTTGACGCCTCCCATGTGCGCCATAGTGCACAGCTCGGGTCTGTGGCGAACGAGTCCTCCTCTTAAGCTGCAGCGAGGGATGGCCTATTGCATCCCAGTAGCGTTGGTCGTCGACGGCAACGTTCGGAGCCTCTCGATTTCTGCGTTTCGGGAACTTGATGGTGGGAGGTTGCTTGCCGCTTCTCAAGCTTCAGTTCGGGGGTGGATTTGGAGAATGTCGAGGGGCAAAGTCGGCGAGGATCGCACCCGTTCAGTAATGACGCAGGCCTGGTAGAAATTCGGGGGAGCGAAATGTTTAAGTACGAGTTCGAGTTTGTATGCGCCGATGGGGTGAGGTGAGGTGATGCGCAGGTGATGAGGCGTAGTAATGGACGTGCAGGGGTGAAGGGACCTGTCCGTAGTTTCGCCTGGATTCGAGAAACGGTAGCGACAGCTGGATTTGATTTGTGATGGCGAATACTGATATGCTGGAAGCCACCAGAGGAGAGAGGGGATGCGAGAGATTAATTTTCGAAGAGCACTGACAGCGCGCAGACGTAGGTTATTCCAAGCAGGATGTCGTAACCGACTGGTCTGAGTCAATGCGTTAAGAATCTGAATTTCCCGCGAGCCCGGATGCCGATCATCATAGGTGCCAGCTTGCAGGAAAAAGTTGTTGGGGACGCCTTCTGATAAGTCACACGAATTTGTATGGGAGGATGGAGAATTGAAGACTTTTCAACAGCTTCGTCAAAGGTATTCGTTGTTGTCGATAACCTTGAATTAAGAGAGCGACCACCCTGGTCCTATGAATGGCTTGACAGCCGCTGCAGTGGGAAACATGGCACGGTTGAAGCACTAGTATTAGGTCTGGTAGGTATTCTAGGTACTCTGCTCGGTGACCAGTGTGGCCCCGGCAATTGAGATCTTCGAGACATGATCGGTCGCCAGGCGGACTCCGTAGTACCGCAAGCCTCACAGTGTCTCGCGTTTAGATCCGTCAACCGTTCCTGTCCGCTCCAAGCATTTACTTGTCTGAGGAACTTCTGCTTCTACGCCAGCTGATGCCTCCTCAGCCCCCTCTGTGGTACTCTCTTGTCGCCCCTGTTTGGCCCTGCAATCAGCGCCATTAGCAACGCAAGCACTCATCGCGGGCTGGCTACGACGCCTGAGTTTGCTTTTGGCTTCCGTGTCTTCCCCTCGCCCAATCCTGCAAGAAGTTCTTGCTGCCCAACTTGAACAGGCGAAATACGGGCGTCTTCAAAGCCTGTTTCGACTAAAGGTGCTTTGCGTCCACTCATCCGACAGTTCTGTTGTCGTTTACCCGTGAAATGCCGCAAATCGCCGTTACTTTTCTGCTACAGGCCTCGGCTATTACAGGTGTTTCCGCTAGAACTATATTTTTGTAGGTATGGATGAGGCTGAAGCATGCTGTAGCACCATGGCGCTCGCTGATGGAGGCATACCCCAGGAATGTGGTACAAGTCTGGGGCCGAGGATCGTTCTTTTGGACTTCTTGCGTCTGAGATGACTGCTGAAGGAGCTGGACGGCTTTCGGCTTGTGCAACACACCCAAGTCAGACACAGCTCGTACTTGCAGGTGACGCGATTCAGCCTGAAGCCAGCCACTTTTCCACGTGGGATCAGAAAATCCATGTAGCGAGATCTTGCTGACTCACCTGCTTGGCATGATCGGCAGGATTTGGCTTGGCATAATGAAATCAGCCTCGCGCAGCCTCGTGCCATCGCATAACGCGTTCGCGACGGGGCATCTCTTGCGTAGTAAATTTCGAACCGACGTATCTTGCGGTCCGCAGCTCGGGCACCACTTGAAGTACTCAGACGCTGTGACAGCTGAGGTTGTATCTCACAATGGCGAGACGGCCACGTCAGGCCGCTCAGGCCGCGGCCATCTCCATGCGAAGTAAGTTACAGAGCATGTAGTATCAAATGCTTCGCTAATTCGCCTACAGGCACCCGTATCCCTGTCCTCTCGGACAACGAAGACGAAGAGATGGTCGACGCTCCACCCACTGACCCAGCGACGCCGAGAGAGGATGAGGATGACCAAGCGCAGAACGACGAAGGCGACGAAGGGGAAGATGATGGCACTCCATCTCAGGCTTCTCCAGCACCATCGCGGTCAGCGACTCCCCGTCGACGAGGGAGAGGTGGTGGTAGAGCTAGAAGAGGCGGTGCCAGGTCGACAAGAAGCAGAGCGCCTGTCTCAGAAGATGAAGCACCTGAAGTGCCCTCAGATCCACCACCAAAAAGACGAGGCGGTTTCCGTGGCGGCAACAGAGGTCGCTGGGCTAATCGCAAGTCAGGAGTTTCAAGGAATGTGCCTATGGACGAAGATGGAAATCCGATGGAGGTCGAGGATAATGAACTTGTTCTACCAGAGATTCCTGAGGGCGAGGAGAAAGTTGCAAAGAGTGGCGAGCTCTTGGGCGGAAGGGAATATCGCGTGCGCACTTTCACCCTTCCCGGACATGGCGACAAACTCTACATGCTTTCGACCGAGCCAGCACGTTGTCTTGGCTATCGCGATTCTTACTTGTTCTTTACAAAGCACAAGTTCTTGTACAAAGTCCTCCTCGCTGAAGACGACAAAGTCTATCTCATCGAGCGAGGCATGATACCCAGCAGCTACAAAGGCAGGTCGATCGGCATAGTAGCCGCAAGGTCAGTGTTCCGAGAATTCGGTGCTAGAATCGTGGTAGGCGGCAAGAAGATTACCGACGATTACGATGAGCAGGCTGCCCGCGAGAGGGGCGACGTCGAGGGCGAGCTGGCAGATATGAGAGATGCACTACCCGGTGCCGGCGAGTCGTACGACAGAAATCAATATGTGGCTTGGTTTGGTGCGAGCAACGTCTACAACGCCAATAATATTGCAGTCGTGCCAGGCAAGAAAGGCCCTGAAGGCAAACGAAAACGTATCATCATAACGAGCGACAACTGGCTGTATGAGCATGCACGAAGCACAAGCCAGTTCAACTCAGCATTGGTACAAGCCAGACAAGCGAATTTCGATGGTCTCTATGATATCCATACCAACGTCATGCAGTGGCCACGGCACATGCAATCAACTCATGGCCACTGGGAGAAGGTCAACGACAGAGAGGCGGAAGACGAAGAGGAAGGATATCGTCTGCCACCCTTGGACCCGGTCTATTCACGCAACTTCAGAATACACGATTTTGCCGTGGAGGCTCCCCCAGATTCTCATCTTGTGCCGCCGGGCATGGAATGGGACGAGAATAGTCTAAGCTCAATACCGACCGAGGTACTGGACGAGCTGCCCCTCGACTGCCTGGAGGCCCTGAAGAAAGCACAGTCTCGAGAGACCGAATGGCGTAACAAATGGAAGAGCGAGAAACGAGATGGCCTTCGCGCGAACTTTCTGCCTTCGCTGGAATGGTATCCAAAGTCATAGCCTGACTAGGCGGCCAAGTTCATGCTGCTCCTGGAACATGGAATCATCTCTGGGAGGGCACTGATGGCCAACACAAGCAAGGATCGGCTCAATCCTGGCCCTGCCACCATTAATCAGACAAGCGACACTATTGCTTACACCTCGCTGTCACTACGTCGGTGGTGTTGTCATGGGTCACTCCCAGTTGCTTGCCTGTTCCTCGGCTGTGCAGCGATTGGGTACATCACTACTCTTCACCACATCCGAACTTGCCGCGAGCGGCAATTCGCGAGAAGGTTATAGGCTATGACCGAGGAGGCCTGATGCACTCAGAACACCATGTCGAAGCGACGGCAGCAGTTGGCAGTATCATCTTTACGATGTTCATGATGATGATGTGCATGAACGGAGAACGCGACCAATGCTGAAGGCCTGTGTGTCAGCTCTCAGGTGCTTGGCATCTGTATTTTCGATCTCGAAGTACGCCCCAATGCGGTTCGGACAGGCGATAGGCCGAACCAAGTTTAGTCACGGCCCGACTACGCTTCAGCGATTATCGTTGACCACGGCCGTGCGTCAATCTGTGCTCGTAAGGGCAGAGCGGTACAAGCTGGACCGGAGCCGCTTGGTAATGGCATGTGCCTGCGCCATTTCTAAAATGGCTATCTATGTCTGTCTCACAGTTGAACCTGACGTTACTGACGTCGCAAAGAAGACTACGAACAGTAGTGGACATGACAGTGGATTTCCAGGGTCGAAGATGACCACATAATTCTTGCTTGGCGTGGCAACGATGAGCCTCTTGCTTAGCCGTGCCAGATCTCGAGCGCAAGTTCGGTCATCAATGCATCACCCTAGGATGGCGGAGCAGCTAGACGGGCACATGGTCTCGGGTGTTCCAGACCTATGATGGCAGTTCTCCAGTGTTGCCCGGCCAGATAGCCTGGACGAAGCAATGCCAATCATCGATGCAGCACTGTAATTTTTCATGAATCCTGTGATCGAGGCAGACTTTTGGCACATGTTTGACAGGCCATAAGGCAGCAGCACTTTGGATGAGGCACAGCACAGTGTTCTGTGGTCTCGAACTAGTTTTGCTACGCAGCAGCAGTGATGCAGAAAAGTCTAGTGTGCACAAAGCAACGCAATCTATGTATGCTCAGTGGTGCACTCGTAGTCAGCCGACATTCAAAATACACCACACAGCAACGGACTACTGACGGGGGCTGGCTGTTGGGCGGCCTTCACACACACCGCCCACGATCCAGCCTACACTACTGCGGCATCTCACATTCCTTCTCGTCGCGTGGGACTCCGTCCTCGTGCAGTCGGATGTGTACCCACTCGTCCAAAATGTGGTTCTTACTACTCAGAAGCTGTGATGAAAGGAGGGGTAGACTGTCCGTGAAGACTCTGCACACGACCAAATTGTCTGTTGATAGCATCACGGGAAGCAGGAAATTTTGCACTTGTTGTGAAAGCGAGTGGACAGGCAGAAAAAGCATGCAGTGTGCTCCCGATGCTCAAGCCCCCGGCTGTTGACGGATGGATGTCAAGCAGGCAGGCAGAGACAATGTTCCTCCGCAGAAAATCCGTTGCGGGTGTCGTAGAGGTAGTCGAGCACTTGGTAGGCACGATGAGGTAGTAGAGGGGCCAAACGACCCAAAATAAGGGGAGTCTACGGGCAGAAAAACAACAGGGGTTGACGAAGCAGCCGAGGGTTTCCAGAATTATTTCACGATGTGATGACCAACGGCTCGAACTGGTTGGCTGCTGGGCGATGACATGGTTTTGGTTGCCACCAGGAAGGCGAAGGAATGTAGATTGCTCGGTGCCTGGCTTGCTCGTCGCGAGGATGAAGAACCACCACAGGATAGGAGATCTTCAAGCAGCCGTTATGGCTGAGGTGTTCTTCGGAAGCGCAGCAACAGCAGCTGTTGGGCGACAGGCAAATTCAAAGGCCTCATCAAATGTCATAGATAGTCGTCATGAATTGTGCTAGACGGCAATGTGGCGGTCTGCTCCACCACTCGAACGAATTCAATGCTCAACAGTTCGGGGGCTGCCGTACACAGTAGCTTTCACATTGTCTGCGGTGCTGTTTCTCGACGACTGCGCTTTGGCTTGAGTACAGCAGCGTGAATCATCAAGTGCTCGTGCATAGAATTCTGCGGCTTTTGATATGAATTCAAGGAGGCTTGCGGATGAGAGGCAAAAATCCCCCTGCTGGGCTGCTGGACGATCATCATCCCTTCTAATAAAATTCTCGCCTGGCTGTTCAAGTTCTTGCCTGGCTCAGAAATGAGCCTAGCGGCTCCTCCTTTGCACAGTCCGAGTCGTCAGAGTCCCAGCGCCAGGGTGCCGGCAGGTCACGCTCCGACAAGTCCCTTTTTTTCTCTTTCGCTGACATCTCTCCTCTGCACGCCCGCACTGCTGCACCCTCGCTGGCAGGCTGCTGCTACTCTATCTCAGCTTCTGCTCCTGCTTTTCAATCCTCTTTTCCACACACTCCTCTTCCCCCCCCCCCTTTCACCGTTTGCGATAATATCTATTTTCGTTAATATCGACTCTCCTCTCCTCTCATCACATCCTCCTTATCCTCTCCCGACCTCGAATTCAATAGCCAAGCGGACAATTGGGGCATCATCTATTCCTGGCAGTCAGAAAAAGCCATTGTGCCCCATATTTGCAATTTCGGAAACCGGGTTACTCTGGATCAGTCTGATTGCCATCAATTTCCACCAGACCATTGTTTGAGTTGTCCCAGAAACAACTCTCCGACACCTCTCGAACGCTCGAGCAGTTGAGTAACTTGAGCTGCTGGTTGCTGGTGATCAGGTTCGCTTTTGGAACACGACGTTGCAGCCCGTGGCTGAGTAGCGAGCGCCGGTTCCATAATCCCAAGCCGTGCACCCACCTATCCAAGCCCGAAGCAAAGCCTCGTCTCGCCTCGCCACGCCTCGTTGCCGCGAAAAATATTGTTCAGGTTCACTTCGATCAACACATCACTCCTCAACAGTCACGTCTCTCCTGGTCGCCATACCTCACATTCTGGCCTATTGACAGGACTGAAGCCCGCCAACAGCCCAGACACTGTCTGATTGCGACTGTCTCTGACGGTCCGGAACCTGTCTTGCCTCAACCTTGACCCATCAAACACGGTTTTTTGGTGTCACCATCTGCCTGGTTAGTTGCCCTCTTCCGGCGCAGTCAGCCACCCTTGCACGATTTTGTCAACGCGCAGCACTGCGCACATTTATCATAGATGCCTGAACGCGAATTATGTGACTAACTTCGATCCTCTCCAGACTACTTACTGGTTCACTCAAACCAAGTTGTCATCGCTTCAACCTCATCCGTCCCGACGAGCTTTTCACTAAGTCTTGTCCATCACCATCGCGTCGATCGTAAACGAGATCATTGCACAGCATTCAGCATCACACATAAAACCGCATTGCTTCGCTAATGAGAACGCTGCGCGTCGATACCTAATTGCAATAACCTGGGAACACGAACACTTTCATCAAGGACACCATTCATGCTATTGAATTGAGTCTGACAAACAACACCATCATAAGCTCCGGCTTACAAGGTTCGCAGGCGTTCAGCCCGACCTTCCCAACGAGTGGATAGTCGTTCGACTGTCTGCTCAATCTCCTTCTCCAGACCATGTCGAACTACGCAAGTTGGGGTCCTACCTCACAACATCAACAACGACTGCCTCCTACGCCACCAGACTATCAAGGCGACTACAACATGGCTGATGCTACATACTATCCTGCTGCTGGCTTCCATTCTAGACACAATTCGACCAGAGAGCGCAGCGATCGCTACCATCAGGCATCCTCGTACAGCACACAGCCAACAATTCACGGCCACCCGCGTGCGCACCACATGTCTTACGATAGCTACACTCACGGCCATCATGCCTATCAGTACGCTGCCGCACCCGCACCGACAGTCCTCCCACCCATCCGGAATCCCATGGCCATTGATCCGTACATGTATGGTCATCATGAGAAGAAGGAGGACAAGCCAACTGGAGGAGTCGCACAACACCTTGATTACGAAATGGACGTCATGGCCTCCTTTGTGTCTGAGATGGCTCAAAAGCTGTAAGTCTTTAATCCAGTCCATGTACATATTTTCTCAGCGCTGACCAGAATAGAATAATTCCTGGCTCTGAGCCTCCAAGAGAGTTTCGCAAGTATGTATCGCAGATTCTCTCGTCGACACGGCTTCCCAGCTCCACCATCATGCTCGGTCTCTTCTACCTTGCCACACGCATGAAGATAGTCAAAGAGCTTGGTCACGACGTGTCTGGCTCGGGCATCGTTTACCGCATGCTCACGACATGCCTTCTGTTGGGCTCGAAGTTCTTGGACGATAACACGTTCCAGAACAAGTCATGGGCCGAAGTCAGCAGTATTCCGGTCGTGGACCTGAACCTCATGGAACTTGATTGGCTTCAGGGTTTCAATTGGGAAATCCACAGCCTCATGTACAATGAGCAGGAGAACTTCTTTGACTGGATTCATCACTGGAAAGACTACGAGAAGAGAGCCAAGAACATCAAGGTGAAGGAGATGCACAAACTGGCTCCCATCGAGACCAAGTTTGCACCGCGATATTCCCACCAACACCCCATCATGATGTCGCCCGAAGGCCCGATACCAACTCAGTACCAGCAGAGCCCCCAGTACGACACACAATGGGCTCGTCATTACATGCAAGAGTACTCGCCGCCGTCTGCTCCTCATAGCGGGCCAGCTACTCCGGAATACTATCCTCATTCTCAGCAGTGGTCATATCCCTCTGCCAACAACCTTCGATTCACCCCTTATGGCAACACATATCCTGGGTACGGTCATCAACAGAACCAGTGGGCCCACGCCATCAACTGCGGATGCGGAACTTGCGCCAAAGGTTCTGACTTCTACTTCCATGGCAGCTATCCAGTCCAGACGGTGGTTGGATAGTGATGCGCACCGCATTACTCTGCTGCAGAATCCTCGTCAGTCCCAGTACGAGGTCACATTTGACGATATTACGAACATGGCCATTGGTCATTTGCTTGCGGCTTTTACATCTGAGCGACCTTTCTTTTCGATATGCTTTGCAGTTTAGACAAGTTTGGGATTCCATTCACGGCGTTCACTACCGTTAGAGCAGGAGTATTCGACATTTCTGCGACACAACCACAAAAGTCAAAAAGTTTGCCGCCACCTCACATCACGACAACGTCAGGTGCTTGGTCTTTCGCAAGGCCATGCCGTGTTCTGACCCGGTATCGGCAACGACCAGGTTATTTCCTGGCGAGATCACACGAACCTTCACGTTACGAACATCCTTCAAAGGCGAGCCAAAGACTTCTGAGCTTTGCCTACTGTATCTTATTCCAAACAAGTCATTCTTGTAATCACATTCATCACGGCCGGCGCGCAATCGGGTCATTCCCACATTTCTAGACATTCATTGGAGGTGGAAAAAGAATCTTATTACCAGCACGGTGTTCAGAGGCGGGTGGGACCGGGCGGGTGTTGACACAGACAGCGAAGCAACGGGGAGAAGGAGCAGGTCATGTTATTGCGAGATGGCAAGTGGTGTCGGTGGGTGATGATAGTGGGGAGGACCATCAGCAAGCAACATCAGCTGTTGGTCACGAATCAGTGTCATCTGACGAGATCATGCAACCGGCTCCGGCTTATGAAAATACCCCTTGATAGACCCTTCTGGTTTGTTGCTTCTTAGCTAGATCAGACAAGACGGAGCGAGAAATCAAGAATGATTTTCAGACGATGCTTTTCTTCGCTGCCTTGCTAAAGTTGAGCTGATGCCGGACATGTAAGTTACCGGTACACGGTTCTGCCTACAAGAGCCGCAGTATATGAATTGTTTAGGCACAGCAAGCATTTTGTTACTTTCGATAAATCATGTGTAGCCGGGAAGGGATTCGTACCAGAATTGAAGTGAGTGCCCATGACAGGCAGGCAGCGAGGCAGTTGCGTACATTGCTTGGCGCAAGTCATCGCCTTTGAGCTCAAGACGCCGCACCGGCCACCGTAGAACGTACATCGCCTCTCCATCAAACGCGAACTGAACGTTGTAAATGTAATCAATCCCAAGCGACCTCTCTTGAGCCACTGATTTCGATCTCGTCTCTAGAAGCACTATATACCTGCTAGGAAGTCAATCTCCTGACGTTCTCCCCTTCACACTCACCTCAGCCATGTCAACGCTCGAAGACCTCGACGACCTTGATCGTCAAGAGAAGGAGGAGAAGAAAGATGAGGACAAGGACAAGAAACCCTCAAATTCGGCCAATGGCGCCAACGGCGATGCTGAGATGAAAGATGCAGAAGACAAGAAGGAAGAAGCAGAAGAAGACATCGATGTAGAGATTCTTCAATCATCCACCAGAGACGTGATCAATCGCCGACGGTTACTGGAGAACGAGCTCAAGATCCTGAAGTCGGAGTTCCACCGCCTCAAGCACGAAGAGACTACCATGAAGGACAAGATCAAGGACAACATGGACAAGATTGAGCAGAATCGGCAGCTGCCGTATTTGGTCGGCAATGTTGTCGAGCTGCTGGATCTGGACGTGGAAGCGGAGGCGGCAGAGGAAGGGGCGAACATTGATCTGGATGCTACAAGAGTGGGCAAGAGCGCAGTCATCAAGACGAGTACCCGACAGACTATCTTTCTGCCTTTGATTGGATTGGTGGATCACAATAAGCTGAAGCCAGCGGACTTGATTGGTGTGAACAAGGACTCATACCTGGTATTGGACACTTTGCCAGCTGAGTACGACTCGAGAGTCAAGGCTATGGAGGTGGATGAGAAGCCGACGGAGAAGTACACCGATGTTGGTGGTTTGGATAAGCAGATTGAGGAGCTGGTGGAGGCTGTTGTATGGCCGATGAAGGAAGCTGAGCGGTTCAAGAAGATTGGCATCAAGGCGCCCAAAGGTACGATAAATGATCCTACACCTTTATGGTGACATACTGACGCCGCCACAGGTGCCCTCATGTACGGCCCTCCCGGTACTGGCAAGACCCTCCTCGCTCGAGCCTGCGCAGCACAAACCAACGCCACTTTCCTGAAACTTGCCGGCCCCCAGCTCGTGCAGATGTTCATCGGAGACGGCGCCAAGCTCGTGCGTGATGCCTTCGCTCTAGCCAAAGAGAAAGCACCTGCGATCATCTTCATCGACGAGCTCGACGCGGTCGGCACCAAGCGATTCGACTCCGAAAAATCCGGTGACCGTGAAGTTCAACGAACCATGTTGGAGCTCCTTAATCAGCTCGACGGCTTTGCATCTGATGAGCGCATCAAAGTCCTTGCTGCCACCAATCGTGTCGATGTCCTTGATCCTGCTCTGCTAAGATCTGGACGTCTGGACCGAAAGATCGAATTCCCTCTGCCAAACGAGGAGAGCAGGGCACAAATCCTGAGGATTCACTCGAGAAAGATGACGGTGGATGAAGACAGCGTGAACTGGAATGAGTTGGCGAGGAGTACGGATGAATTTGGTGGTGCGATGTTAAAGGCTGTGTGTGTTGAGGCAGGGATGATTGCACTGAGGAAGGGGCAGGTGAAAATTGGGCATGAGCATTACGTTGATGCCATCGCGGAGGTGCAAGCGAAGAAGAAGGACACAGTCAACTTCTACGCCTAATGGACGGGCTGCGAAGTACAAATTGGAACGAAGCAGGTCTGCGGAAGTCTTCGGAGCAAGCTGATGGGCACCCCGTCCTCCTCTGCAGGCTCTCCCGAAAGCATCAACTTCATCGGAGGTGCATCACCGTCTCCATCTCAGACCTCTCGGAGCGAACGTGGACAATGTGGGCATTCACTTAGCATGTGATTGGGACACACCTCTTCTGAACCACAGAAGGCAGATAAGGAACAGGAAGCATTATATGAACAGCGTGCAGCGACGCTAGACATCTCGAAGATGATCGACCAGAACGGGATCCACCGTCCATGCTCGCAATACAAGGGACCGGGCGCTCTTTCCCTCGTAGACCTGGGGTTCTCGTCGAGCTTTGGCGGCAGGGACAAACCGCAGCTTTGGTCCAACTTCCAAAGCTTTCCAGTCCGCAGAAAACGCAAGAGCCTGAGTTGTGGCTCTGAACTTACCGAGTTCCAGTGCCATCGACCCGACTCGACACTTCGCCTACCATAGACCCAAGCAGAATCCATGAGCACGGGTCAAGCGATTGGCTGTCTTTCTCCTCACAGTCCCTTACCCCGTTGACTTACGGCAACAAGATCGGAACAATCGTGTTCGATGGCATCCAAGCCTGTACCAACGACAAAGGTCTGGTGCGTTGGCCTTAGCTCACTTCCACTACTCTTGACTCATCTCGTATAAATTGCATCTCCAGCACTTACGTTCTCGCAATATTGATCTCGCAGCACAACATTTCCCCTGGCTAATTTGATCACAGATCGTCGTGATTACCGAAGGGACGCATAGCCCGACCACTCACGCCCGCAGCGATGAATCGATGAACCAGGGCAGATGCAAATTTGCAAGCAGCACCCGACAAATGCAAGGTTCTGAGCATCTGTGACCAACTCGCTAAGGCTGTGCCACCGTAGCAAGGAAGGCACTTGGCTCCCAACCAAGACACGACTCCCTAAACAGGTACGGTTGACACTGTTTGTGTCGCTGCAATCCGTATACCCAAAGTAAAGCTACTTCCATATATCGTTGACCCAGGGCGGGCTTCGTTCGCTACGATGGATGTGGCTGCCTGTGCCGATGCAGACTTGCTGGACAGCCAAAATAATTGCATGCATACAGTACCTGCAGCTTGCACGCCTACACAGATTCCAAGACGTAGCAACCGGGGAAGTGATGATCCAGGCGAAGCACGTTGCGGCAAACTCTGCCGTCTTGGTGTGCCCAGGCTTCCAGAAGCAGTTCTGGAGCACACCATAGACCGGGAAGATGCGATCATTGCCGACAGCGGGAAAGACTGTGAAGTCCAAACAAGGCAGGACAAGGAAACAGGCTTAAGCGAAGTCTGACGTCCGCGAATAGCAGCGTGGAGAATCAGCAGCGGTATCCAGCAGGAACAGGGCTCCAGGGCTCGAGCAGGGTCAGAACCCTCGCTACCAAGTACCAACAGGTCGTCTTTTCGGTGCTGTGGCTCAGTCACAAACAGGGCGGGCAAGGATATAGGGTATCCAGCAGCCGAACAGGCTGAGTGAGATCTTGCTGCAGGCCAATTGCTAATTTATTGCCATTATAGATCCCAAGAAGGAGAGTCGGAAACTCGTACTGGCAGCACGGTAACGTTGTGTGCACGTTGCTCAACGACTGACAGGTACACGTTCTGGTTGGCTAAGTCAAGGATGAACGATCAGGCAAACACACAGCAGCCGACGCCGACACCGATGCCCCGCTCACGCCGCTGATGCAGATGCTGCAGCAGATGTGTTGTACAATACCACCCGCAAGACCCAAGAAAAGAGCAGAAGCAGAAACAATGCATACAGAGGGTACAACAGTACCACAAGACTGGACTTCCTGAGCGCTGCGGAAAGCATGATCTGCTGGACGAATGGTCTGACTACAAGACTATAGTTGTCTCCGTCATCTGTGTCAGCCAATTTCTGCTAAACATTGTGTTTATATGTTCGCATTTCCAACATCACTGAGAGAACTCCTTACCGGACCGTGCGGCTGTCAGTTGTGGAACTCCTCCAAGGTTGTCTTAGAAAAATTTTGCCTTTCCTCGAGGCCGTGGCACGCACGTGTCGTATTGCTATAAGACAGGGGGTTTGGCATTGGCGTTGGCATGGGCATCCGCGCGGATCGTGTGGTCAACAAGGGGCGTGCTGAAGCTTGGAACTCGAACGAAAATTTCATTCTGCGAGGTTGATGCGTCCTGCTTAACACTCACATTCAACAGCAGCCTCGATCAGCCATGAAGGATTGACGACAAAAGAACAACATCGAAGCTCGAGCTCGAGAAGCATAAATCCAAAAATTTGGATCCCACCCATCCCACTTTCCGCGGGCGGGAGCTACCACCTCAAGCGACCTCGCTCGCCTCAGAAGTTGGCACAACATGGCCGAAAACAAGGCAAACACTATGCGGGGAAATCCTACACCTACATCATTTCCCTCTCCTCAACATCGAACCCAGGCTTTGCCATCACCGTTGCCGATCTCGAACTCAAAGCAAACAAGCACCACAAACTTTCCATTCTTAGCACACGCCTTTCTCAACGAACCGGCAGGTCTAGAACTCGCACTCAACGCGCGGCCCGTGTCCCTTCAATCCTCGCGACGCTCAAGTCGAACGTCTGTAGCAGTTCCAACACCACTTCAGCAAATCGGCATCGATGCTCGGCTCCGCGCAAAACGAGACTCGGAGCGTCTGAGCGCACGCAACGCACTTCTCTTGCCCAGAAAATATCAGCTCGCTATCAGCAACAGTGAGCCGTTCAGGACCACTGCCAGTGACAGGAGGGGAGGATCGACGTTTCTCGCGGACGAAACATCCACTGGCCGAACGATGGCTTCGGCTCACCACTATCAACCACATCCTCAACGGCAGGCATATCTCCAGCAGGCGTATCAGCAGCGTCAATATGCAGGACCGCAGTCAGCAGCCATGGCTCCGAGCAGGAGCTATTCTGGAGGGAGTGGGAACAGGCTGGACTCGATTGCTGAGGAAGAGCAGCAGGTGCAGCTGCAGCCGCAGTGGTCAGCCACCTCCGCTCCGCCAATGGCTGTTCCACTCAAGGGCATAGAGTACTCCAGCACAAATCTGACGAAAAGCGTTTCTGCACCAGTCGTGCCCGTAGCAAGGGCACGAGATGAACGGCCGAAATCAGCAGTGCTTCGGAAAAAAGCACTTCAGAATGAGCAACATCGACCAAGACCGAGAAGCGATTGGCGCAATCTGCCACGGCCAGTACTCGAGCTGATCATGTCTCATCTTGAGACTTTCCATGCGGGACATACCTGCTCACATTGCCGCGGACGAGCGCTACGAGCATTGCATCTCACCTGCAAGCCCTGGGGACAAGTTGCTCAGAAGCGGCTATATACACGAATCGTACTTACACTGCCCAGCAGCACGGTGTCAACCCTCAAGAACACAGCTCTGCAAAGGACTGCCAGCGCGTCTTCCACGAAAGACGACGATCTTGCCGCCCTCGAGCTTCAAATTATCCATCTTCGCCGGACCCTGCGCGCTTTCCCAAGAAACATCGCACGGCTCGTCCAGCATCTGCACGTTCCCGATCCGCTCATTCCAATCTACACTTCTCACCCACCGTTCGACCCAAACCCAGCCTACGATACCTATCTCTCTTTGCTGGCGTCACTAGTCATGGCGTGCCCTAACCTTCGCACCTTCGACGGGTTCATTCCATTTTACAATCACACATTCGACCGACTTACGCACGCACTCTCAACTCGAACAAAGCTAGAAGCGCACTGCTGGTTAATAGCCGAGAATGCTGAGATCGATGCTCGCGCACAGCACCAAGTCTCTGGCCTTATGTCTCCGGCACAACAAGCACAATTCATGCGTCTCCATGGGTCTTGGTCCATGTCTGGATCTCTACGGCGGCTAGCACTCTGCAGTCCGGGCGGTCGAGGCGTGCTCGAGCATGATGGATTTGTGCGTGTCCTGAGATCATTCAGGGCATTGCAGGAGCTATGTATGGCGGGCTTTGACCAGGACGATTTTCATGATGGAACGCTTGTTCAGGCTGTGCCGGATACTGTCAGCAGATTGAGGTTGGAGGAGCTCAAAGGTGTGACGATGAACGGGCTGGCGAGATGGAGTGCAATGCCCGGGAAAGGGGCGATGGAGGTTTTGGCTTTGGTCAACATGGATCTGGAGGTGCTGAAGCTGGGCAGAATACTGGGTGGGCTGGAGAGATTAAGAGGATTGGTTGTTGTTCAGAACGAAGGCGAACAGCAATGCACGAGGGATGATTCGGAAGTCGAGGGCGGCGTGGTGATGCAGCCCGTGATTGCGAGTGCAAGTCTAGAGTGGATCCACTGGGATGTTGCTCCTAGCAGGCCTTCTAGTCGATCAAGTGGACGAGGAAGGTCGCGGCAGTCAAGGGCGACGAGTGGTGTTACACCAAATCAGAACCTTGCACTTTCGATTCAGCATGGCGGATTTCCACGCTTAAGGAGGCTTAGGGCACCAAGAGACGCGAATCCGATCGGCGCGCTGCAGGACGTTTGTGCGCCCAGACCTGAGTCCAACGGAGGCCCAGCGACGCGACCATCGCCAACTCCAGTACAGAAGAATGAGCCAGTTGATGTCAGCCCTGTGTCGTCAGGCACAGCACGGCAGTCTGATGTTTCTCAACTATCGGATGCCAATCTGACACCGACTGGCCTGGAGCAGACTCAGCTTCATCCACCTCCACGTTCCCCGGACCGACCAGCATATGCGACCTCGAGACAGCCTGGCAGTGTCCCAGGCCGCACACCTCTGCGACCCCTGTCCACTAATGCCGATGCCTCCAATCAGCGGACCACCGATTCTGCCGGCAATCAAGCGAACAGGCACTCTAAAGACGTTGTTGTATCAGTACGTGAGCTGGAGCTCTCTGACGACGATGCTCCGTCCGTGACTGAATTTCCTCGACAGGCTCAACTGAATTTCCGAGACCATGTCCCAGCGTCGAGCGCTCCAGCAGCTACTACTGTGGGCAATATCGGCAGTCGCACAAGCACTCACAGCACCTCGAGCTACAACAGCATGCAATCCTCACGTAGCAACCGCAGCTCTGCTTCGGGCAGAACGATGAGCTCTGACCAGACGGACCCGCGGCTGCTATTTGAGGACGCCGATGAGCAATATGAGCTGGAGTCGAGATACGTCAAAGGCCAAGACTGGGACAAGGAAGTGGTCGTAGCTGGCGGCATCCCACAGTCGAGCGGTCTGGTCTCGCGTCCGATCTTCTGGACTGGCCCGAATCTGGACGGCTCAAGTCGCGATCCAAGCTCGATCAGGAACAAGTCTGGTCTCGTCACATGGGCCGACTTCCTGCGTGTGTCAGAGCGGCGCAAGATCGCCGCTGGGCATGGCATTGATCCCGCAGCAGATTCAGGCTATTATTGCCAGGGCGCATGGAGTACCGAAGGCACTGTCGCCAAAAAGGTGTTTGGCCCGGAGGACTGGGGCTTTGAACCGCAGAAGGACAAGACCAGCAATAGCAAGAAGAGGCTGAGCTTCTCGCTGAAGGGCAACAGAAAGGATGATGAGAAGAAGGAGACCGAGGAGCTGTGGAAGGGATGGCATGTTGCGAGGCAAAGGGGGTTGGGTGCTGGGTTTGGGGTTGAGGATCTGTTTCGATTCTGAGTCGGAAGAGTAGACTGACTGTGGCCATCGTCGGCGATAAGTCTTGCTACTGAGCATTCTACGTAGCTAGCTACCAAGACTAGTAAGCTTATGACTACCATACGACACGATCGGGGCAGGTGGGAGAGGATTGTCCTTTCCCACAGAAAATGCCAAGCCACCAAGAAAAGGCAACGACAACATCAGTCCTCCTTCCCTCGCTTCTCTGATCTTTGCAATATCATCCCGAACCTGCTCCCACGGTCAGTATTGTACAATCAATAGTCCTCGGTCGCCTTGGCCCGCGGAGTGGCGGATCTCGTTGAACGGAACCGCACGAATACGTTGGCTTTGCCTCACCGCCTGGCAGCTCCTGTCCGTTCGCACGCGTTGTTGCACAATTCCTGCTCGCCGCGAACTCAATGTTACCATCCGGAGCTTGTCAAACGAGAAGAGTCGAGATATCCTGACGTTCATTTGCTCGTTTGTGTTTGATATTGATTTTAGTTGGGCCAAATCAAGCTATCGGGTGAACGGGGTACAGTGAGTGACTTATAAGGACACAGCTTCCTTCCAGTGTCGCAATGCACAGTAAGTCAATTATATAGGCGAAGATACTGACCATGTTACTGCTTTGAGTGATTGGGGGCAGTGCTGGGTGCTATGCATCGCAGGAGGTGGTTTTCACAGGTGAACTTTGGAGGTCACCACCACAATTTCACTCCAGTGCCTGATTGCCATTGCTTCACTACTGACTCTTCACTTGCCTCAAACATCCACCAGCAAAATGACGCTAGAACCGTTTACAAACGGCTGCCTGGGGTTGTCTGCAATCTTTGCTGCGTCCACTTTCTTCTGCAACCTTCGTCCTTTATCGCTATCTCAATCAATCCCAAGGATTGCGCGCAACAGGTTACAGGAGACGCACTTCACATATTGTGCCAACGATGTCATCCAACAAGGCTCCAGCCACTCCCAAGCGCGTGAAGATCTTCTTCCATGGCAGCCCAGTGCTAGAGACTGTGGATGGCAAGAAGGTTGTTCGTAAGTGTTCGAACATCAAAGAGACTTGCTCTGTTCATTGTTGCTGACACTCTACAGCAAGCGACCAAACCGATGGACCAAGCGATGGCTTGCCATCGTCGCAAGCAGAGAGATCGCCTCCTACACAAGCTGGCGCAACCCATCTTGCCGCAGTTCAGCGTCCTAGAGCATCGGAAGGGGAACCATCTTGGCCTGAGTCACAGCAAGTGCGACGGTCAAGTCGATTAGTGAATACCACACACCAAGATCCTGCTCCACCATCGGCATCCACTACATCTCGGCCTCGAACGCACATTCAGGACCATCGTCGGACACAATCAGACATGGCCTCATCATCGCGGAACGATGGTGGTGAAGCACCACGCATGCCACACAACGTCCTCAACCGTCAGAACGAACGTCGCTCACAGCCGGCGATGGGCAGCACCATCCCAGCGCAGTGGCCCGGTGCCAATCCACAAGGGCTCATCCCAGGCAACCCGCTGTTTGCAGCGAACGACCCACGTCGTCAGACCCAGATGGCGCCAGGCTATGTCAATCCGCTCGCCAGCATGCAACAGTTTCCTCCCCCTCGCCAGCTCCTCCCTTCGGCTGCTGTACCTCTTTCGCAGATGCCACCTCCTATGCCTCAGGGCCACCGGCGTCAGACAGTGACTCAGCCGCCGGCACTGCAGCCAGTCAACCGCGGCCCTGCGCAGAGTTCCAGTTACTGGCAATTACCGGCTTTCGTTCCACCTCCAGAGCAGCCCTCGAGGCCGCAAAGCGTCCGTCGCCAGCCTGTGATCCAGCGGCCTGTGCAGCAGCCAAGCAACCGTGGTCATGCGCAGAACAGTCCTTACTGGCAGATGCCTCCCTTTCCACCACCTTCCCAAGTCGGTAGGAACCCGAGCTCGGCGAGCACAACGACGCAGCCGCCAAAGCAGCAGCAACCGCCACAGTCTATGCGTATGCCAGCCACACCTACGCAACCAGAGCAGCGTCGTCCATCTTCTGCCAACCGTCCTGCCCTACCTCAGCAGCCTGCACAAGCTCCGATCCCGAGCCATTGGTACACTGATGAACTACCACCTGCCTCGCCTCCCAGAGGACGCAGAGCAGCTCCGGCTGGCTTTCGTGCTACGGTGCCGGTCAATCAGCCACCTACTCAGCAGCAGGAGAAGAAGCAAACGAAACGACTAGTTTCGTATTCTTCCTCCTCCTCCTCGCTCTCCTCGCTGCCCGACTCTTCGCCGAACCAGCCGGCTTCTTTTGCCACTGCGCCAGCTCCTACTGCTGGACGTGGTGATCGCTCGGCAAACGCCAGAAAGCGGCCCAGAGCTGCCCTCTTTGACGACATCTTCGTCAATCCAGGCGAAGAGGAAACAGCAGCGCCGACCCCTCCTATTTCCAAGAAACAGAAGAAGGCTGCTGTGCCCCCTACTGCCGGCCCTTCGGTCAGCGTCTTCCCTCCAATAGCCAGTGGAACTGCTGCAGCTCAAGAAGCAGACGCTCTTCCCTCGTCTTCGATCCGCCGCAGCACGCGGATTGCCAGCAGTGGACAGGGCAAGGTAAAGGGCAAGGGAAGTAGCAGCAGTAGCAGCAGTGATAGCAGCTACAGCGAGGCTTCAAGTACCTCGGAAAGCACATCGCGAGAAGCTACGAAGAAGAAGGCTGGGAAGACCAGAAGCGGAGCAGAAAGAAGTGCGGCGCCGGAACCGAAGGCGAAGCCGAGGCGCACTCGCGTTGCTGATCGCTATGAGATGGTAGGAGGGCCGGTAGAGCCGGTACTAGCAGCGCCACCGTCGGGAGCGCCGATGACAGTTCCGAGAGCGGGTGGTGTGTTCGAGCGGCTGCGGCGAATGAGGGAGGAGCGGGAGATGGTTGGGCGGATTGAGCCTGGAGATCGGGCTGAGGCAGATGGAATAGAACGGGCTGAAGAGGGTCTCGGGGACAGGAGATGATGCGTGATCAATATGGCTTTGGGCTTCCCATGCGTGTGTCTCTTGTGATTTGGAACGGGAAAGATTTGGTATCAGGCGCTGCTGCATTGTAATGGACAGAGAACGACCTCTCCTGGAGCGCTATAGTTTGGGTCACAGCTGTCGGAAAGATAGACAGTGTTCGCATGGCATCCATAGATTTTGCGAGAGAACCTAATAAATAGTTTGCAACGCTCACTCTTTCTCCTTCTATGCTCTCAAATTCTACTGGTACAATATACGTGTAGTATTCTTACACCACCCCAACACTCGCCGACCGAAGAGCTGCATCGACCCCTGCGGCGCCCTCTGCCATTACCCGTGCCGGATCACAACGCCACTACCACTTCCCTCCTGCCCAGTCTCACCGCCACCACTACCACCACTCATCCCATCCAAAAGTCCCGCAACCCAGACCTTGATACTCTCCGTCGCCTCCCCACGAATCGCACTCACTGGTATCGCGGCAACACGCTCGCGCCAGGCATTCTTCTGCCCGCTTGGGTGCACCACCTCACCCTTCTCGACTTGAGATATGTACTCTCGTAGCTGCATGTATGCGGCTTGCGTGTCGGGTAGATCCGCCTTAGTCGCAACCACGAACCACGGTTTTGCGCTTATAGGCGGCAACTTGATTGGCTCGAGTTGGATAGAGGAATGTGTTGGCGGTGGCGGCGGATAGATCTGCAGTGGGCTCTCATCTTCCTCCCCTCCCGCAGACGCACTGCTGCTGCTGGAGGTCGACACATTGGTGCTCGAAGAAGTAAAAGCAGCAGGACTCCACTCAATCGGCCCCGTCGAGTTCTGGCTCTCCTCATTGATCTCAATATTCCGCTTGATCTCGTACTCGCCCACCTCCTTCCACAGGTTCTGCAGCTGCACCACGGGATCCTTGTCGGGGTGGCTCAAGTCGACCACGAAGGCGAGGATGCGTGCTCGCTCGACGTGTCGGAGGAAGCCCAGCCCGAGACCGCGGTCGAGATGGGCGTCCTCGACTAGGCCAGGAATGTCGGCTACTGTGAAGGACTGGCGTGGGCCGGAGGTGTTATCGCCACTGGTGACCAGCGCACGGCCGGTGTTGTCGTCTAGGATGACGGTGCCGATTGAGGGCTCGAGGGTCGTGAACGCCCAGTTACCGACCGTGTGCGGCTGTTGGAGATGCTGCGTAGTAGAGTGGATTTGCCCGCGTTGGGCATCCCGACTAGGCCGACATCAGCGAGGAGTTTGAGTTCGAGCTGGAGTTTCAGGCGTACGCCGAGTTCGCCTTTGGATGCGAATTTGGGTTTGGGTTCTTCTTTGGTGGTGTAGTGCGGGTTGCCTAGGCCGCCGACGGCGCCAGCAGCGAGGAGGATGGGTTTCTCGTTTGCGGAGTCGAGGTCGAGGTGGATTGGGGATGGGGGTTCGAGGACGCTGAGGTGCGAGCGGCGTGGTTTGGTGGGTTTGGGGATGTGCGAGGCGACTTCGGCGGCTTCTTTGGGCGATGAGCCGGCGTACAGGACGAACTTGTTGCGGTCGGGGAGGGTTAATTGGGAGGGGTCGGTGGTCTTGAAGCGGGCTTCTTCTTCGGCGACGGGATCGCTGCGCCAAATCTCGCGGACTACGGTGCCGACGGGGACTTGGATCAGGACGTCCTCGCCTCTCCGGCCGCCTTGGTTTTTGCCCTGCCCGCCGATGCCTCGGCCGGCTTTGATTATGCCTCGGCGGGCGAGCTTGTGCAGGGAGGTCTGCCCAGGCACGGCTTGGATCCAGATATTGCCGCCGGAGCCGCCGTCGCCGCCATTGGGCGGACCATCGGGGAGATAGGCTTCGCGTTGGAAGGACACGCAGCCATTACCGCCGCTACCGGCGTGCAGGGTGAGTTGGGCAGTGTCGGCGAAGATGTTGCGGGAATAGTCGCTGGGAGGGGGGTTGAGGCGAGAGTGTGGTCGTTCTCTTGAGGGTTGCTGGGATAGTAGGTCGACGTCGTCAACTTCGTATGCGGCGGCGCGGCGCTCGGCGTTGATCTCGGCGAGGGACTTGCGCTGGCATGTTGTGCTGGAAAGGGAGCGGGAGCATTGTGAGATGCGGATGTAGGCTTGCGATGCGCGTGAAGTGCCGGAGATGCTGGAAGGCGTTGAGCGAGCTAGGCACGGGTAAAGGAATGACAGCATGTGTGATTGAGATGCAGTCATTCCGAGTGCCCCTGACTGTGCCGTCGCCGTGCTCTTGACACCCTCCTGCAGACATTGCCATCAATGTCGACGCAATAACTTTTTGGTCATGATAGCTTCGGCTAAGCTGCCTAGTACGGTCGGATGTGGAGTTACAAAGTTCTCCAAAGGTCCTATAGGCAGACCGGTTGACACGATCACGACGTGTTCACTACAGCCTACCGGCATTGATGATGAAGTTCTTAACGCCGGACCTGCATGGCATTAGATCGACGGCAACCCTTCGCTGTCTCGATCGTCTCGTTCGCATGAGGTAAGCATCGACAACTTGGTGCCTGGGGCTTCTCCTCGGTTCTCCACTCTAAGTGTCTCAAAAGGGTAATTCTTACGCTTCGGCTCACGGCAAGGAAGGGCTCACTATAGCATCTTGCAACTACCTCGACCACAGCGGTTCTGCTGACAAAGAGTTCGAGCAGTGCCTGTGCGTATACAAGGCAACGGCCGTACTGCAGTCGGCCCTGTGAAGGGCGTGATGCGAAGTGACCGGGTCTACCGTCGTGGACGCCGACGCTATGAGGTGTTGGCGCCCGTCACAGGGCCCAATGCAGTCGAGAAGCGACAAGCCAGGTAGGTATATATACCGAGCATGCCCAGCTCAAACGAAGACCTCTACATCCAAGTGAACGAGCAAAATCTCTACAATCACCACAACAACACCTGCCGAGACCGAATCGGCCACAAACCATTCCATTGAACCAACCAACAGTATTCCACAACCTAAAGGCAAAGCCATCATGACCTCCCTCCGAGATCAAGTCCAAGACGCTATCGCTGGCTTCCCACCAAACACCCCAATCTACATGCTCAACCTGCTCAAATTCCACCCGACCGCCCAATACACACCAGAGACCTCGCCAACCACATCACCCCTCACTGGCCAAGAGGTCTACTTCAAACACTACATTCCTGCCTTCCGCGCCGTCGCTGCGCAGTTCGGATCCAAGTCCACCGTTCACTTCGTGGGCACGGCCATTGGCAACCTCATCGTAGACCCAGGAGAGGAATGGGATATGGTGGCGTTGATCAGGTATGAGACCGTCGAAGCGTTCAAGCAGATTGCGACGAGCGATAGCTATGATGAGAAGGCGAGGGTGCATAGGGAGGCGGCATTGAAGGGGTGGAAGTTGGTCGCTACTACGCAATTCGACACTGGTGCGTGAAGTGAAGATGAATGGTGGATGGGGATAGGTGGAGGCAATGAGGTCAGAAAATTCGAAGCAGGCTTGATTGATGCATAGGTCGAGGTCGTTCTCATACACGTACGCGTACCATAATTCATGCTCAAACTCATTCGACCTACCAAGTAATGTCCTTCTGAGCTCCTCGCCAGCCATAAATCGAGTTCGTGATCATGAGGTACCACATGGCAACAAGAATGAAAATTGTGATCGCGACCCGGCTACCTGCATATCCGCCACGCATACCACATGTAGCCATCCCGCCGCAGTCCGCCAGCCAGCACGTCGCAGCGGAAAGGAGATTGTTGTGGTATCTGTGACCTGTACATGACGGAAGAGCGCATAGAAAAGAGGAATAGGAGAAGAGTGATGTATCCGCCTTCTCGACGTGCTTTTTTTGCTTTTCACGTTCTGCTGAAATTCGAGTTGCTGCTTCACTTGATAACGTGACGACGTCAATTGCCAAGAGCAAGTCCGTTTGCTTTAGCAACTGATGGTTAGTTCAGAGTACGTGGCCCCATTCAGCCAGCAAACAGAGAAAGCCGTAGTTGTGACCTCAGCAACCAAATCTTCGACAACTTCAACCACATTCACAAATCACGATCAAGCCAACATCCTCCTCTAGGCTGAAGACCGCAAAGCACAACGGCTAGATACTCACCGCAATGGCCCCTGCCATCGAGCCGGCCTATATAGGCGGCGACCTCTCGACACTTAAGGAGGACCTCTACAGAGCATACTGCCCTCCAGGTTGGACGGGGAGATTCGACTGGTGCCTCAGTGGGGAGAAGGACAGACTCACCTGGCACCTGATGGAGACCGCTGGACGTTTCAACTTGTACCTCTCACACCTCTTCAGCACCACTGAACGATTGAAATTGTATCGTCGCGACGATACTGCCACCACCACTCCTGTAGACAACGACAAGCAGGTTCAGCAGAGCTCCAGCACCGCACCGGCCCTCTCGCCTTCCGCTATTGTCGGCATCGCATCATTGGCGCTATGTTCTTGTAAGTCCAGTAAACCTCTCATTACTTATCTCTTCCTCTCCACCACACTCCAATCTTCGCCCCCTCAAACCATCAGACGGACCACTAACAACCTCGCCCCAACCCACAGCTGCATCGCCTCAGCAGCCATGCTTCGCTACTTCACACACACCCCCGACCCAACCTCCACCTCCTCCCTCTACCGCCCCGAAGACGCCGGCCAGCTCGAGCGCATGAAAGAAGTCCGCGAGTTCAACCGTGCTGCGGCCTGGGAGCGCGCCGAAGAGGCTCGTTGGGCGGACGAGCAGGAAAGTGAGCGCAAGCGAAGAGAGAGGGCGATGATGAGTCGTGTTATTGCTGCTGGCGGCGGTCGTCGAGGGACAGGAAGTGGGAGTCCGCCGTCGGAGACCAAAGAGGAGTGGAGGAAGAGGATGGGGATGAGTGCGATGGAGGCCCAGGGTGGGTTTGATGTTGACGCTGGTGAGCAGTGGCCGTTAGGTGGTGGCGGCGGAGGCAGGGAGAGGGAAACCTTGTTGGGTGGTTCGCGAGACTACAGTGATGGCGCGTATCTGGATGTCGAGGAGAGTGCTGGGGACGCAAGCAGTGGGGGCAGTAGTGATCGGAAGGGCAAACAGGTCGATCGGAATCGAGTCGATGGTCTTGGTGGTGGCGATCCGGGTGAGACGAGACCGTTGACGGCTCCGCCTACCTTGATGTTTGGCGGTGGCAGATCGGTGGCTCCGAAAGATTTGCAGCAGCGACAGAGGATGGAGGAGGAAGGGCAGTGGCAGCAGGCATCGATCAAGCCCGTGACTCCAGACTACTATGACTGAAGACAAGCGGGCATGGAGATGGTTGGATTTGGAAAGGACGTCTCATACCTGTTGCAAAGGCGACAGCAGGTCGAAGACAGAGTCCTGCCGGCTGCTGATGCATCGAATGACCACTGGCAGTCACGATCTGCTCGGCATGAGACAGGCAAGAGCGGAGGATGCATGTACGGAGAGCAGTGTCTGACAAGCTGCTTCGTAAATTTTGATCCGAGCTGCTCAAGGAAAGAGGTATCTGGGCTGCTTGCATAAGTCAGGTAGTACAGCGCTGGTGTTGCTGAGCGCTAGTCTCAGCCTTAAGCTATAACGTGAGCAACCAGTGTAGATCTTCCAGTAGCTCAGCTCACATCTGACACTGACTGGAACAAATGAGAGCCTTTATTGTCTTAATGTGCGAAGTAATAATAAAGATGTGAAGAGTCCTGGAAGGCGGGTGAAAATCTGGAGTTCCTACTACAGCGTTGGGGGAAGTAACTCCGGGCTTGGTCGGCACGATGTTACCCACGAATTTCTTTCCTCGCCCCATCTGATAGGCTCTTTCCAGAGCAAGACACCGCCGGCAAGTGCAGGAGCCCAGGCTCTCTGGAGGGAGGATAACAAAGTCTATATATATTTATTTTGTGCTTATCTGGCTCTGATATCGACCACGAAACGCACACAAAATGCGATTCCTGAATGCCTTATCGTTTCCGAGGGGCAGCGTGGCCTAATGGTAAGGCGTTGCTTTCCGGTGGCAAAGACTGTGGGTTCGAGTCCCATCGCTGTCGGACTTTCCGCTCGCTTTTTGCTTTTTGGCTGTCCGGAAGGCCATGGGATGCAAAAGGAAAGGCACTGCTCCCAAAGAATGACTTCAGCTTGGCGAGTTCGGATGACTCTAAATAGCATACGAATGCTCAATTGCTGATTATACTTGAACGCGGACGCCTGCAAGTCTTGCGAGCATCGCCTGACTCCGATTCGGCAATGACTTCGTTAGAGGATTAACAGTGCATGAATTAGAAGGCAGCAACGTTACATTTCGCATAGTAGCACAAAATATTTATGACATGGGCAGCAATGCTATCTTTGTGAGTCAGGATCGCGGCATATGAATACCAAAACATCAGCCAAGATCTCAAACCATTCGTACTGCATACAACTACCTGGGTGTTCCAATTGAAACGATCACGATGCCAGACACAAGCCAACCCCACAAACTCTCAACCTTCACCTCCTCCGAACCCCTCCTCACCCTGTCCAGGCCCGGCCTCACCATCCGCCCGCTCCTACACTCCGATGCCGCCCGTCTGGCCCTGCTCTGCAACAACATCAAGATCGCCCGCAACCAGGGCCGCCTCTGGCCCTTGCCGTACACCCTCGACTGCGCTCATGACTGGATTGCCAACACGCGCCATCCATCAAACTTCATCCTGACTCATGACCTTGGTGAATTGCCTGAGCACAGCCAAGTCCCCATCAAAGCACCCAAACGCTGGGCCATCGCTCTGAATGGCGAGCAAATCGGTGGTTGCGGGATGGGGATTGTCCCGCTAGGCAATGATCGCGAGGGCGACGATAGGGTAGGTGCAATCGGCTACTGGATTGCGGAGGAGTACTGGGGCCAGGGGATCATGACTGAGGTATTGAAGGCGTATGTGGCGTGGTTGTGGAGGGCACATCCCAAGCTGGAGAGGCTCAATGCGCATGTGTATAATTGGAATCCGGCGAGTGTTGGGGTGTTGAAGAAGTGCGGGTTTGAGCTGGAAGGGACTTCGAGAGCGGCGGTGATGAGGTTTGGGAAGAAGTGTGATTTGTTGAACTTTGGGATTTTGAGAGAGGGTGTGGTAGTTGATGGGGAGGCGCCGACTGAGTTGCCGGCAGGTTATAATGACTAGACCTCGGAGACGAAGTGACTGATCATTGTTATGAGAACGGGCGACTTTGATTGCGTTTGAATGTCTCCCACAATCAGAGACCTGAAACTGCTGGCTGCTTTTGACTGCGAACTATCTGAGGCGATATAGTCGAATCACCTTGATATCTCATTCGGACAACAAGATAGCGGCAGTCCGAACGACCTGGCCGAAATGGCCCTGTGTCGAACACCAGGTCGAAAAGTCCGGTACAACGCTTCCAGTGCCAGCCTCCTCGCCGTCGACGAGACGCTTCAGTTGGCCTTGCAGGCTCAGTCCGTAGACTTCCTTGGCCTTCGGCTGCTGTTGCAGCACTCTCTGCCACTCTCGCTTGCCTTTCGCTTGCCACATCACCTCGATTGCAGGTAGCGGTAGAAGGAAGTAGCCAGGATCAGCAATGCACGAGACTGCATCAGATATGTCCACCACGAGATCCAGAATGCGAAGAGCGCATGCCAAACGCTTGCACACTTGATACTTTGCCCAAAATTCGTACCCGAACGCGTGTGGCTTCGTGTGGTCAATATTAGTGGCGTCCTCGAATCGCGACTTCGAGGCTTTGCAGATCTGATTCATGCATATCAAGAAGGGGAGGTCCCAATCGAAATGTACAGCACCTCCAGCAACGACCCGGTGCAGCAGATAGAAATACATTGCTTGCAGGCTTGAGATGAGTAGCCAATCATCGTCTGCCCACTTGTCGTGTTCGAACCAGATCCGGTCGGCTTCCTGTCCTATACAGTCCCATACATGATATTGGCGGTCAGGAGCAGTCTTCGCAAATGAGCGAAGCAGCACCTGACACGTCACTAATGGTGAGCCCGTGGCGAAGGGATATTGGCTTCGGTGGATCAGTGGATGCGAGTCGTCGTTAGTCGAGTCGCGGAACATAGCGAGCTGTGTCGAGAGCTGGTCCAGAATCAGTGATGTGATGGCAGATGCTGAGACATCCCTCTTCCGACGATGCGACAGCGGCGAGCTTCGCCAGGTTATTGGCACATCGGGTTGAGCTTCAAGGGAGCCATATGCCATGGCACCGTTCGTAGTATCCGGGCGTGCGGGATCTGGTGGGAAAACTTCGTCACTAGACAACGTCGTGCGTGGGCTGCTGCCCTTAGACCGTCGGCGATCGGCGCCGTCCTTGGAGGGCTGCGCACCGGCATAGTGACAGTCAACCTGACGGGCAGAGCACCGCTTGCATGGTTGGGAGAGATCGCACCGAGCTTTGGCAGTCACGCACCCCTCGCAAGCCCGACGCCGAGGTGGTGCTGGATCGGCTTGTCGCGTCCGGCAGTAGTAGATGTGGCGTTTGCGGCTTGATACTGGGGCATGTTAACAGCTTCGTTATCTCGAGGCCCAGGGTCCATACTCTCGTTGAACTTCTTGCGGCAGAACGGACATATCATATCACTACTCCCGACCGTGATCACGCTGGAGGATGATGGTAGGTATAGTGCGCCAGGCATAGTTGCTACAGGACATCGACAGGATCAGACCGTGGGCCAATCGCCAACGCATCGTGAAGAACCCACTGGCAGGGAGGACGACAGATGTTAGAGAAGGTCAGCATCAAATGACGGTCTGACAGGCCCCAAGGACGGAATTCCGCAGAGCCTACAAAACACGTCTTTCCACGTCCTCTTCTTCGATTATTGGATATCACTAAACAATTCTATGCTTGGTCAGTCTGCAGCCGACCGCATTCATGGTCACTCCAGTTAGTCCTCAGATCCAGCGCGATACTCAGCGCAGCCGTCAGGACCTCAACAGCTCCGGCAACCTGGCAGCAACGAACACCGTGAGCCAGACACCATCCCTTGAGTGCTGGTGTCCAAGCAGCCACGGCACACCTGCGCCAAAATGGTTTAAAAGATCTGGTACTGTGCAAGTTCGCACTTTGCAGAGTTCTACATGACAGTGCATTGCATACCCACAGCAGCTATAGCCAGGCTACCGACTCCCGCTAACGTTCCCGCAGCTGACCACCTCGTAGCTCTTTTCTGGTCTTTCAGCATTTCGGCCTGCATCAATCGCTCCTCCCTCACGGCCATGCTCTCCAGCAAGGACTTCAACTGCAAAGCCTCAGCCTCCTTCCTCATGGCGTCCTGACGAGCACGTTCGAGTTCCTCGCGGTTTCGCTGGATCTCCTTGATTCTATTCACATGCTCCACAGCGTCGGCATTGCGCAATGTCAGGTCTTTCGAAGACTTCTGGGAACGGCCATCTAACGCTGTCTCGAGTCTTTCTGTTCGCTGGCGATCTTCTTCTCTGGACTGTGAAATAGCTTCGAGTTGCTGCCGCACCTGACGGGCCATGGCCTCGACTTCCCTCCGCTGTTTGGCAATTTCAGCCCGCTCGTGCTCCCACTGAGCTTCTTTCTTCCGCCTAAGCTCGTCAAGGTCTATGTGCATTGCTGCGAGCTTGTCCTGCTTCTCGCTTATCTGATGAGCATAGCTTCGTTGTTCCAAGAAGATTTTCTCTGCGTCTTCTTGCTGGCGCTGTCGAAGCGCATCATCCAGCTCTTGTTGCTTCTTTTGCAGACGACTCTCGGCTTTGGCCTTCTCAGCCAGGAACTTCCTCGATTGCTCCTGACCGGCGCTTGTTGCGTCCAGAGGTTTGTGGTCGTCGACCAGCTCTCTCTGAATGTCCAAGACCATGTTTTCTCGGTTGGACACGATTCTGTCGATAATCCGGAGTGCCGAAGCTTCGGTGTTGTCGTGGACCTCCAGACGACTTCCAGCCTTGATCATGTCTCCCCAGAATTCGTCTGTCGTCGCCAATTCATTCTGTCGTCTTGATCCTTCCTCAGGCGTGACGTTGTCCCACATCGTCGTCGCCAGCACGACTGACCGCAAACAGTCCTTCCCAACCAGAAGCTTGAACATGGTGAGGTTCCTGCGGGCAACACCTCCCAGTCGAGGTGCATCAACAGGATGTAAGTATATGATCCCAGCCAACTGGATGCGTTTGTATGCTTGGCTCAACCAGTACGCGATCTCCGTCAGTATGTCCAAGTCGTCTCTGGTGCTGTCGTCGAATCCAGGAGTGTCGATGAGCCGTATCGTGCGGCCACCACGTTGGAGGCTATACATCAAGCATTCTCCCGTGCCTAACAGGATCAGCAACGGTGCGTATGCAGGAAGGTGTGTACTGACAAGACATCAGACCATGTCCGATATCGACTTTCTCCTCCGTGCACAGTGAAATGAACGTCGACTTGCCGCTGCCAGTTATTCCCATTACAGGAATGACAATGTCGTCGGGATTGATCACGGGTTGAGTATAGTTGGTCATGTTGCTTATCGGCTTGGAGGCTATCGACCACGTAACTTGATACCAATCTACACCTTCCTCTTATATACTCGGTGGCATCAGTATCAGAATCCCTGATACTAATAGCACCTTCAAGGCGGTGCTGGCTACTCCATCAACAAAGTCACAGCTTTCATGCAAGGCACTGTAGCAAAAAGCACACGACTGTGGACCCAGGCCTGCAGCATTTTCCATTTCGGTGATCCCAGTCCGCTACTGGGTGCCAGGCTCAAGCGATCGATTTAGGGCCCCAGGCGAGGTCAAGACCCTGGAGCTAGATTTTAGTCGCCTAGCTAGCTTACGGCCGATGCGGCTCTGGGAACTTTGGATACGAACGCAAACGACAAGCTGTTGCCTGGTTGTGTTCCTAACATTGTGAGGACCTATCTGCAACTACGAAGATCGCACCCACTGGTAGCGCAAATCGCAAAGCATCAGTATGCAGCAGCACGTCTCGGAAATTGCAGCCGCAACGCGCTCCGGGTAAGTGCCTGAGCCGCAGTGCTATACCGGACGCTCACACTCAATCACACTCTCAACGCCATTGACAAAGTGGTAGATATCGGTGATCTTCAATCCACACTTTCTCTCCAGCAATTCGGACCACTGATCAGCACTGCGCTCTTTTGCTCCATAGTTCATCATCATGAGAAGATCGAGCGCGGTCTGTTCGGCGTCCTGGCCCAGCAGAGGAACCACGTGGTCGTGGACGAGGAATTTGCTGTATCCCGGCTTCATCGCGTCCTTGATCCGACCAACGATCTTGACACAATCATCGTCGGGCCAGTCGTGGAGGATGAAATGCGTATAGTATGCACGCGCACCTGAACCATCAGCATAGATGCGGGAAGCGTTGGGCTCGGGACTCACCTTTCACAGGTTGCTCCGTGAAAAAGTCGTATGGCATCTTTTCGATCTTTGGATGGAGGTCGGGGGTACTGTCAATGACTCGAGGTAAGTCTTGCACCACAAGCCGACCAGGAGCGTCGGGAAACAATGATCGGAACTGCTCGGTGTAGTGGCCCGCGCCACCAGCCACATCAACGACCATAACAGCATTCTTATCCGTTGCATCAAAACCATCGATCAGCCGGTCTTGCGCAGGATAGAAAGCCGGGTCTGCCCATGCAGGCCGCCCAGTGAAATATCCCCTCATGAGATTGTTGAAGTCATCGCCCCAGGGTCGAAGTTTTTCTTGCGTTATATGGTCGAACATATGCAGCTCGGTCTGATGTGCGAATTGGTAGGCATTGTTGAATGGGGTTGTAGGTACGGTATACCCTCGCTTCTGAAAGTACTTATGGGCATGTATACAAATCGGGTTGATGACTGACGGACTGTCTCCAGGTAAGTCATTCGGAAGGATCTGTATAAATGGGAGCACGCCATACCCATATCTGTAGCCTGACGCAAGCACAGGATCCGCGAGGGCCCTCGTGAAGACGTTCGGCGCGTACTCATCTGGGCCAACCACATCTAGCCGACCAGTGGCAGCAATGTGACGCATCAAACGCTGCAAGAGCTCTTCTTGTATACCGAGCTGCTTGGCCAAATCGGCGACTTTTTGAGGCACGTCACCATTCGCGACCATCTGTTTCCACACCCCGGATTCGAATGCGAAGTCGACCGCCATCACGTATGTTGGCTTCGTTTTGTCAGCTCCGGGCGAAACTGCGGCGATGAAACTGTTTCTCACCTCTGTCCAGATGTCGCGGATCATCGTTTCGCGGGGAGTTTCAAGTGCCGCGACTAGCTCGCGTGCCTTTGAGAGCAGCTCCAGGCGGGCTCTGAGAGCTACCTTGCCTGCAGACTGAAGTTCATGGCCTCGTGCCGCAATGTCAGACACGAGCTGAGGTACCGCGCTGATGTTGCCAGGCAGCACAGCTGGGGAGGATTTGATCGAAGCCATCTGGAAAGTTGGCATGTTGCGGCATTCTAGACGGCCGCGGAGACCAACTTGCCCTTCTATACTGTGTCACGGCAGCGATCTGACCTCATATGATCACTCAAGAGCCGCGAGGCCACCAGTTTGCGAGATTTCCAAATGCGCCATGAGAGTCAATCACGTTCTACTAGAGCGGCAGAGCGTTGTACTTGTCTTGAATGAGGCTGTCTGTACGGTCACTACTGAACGACTCACATAACGACACCTACTCGTGCGAGACGTTCGACCGCCTGCCGTTAACGCCAAAAGGCGTTGACAGGTCGCAGATGGCGCCACAAGAGCGGCAGACAGCGTGCGGAAACAGCAGCACGAGTTGAACCCGCTTGTTTGACGTACCATGATATCTGAAGTAGTGAACGATGGGACTCCAGAACAGCTTCCTGATTGAGATGCTGGATATGGCAGTATCGATCGCCCAGTGGTCACGATGGGAAGTGCTAGGCTCTCATCTGGCAGGAGCTAGCGTCTCGACACTGGCGAAAGCCAGAGAGCCAGACGTTCCTCCGCAATCGCTGCGTCCGTGCGCTTAGCAATAGCACGAGAGTCAAGTCTTGCAGCGTCGCTAGGCCCCCAGGATGCGGCGACGGTGTGAAGCCAGACTCGACCGTCGATTACCACAGTTCTGACTCCTGATGAAGTGTTGCGAACACGACAACTTGTCAAGCCGTGTCTGGTCGCCTTGAAGCTTGGTAGCCGCCCTATGCCTTGGCGCGGAGCTCTGGCCTAGCCCGCCTAGCAGGCCTAGCAGTCCTACCCTGAAAATCCACACTTAAGGCCGTTGGACTGGATATTTTAGGCGTGTTTCCGCATGGTCGCGTGGGAACTTTGGTGTTGTTCGCAGATACACGTGCTGTCGCTGGGCGCTGGGTTTGCAATCGATGGGACAGCAAATCCTTGCGATCATGGCCATAAGAGCTGGCTTTGCGCCAGATCAAGACGGCGTTCGCTTGTCCCTTTTTCACGACCTACCGCACGCCCAATGTCTGAAGAGCAACACTACGAACCCATCAGCTCATATGCTCAACTGCGCCAGAAACGTCGGAAGCGTGCGCAAGGTCCCACGACACTGAGCACCCATTCATCTCAGAGCAGTCGACCGGTGCAAGATCCGATCCTGATCGCTGTCGTTGGTGTGACAGGAAGCGGAAAAAGCAGCTTGTGAGTGCTGTCATGCCCTTTGATCTCGGGATCTTTCGTTCCCTGCTTCGACATCACGAGCAGTTCGCGCTGTAGAGACCGAAAGCTCTAGTCCTGCATCAGGATTTGGCACGAGTCCACTGACAGAAATGCTAGTATCAAACGTGTGACTGGACGCGATGATATCCTCATCGGAGAAGGCCTCTGTTCGGGTTCGTTGTTCCCATTCAATCTTAGTCAATTATCGACTCACGCTTCGCAGCGACGGCTTTCGTCCAGGAGTACACCCATACGATCAACAGTACCACCTACACACTAATTGACACTCCTGGTTTCGACGACACCGATGTCGACGATGAAGATATCTTCGACAAGCTCGCCGAGTATCTGTCCACCTCGTACCGGAAGGGACAGGAGCTATCTGGGCTGATCTATCTCCACCGGATCTCTGCAAATCGCGAGAAAGGCTCCGATCTTCGCAATCTGCGGATGTTTCAGAAGCTATGCGGCGACAACAACTTCTCGAATCTGCTTGTCGGCATGACATGGTGGGACAAGGAGAAGCCGGATGTCGTCGCTGCACGGGAGAAGGTCTTGCGCGAAAGTGATGATTTCTGGGGCGGCATGATCAAGAAAGGGGCTAAGGTCGCCAAAGTACCCTTCACGGGCCGAGAGTGCGTGGATCTACTGCAGACCGTCACAAAGAACGGCAAGATCACGCTTCGTATCCAAGAGGAAATGGTGTTGGAGAGCAAGCCAGCAAGCGAGACGGGCGCGGCCTGCGAAATGGAGAGATATAAGCAGATGCAGGCCATTCGAGACTTCGAAGAATTGGAATTGGCGGCCTCATACGATCGGCATCAGGATGCCTGCGCTCGAGAAGACCAAAGAATACAGAACTTCAGAGCAAAGCGCCATGTCTCCTTTCAGGAAAAGCTGCGGGCTCAGTCTTTACGGTACCGGAATTATGTGAGGGCAACGGCGAACAACACACACGAAGAATCAAGAGGGTTCGATGAGATCAGCGCTGCTTTCGCCGAATTGAAGGCGCAGTGTGAAAGCCTCAGACAACAACAAGCAGCGCTCGAGATGGAACGACAGCGTAATGAGATTGCAGAGAAGTACAGAGCTTCAGCGAACGCTCGAGCGATGCTGCATCGGTCCACGATCGCCCACACGCGGCAACTCGCCTTCGACCTGGAACTTGTGGGCATCTATGGCGAGAACAGCCAGGCAAAGCAAAGAATCTCGGGCACGCTCACCAACGAAGACTGGCAGCGAAGAGCAAGCGCGTTCTGTGACGTCTGCAAACGCCATGGTCCATTCAGTATGGACGTCTGGTGCTGTAATATCTGCCTATCCGACCACACCGAAGCCAAGGCCGCGACTCTTCTAGCAGCCGACCCCAACATCAGGAGCTTAGCCGACTATCTGACATCTATGGCGGACAATCGGGACGTATCTGATCCCTTTATCATCTGCTCCGAGTGCAAGAACACTGACCCAGGTCTCCGCTCCTGCACCGTAGTGGGTCATGAGATGACACCCTGGCGAGGAGCTGATGTACCACCCGGCTCGGTCTCTGCTCGCCTGTCTGGGCCGAGGCTGTTGCGAGCAGGCAGTACCATAACTGATGGGACATGTTGTGGATGTGGTGACACATGCGACTCAGTGTTCTTTTGCTGCGGCCAGTGTACCGATGAGGTTAATCTGTGCGTCAGATGTGTGCTCGGCGAAGGTAGGGGATGTACCGGCCTGGCCAAGGGACACGAATTGGATCTGTTGATGTGGTACCCCAGGGCGTTCCCAAAGAGTCGGGCTGGAACACCATGACCTCAATGTGATCGTACAGTGGTAGATGACTAGCGCAACGAGTACCCGATACGCAGAGCATTCGTAAATTGGTGCTATGCAGAGTCTTCACTGGTGCCCAGCCCTGCAAGCCTTCAACTCCATGGCCTAACTTTCGGTGAGTCGTCTTCTTGGTAAGCCAGCTTCAAGGTTTAGCACAAGAGTGGTGGGATATCTTGTCTTCGAATGTAGGTCGGCAACGTTCTGACCATACGGGCCAGGCAAACCTGTTATGCGAACCAGTAGCTGGGGATGGAGTACTGCGCAGATCGACGGAGTTCCGTGGAGGATTTATCAATACATTATGCTTTAAACCATCTTCCCACGTCACTTCCCAAGATCAAGGCGCAGTATCCTCTTGCTTCATGCGTTGTTGACGGTCGACAGCGGACGATGGGAGCCCGGTGCGGCCGAGAGGCGCGCTCGTTGTACGACTGCTGCACGTGTCGGGTACCGGTTGGGGCCCGTGAGGAGATATAAATGTCTCGAAGTTACAGCCCACTAAGTCGTGCGATCATCCTATTTTCCACTCTTAGTACAAGAAGATCTCCAAATACAGCATAACCCAAGTCTCTCCTGGCGGAAAGCATCCCAGTACACCGCAGTCATGTCTCCAGCAGCAGGCCCCCAACCTGACCCCTTCACAACCCTGACTGCACAAGAAGCTCCGTTCCCGTCCTTCACCAAGATCTGGCACCGCAACAGCTACCCTGCCATTTCTCCAACCGCACCTGCGCAGTCCGCCCAAGGGAAGACAGTGCTCATCACAGGTGGCGGTGGCAGCATTGGCGCGGCCACCGCACGCTCCTTCGCTGTCGCCGGAGCCGCCCACATTGCCATACTAGGCCGAACCGAAAGTAGTTTGCTGGACACCAAGGAGCAGATCGAGTCTCGGAAGGGCAATAAGACGAGAGTGTGGACATTCGTCTGCGACGTCTTCGACCAAGCTGCTGTCGACAAGACCTTCGTTGACTTCGAACGCGGACTCAAGGCTGAGTCGGGAGAGAACTTAAGCATCGATGTCCTGGTCCTTAATGCCGGATACTGCAAGCACAAGCAGCCGCTGACTGGTGACATGCCTGTTGATGAGTGGATGCTTGGCATTACCGGAAACCTCACTGGTCCGCTGGTCGTGACGAGAGCCTTCCTGCGGTATGTCCGATCCGAAGAAGATCGAAAAGCGAAAGGGCTCAGCCCGCCAGTCGTGATCAACGTGTCGAGCTGCGCGAGCTTCATCGTCATGATGCCTGGAATCAGTGCTTATAGCGTCGGCAAGGCGGCCGGAGCGGTACTGATGCAGCATCTGCAGCTGGAGTATCCCGACATGAGAGTTGTGAGCATCCAGCCCGGTGGGCCTGATAGTGAAATGCAGCGAGATGCAGGAGTGAAGCCGATGGACCATGGTAAGCTGTCCCATTCTGGGATTTTGTTCATGCTGATTGGTGGAATAGTGTCGTTGCCGGGTGATTTCAATGTCTGGCTTGCTGGAAAGGAGGCCGACTTCCTGAAGGGGAAGTACGTGTTCGCGAATTGGGATGTAGAGGAGATGATAGACCGAAAGCAGCAGATCGTAGAGGACGGTCTACTGGAGTCGTGGCTGTCCGGAGTGCCCAGGGCCAAGATGAGGCTGGAGATGAAGAGTGGTGACACGATAGATGCGTGATCGATTCGGACGACGGCTGTCCCTCAAATGCCTTGAATGTCATAGCCTTCATTCGACTAATGTTGCCCATCTCTGGAGGTAATCTTGTCTCAGTCCCGGCGTTCAAGAGACCGCAACTTTCTCCTGAGGTACAAGGCCACATAAACTGCCAAATCTGGATCAGATCGCATACGACGTTCCATTGGAGTCGTATCGTCAGCCATGATGTCGTACATCAACCACATAGATGCGAATATCGGATATAGTTCCTTCGGGTACTTGTGATTGTTGTGCGCACAAACGCTGTCACAGTGAATTTCACAAAAACTGCGGACTGTGAAGAAATTTTCCAACTGCCCGAGGGCTCCTAATATATTGCGAGGCCCTGCGTAGAATTCGCTCCAGTATTTGAGCATCTCAGACATCCGATGAGCATAAGCTGCCAGAGAGCTGCGCATCAACTCAGGCACAGAATACTTGGCTGCAAGTTTGAAGTGAGCCAGATTTTCTTGATATGCGCGTGCGGGTCTCTCGGCTGCCACGTGAGTCGCTCGCTCTTCCACTTCTGCTCGTTATAGAATTGGAAACTCTGGCCCTCACTCATGTAGGATATCATTTCGTCGAGCGCCTGTTTGTTGTCATCGTGAAGATCGACCTCGCCGCTCTGTGTCTCTGTCCACTGGTGCTGAGACATAGCCCTGAAGAATCCGCTGTGTTTCTCCAGAAGGCTTTTCTGGACCTACCAGTGCCGTGTCGTCGGTACGTTTGCAATGTAGTACAGGAGTCTGATGTTGATCATTGGGGCGGGCACTGGGATGTCCAACTCTGCTGCTCCAGTAGCTTGCGGCGCCATGTTCTCGCTGTTTCCGTTTGGATGCTCCGACATGGCAAGACTCTCTTGATTTGTCGAGTGGTAAGGAAAGATGTAAAGGTCTCATATCAAGAGCTAGTCTTATAATGTTCAGGTTGATAACTCCATGGTCTGTTAGCTGCCCGCTTCAATGACAATGTACATGCACTTTGTTGTCGCAAGCGCAATCAGGGCCCCAAGCAGACCTTCAAGAAGCTGCTGGAACAATGAAAGAAGGCACACAATCAGCATCACACACCTTCATCCACAATGGCGAAGGATATTGGTGAGTTCCAGACTGATTTTGCTAATCCCCAATTTCGAGGAGATGCGTAGGACGAAGGTAACGCGTGCCTCAGTGGAGCACTCCCAGGGTTACTCACTTCCCATTCTCTTCTTTTCCTTGCCTTTGCCACTTTTGTTACTCGCATAGCTGCTGGTCCTCTCAAAGCCTTTCGCCGCCGTAGCAGGTGACTCGTCTGGATCATTTCCAGCGTCCGGAGTTGCTGGAACTTGAGGCGCAGCAGTAGTCGAGGTGGATGCGGGTGTGTCTACAGGAGTTTCTTTCTTGGCCTCTTCGGTGATTGAAGGCTTGAGATCTTCCTTACTGGCGTTTGGTGAATCCCTATAGCTTGGTGGGCTGTCCTTAGGAGCGCTCTCCCTGTTGTTCTCCTTCGGGGGAGGCGGGTCAGTAGCATCCTTCTTAGTAGCGGCATCCGGCTTGGCGACTTCATTGCTCTTCGTCGATGCCGCGTCGTCGTCCTTGACGGCATCCGTGGGTGCACTCGCAGGACTTGCATCTTCATCGTGCGCTTCTGCGGCTGGGGCAAGAGGTGGAGCAGCAGGAGCAGCAGCAGGCGCAGCGGCAGGTGCGACTGCAGGCAGAGTGACTGCAGGCGGAGCAGGTGGAAAGCCGCCACCAACTCCAGCTCTTGACCTTAAGGCCGTTCCAGAACTATCAGCCTGGCCCATCAGATAGTTGTCAGGATTGCTCATGACAAAGCTACGGTGTGCTTTCTCATACAGTCGCATCAATCGTGCAATCTCGCCACGGACAGTCACTTTATCGTCGATGTCAATCTCGTCATAGCCGTGGATATTCCTGGATATCCCTAACCACATGATCTCGCTGTTCTCTATCTGGTCCACGACCATTTCCAGGTCGTCGCGATAAAGTCGAGTCCGCGCTGGCTGGCCTCGAGACTTCATGTAAGCCACGAGACCAGCTATCACGGTATTCATGACACCAAACAGCGTAATCAGTATGTGACTTGATTCACTTGCACCAAGGGCGGTCAGGGTTGCGCCAAGGATGACCTGCGACAGCAGCAGCACGTTGTTAAGACCGGACATGAAGGAGTGATTGCGTCGCGCTCGCTTGTATTGACGAGTGGCTCGGCCATAGAGCGTTTTGTCGCCGATGACAAACGGGTGTTTTTTGTCCAACGACCCGTCCGAGGGAGGAACGCCTGCCAGTAAGCAGAACTGCTTATGGGGATCTTCCAGGGCGTTAGACTCCCACAGGAGCGGCGTTGTTTCGTCCGGCATTCCTTCTGCGTCGCCCAGAAATGGGTGCCTTGTTGTCCGGGCCTTATCAGAGCTTTGGGATGACCTAGAACCACGCTGCTGCTGTTGTTGCCCAGTCCTAAGGGCAAGCTTCGGCTATTCTGAGGTGTGAATCCTGAATTGAGGCTGTATCATAGACCGCAGAATCGTCGTGTATATGTATATTCACTCAGAAATGGACGCTGCCACAGACTGGTTTCGGGAGACTGCTATCACGCAAGACCGCTCACAAGGGAAGAACGAAACAACAGGAAGAGCTCCCGAGTGGGATACTTAGCTCTAAAGATCTGAGATAGCCTAAAGTAGGGCACGACTTAGCTCAAGCCACCGCTGCCACCGTCGATGCTGTACGGCTTCGCTTGAGTGTAGACATCCCTCAGATGCTGCAGCTGCTTGCAACGTTCTTCCAGCTCGAGTGCCCGTCGCTTGCGGTTGTTGGCTGATTCGTCATCGTCAAGAAGGCTAACATCTCGTTGATGAGGGCAGATATCCAGTTGTAGAGACCTCGGAAGAGAAGGAGCCTGGAAGCTGCGGGGTTTGGCTTGTAATTTCCGCCTAATCACCACCAAAGCACACTGCCCTGAAAACCCCAACCTGGAAATCTTTTCATCACCCTCATCTTTTGCTCGAATCGTCGGCATCAAACCATGGCTTCAAGATCTTGCAAGTCTGAATGACTCCCACTCCAGAGCTTCGTCGTTTATCATGCTGTCGTTTGATTGACTGCCAGGCAGTAGCAGAGCTTTGTTGTTGACCTACACCATGACGCCGTCGTCCTCCCGACAGAGGCAGGTGAATGCTAAGCTGTTGCCATGAGATTGAGCAGTTGGGTATAAGCTCAGAATGCGTCAACCTATTGTCCGCTGATCGAGGCAGATGAACTCGCACATGGGAAAGGCATAGCTTCCTCGCAATGTCGTTGCTCTGGGATAACCGGTGAGTGTTAAGTCGAGCTCCAGTATTTGTTGGCTTGGTAGGTTGTGGGCTACAGCATAGCGGAATTCATGCGGCTCGTTGAGAATGTGACTCGAAGTTGCTGCAAGTCTCAACCTTTAAGCGAACAGCATTGTCATGATGGATGCGCAACTACCAACCGCGCGTCTTCGATCGATTTCGATGATATTTCTTCTTAGGTCGTGCACTTGCAAAAGTTCGCTCGACCAGAGGGGCGGCATCGAACGCGATACGCTGTTTTCCGCCCCCTGCATGGATGCAACCTCTGACCCCGGGGGTATACCCCAATGGCATCTTTCAGCCGCAGCCTAGTGCTGCTCGCAGGCGAGCCGGGTGGGAGGAGTGTATGTCGCGAGAGAGCGCCTTCACTGTGACGGGGCGTCGCCTAGTGACGACGGTGATTTTGTCGCAAGCGTGCTTCCGTCTAGATCTAGGACTGGACACATCTTCAGCCCGACGGTGTTCCTTCGTCAAGATGTCTGCGTTCGCCCGCAACTGGGTCAATGTACTCATGCGATGTATACAAGGCAAGGCTCAGTAGCGAATGTGTCTGGCTATCAACGCAGGAAGTCATCTGCAGCCAATGCTCGCTACCATCGTCAAGCTTCTATATCGTTGCAGCTCGATCAAGGCCAGCGACAAACTCAGCCGACAAGTCGCAAAGACTTCCTGCCCGCCACACTGACGGGTTATAGTCTCGAACAACAGTTTGATGTCCGTCCAACCTTGCCTCGGGCGGACACTGAGGGAGTGGATCCTCTATCGCATCGCGAGGAGCCACCGCCAAACCATCCTGCATCAACCCACGAGCCACATGATACTGGGCTTCAAGCCGAGCAACATTCACACGACACGCGCACTAGACGAGGCGCGGTCATCGAAGACGGGCTCCAGGATCAACCTAGCTTCCAACCGCCTCCTAGCGAGTCCGATTACGTGGAGGCAAAATCAGACCAGCACGCCAGACCCAGTCTGCCAGTCCTGAATGACCCCGAGTTAGCGCAAACAGAACTCAAGCGTGTGTTCACTGAGGCAAAGCATAACTCGAACTGGTTTGTCCTTCTGTGTCGTCGGCTACTGAGTCGATCGCCCATTGGCCACGGAGTCACCAACGGGTTGGGCTTCGCCGCTTCGTTGCCTACAGTCCTTGCCAGTGCCGCGCTGCACCACTATGACACAGGTTTCGAGCAGAACAAGGATTTGTACGTCCTGGAGTACACATACAGAGAGTTCCACTTGAGAGCTTCTAAATTGTGCCAATTTGACAATATCGGAAGCTTGAAGAAGCATCTGATCTCCACCACTCAGCCGTGTGATCTCCGACTCATATCGTGCAACAACAGAGAGTCACTGGATCACCTCGTGCACGACTTTGGCATCAATAACATCAGTCATGAGGGAGGTGAGAAGAGCGTGCGTGAATGGATGCGAGCAGACGCCAGCTCTCGTCGCGCTGCTGGTAAGGCCATGAAATGGAGGCCTTCTTATGACGACACAAGAAAGATGATATGCAGCGCTTTTGCGCTAGACTTTGGGAAAGTGCTCGTTCCGAATTCATCCAACTCCTGGAGCAGGAACAAGGAGGCAGACGCAGATCTTGCTGAAAGCACTCATCCACAGCGTGTTGCTGTGTACATGCAACGGAAAGCAGCTACTGTGACAACCAGCAACGCTGAGGCCGGAGGCCTCCGTGTCATGCCCAGTGGCACCACCGGTGCTTCACATCCATATGCCTTGTGCCCGACGATTGTGATCTCTGAGCTCTCAGCTACCGGAACAGTCGAAGTGTCGGTATCGACAAGCTCCGAGGCCTAGAGATCTCCAATTCAGATCCATCGGCCGCCATCTGTGAAGCTATGCAGTTCATCATCCTGCATGTCACAAGTGGTGTCTACCGCCTATGGAACCAGCAATTGCACCTCCTGGACGAGCCACACAGCGAGCTCGAAGATCATATATTCTCACAACCGTCGGATCCAAGCCGTGCGCGCGAAGTCTGGAGGATGTCGCAGCGCCTCCACGATATGTCCAAGCTGCTAGAGCGTCATAAGAGTATCATCGAATTTGTCCAAGACGACTTCTTGCCCTTCGCAGAACTGCCGTACGTGGAAGACGAAGCAAAGGAAGCAAAGTGGCTTGACCGAATCATCGAAGAATTTCAAGATCTCTCCGCGACAATCCGCGCCGACTATGTAGACACAATGGAGCGAATGATCGACCTCATGTACAAATCTGTCACGATTCGCGATTCACGGCAGTCTCTAGAGCTCAATGCAAGTCTATGGCGCCTTAGCTGGATTACTTTCATCTTTCTACCACTGACAGCTTGAGTGGCTTCTTCGGAATGAATGTTGACACCTTCCAGCCTGTGGCTCCGAGCATGAAGTGGTACTTCATCGCAGCAGCCCCACTACTGGTGTCGGTGGTCGCATTCTGGTTCAGTGTAAGGACTTTTGCGCCTGCGAGCAAGCGAGCAGATCTGGCGATGGAGATGACCGAGACAGCCGCGCCGTGGTCGACCAGGGCTGCGGCAAGCGGCAGACACGACGCCACAGGGCCAGGTGAGGATGGATCAGATTTCAGCAGTCGCAAGCACTGGCGTTGGCGGCCGGAAGGATGGGGAGGGTGGTGATAGTGTGTGTATCCATCTCTGAGACCTTTGTTCTCACCAATCTATTCCGCTCTAGCTTATGCCAAAATCGCACGGTCCACCAATCGACGACCTTCCACTTCGGTCTTTGGCGGGTCTCACTCCCAAATCATCTACCTGCTCTTTTCACGCCACAACTCCGTCCTCCCTCAGCGCTCTTACCTCCGCCTCTCCCATTCCCAGCAACTCCCCCAGCACCTCCCCTGTCCCCGCGCCCAGCTGGGCGGCGCACTCCTCACCCCGACCATTCCTTCCTTGCTATACTTCACGGGCGGACTCACCACCTTCATGCTCCCGCACGCCGCATGCTCCACCTCCGTCACCATTCCCCTTGCCTGACTGTGTTCTGACTCGAGCGTGGTCTTCACGTCGTTTATAGGCGCGTACGGCATGCCGCTGCCCTCGAAGATCTCAAGCCACTGAGCAGTGCTCTTCTGAGATGTAACGCTTTCGATCATCTGCTCCAAAACGTCCCTGTGCTGGACCCGTAAAGCGTTGGTGGTGAACCGCGCATCCTCCTTCCATTCCGGCTTCTCTATCCGATCGCAAAGGACGCCGTAAAGCCGGTCATTGCCGCCCCCAAGTAAGATGTCTCCGTCTGCGGTCTTGAAGCCCTTATAGGGCACGATGGAAGGATGTGCGGTACCCCACCTCCCTCCATCCTTCTTCCCGCTGATCAGCACAGAAGATGCGATGTTGGCGAGTGTAGCGGTCTGGCAGTCCGACAGCGCCACATCAACATGCTGTCCCTTCCTCTCTGGGTCCTGTCCTCGTGCGATCAGACTTGCCAAGATCGCGTTCGCAGTATACAACCCTGTCGTCAGATCCGTGACCGCAACACCGACCTTCACAGGCGGGCCATCTCGGGCGCCGGTAATGTGCATGAGGCCAAACTCAGCTTCAACCATAACGTCGTAGCCGGCGCGTTGCGAGTATGGGCCTGTTTGGCCGTAGCCAGTGATAGACGCGTAGATAAGGCTGGGATTGAGGGCGGACAGGGTGGCGTAGTCGAGGGAGTATTTCTTCAGCGCACCGGGGATGTAGTTTTCCACCAAGACGTCACAGTTCTTCACCAATTGATGCAATATCTCCACGCCCTTAGGGCTTTGGAAGGAGAGTCCCACAGACTTCTTGTTGCGGTTTACAGAGAGGAAGTAAGCAGATTCGCCGGGACCAGAACTGGAGGATGTGTCACTGTAGGTGGCATATGGAGGTCCCCAAGCGCGTGTGTCGTCGCCTCGGGTGGGGTGCTCGATCTTGATGATCTCGGCGCCCAAGTCGCCGAGCATTTGCGTGCAGTAGGGGCCCGCGAGTACTCGCGTCATGTCCAAGACACGAATGTTGGAGAGTGGGCCTTGATTGGAGGCTGGTGTGCTGTTGGTGGACTGGAAGCGGCATAGGAGGGACGACGGCTGACGGGATTGGTACTGGATCAGACGTGAGAAGGCATTGCAAGCTTGGCAGCGTTTTGCTGAACTGAAAATGGCTCTGCTGGGCGCCATAGTGTCGAATTGGGCTCAACTTGCTCGCTGAGAACTGTGGAGGCCTGGCGTTCGATCCGATCTATATCTGAGCCAGCCGAGACTTGCTTCAGTCAAGTCGTGGGCGTTCAGATGGCTTCGGATTCCACTTCTGCTGTCGTGATCGCTGCGGCTGAATAGATTTGCTCTGAGTCGATCGACTGCTAGGGTAACATGAAATCGTGAAGCGTTTTGTTGACCCCGATGGGCTCAAGACAGTGACCGTGGTTGTCCGGGGTCGTGAATTGCTCTCCACACCCGCTCTCTGACAACGAAGGCAAGTTTCCCCTGTCTAAAGTCTTGGCTTGAACCCCAGTTTCGAAGACCAAGTTGAGACCATATGAGACTTGAATGCCGAAAGGGTCTAGGCCCCTTCTTTGGCCTTCTCACCTGTCGAGTATGAGGTGCCTCGACCAGCTCGGGAGGCCAGTACCGTTGAAGAGCTCGGTATAGGGTTGTATCTCACGCAAGCTCGAGTCCTGTAAGCTCGAGAAGTCAACCTTAGGTTCGCGTGCTTGAGCATACCGGAGTGGTAGAAAGTTTCTCCAACTTCGTGCACAATATGCCAAGAACCTCGGTCATTGTGAACGAAGAACTAAGTTCGAGACCGGATGACTGCAGTGGCACCACGGCGGACGCGGGGCAGAGTGGGATGACCCTAGCGAGGGAAGAGCAGTCGCGAAAGCCACCTACTACGTTGCCTGTCGTTGCTGATGCTCGCTCGCCGCCCTACACAGATATTGCATTCGATGTCGTCGGCGTCCTTCGACTATCGTAATCTCAACGTGCAAGCCGATTAGTGATCAACTTCCAGACCACGCTGAGCGTGAAGGCGTCGAAGCCTTCCGTAGCGCGCTCCTGGGCAGCTGACGACGCCGATCTCAGAATTGATACGTCAAAGTAAACGCTCGGACACTCGACTTCGTAAAATCTATCAACCGCGCATACGAGATCGAATTGACAGTTCCGGCTGTCATCATGACATCAGCTTAGACATAGACATCACTCGTTTGGGCAGTGCGAACCAGGCCGGGGCTTCCGCGCGATCTTGTGAGTGTAGAGGCATGCAAGATGACTTGGTCCTCCTTGATATGCTTGGGTACGGTAGTAAGCGGCCGGGGCCGGGGCCAGGAACAGGAACAAGAACAAGAATATCCGGCGAGGTTTGCTTCCAGCCTTCCAAGCATGAAGGCATGCGAATCTCGGGCTTCATGTACTTTGTCAAGGACAAGGGCAGAAGATAGCTCTGTGAGCACATGCCGTTCGTGGATGTGATGGAATTTTCAATTCATCTGTCCTCTTTCTCGTTCCCCTGAGGGAGGTCTAAGCGATCGTCTTTCCACCACTGCCTCTCGCTCTTCATATCAATATCCTACACAGACGGGCTTCTCCTCTTGATGCAAGAGACTTGCCTTTCCTCCTGCCGAGAACCAATAGCAACAGTACTGTACATGTGCCTCCAGTGTACCGCCCAGCGCACTTCTCAAAATGTTGATGAAATCGCGATAAAAGCAGTCTTCAGTTGGACAAGATGTCCGCGAGGGTATCTTTGGATACAAATAGCCTTCCCATAGCAGAACGTTAATGCAGTGCGAGATCCATCTCGAATGTTGTTGAGAGAAACGCCCAGTGAAAGCTTCCAGCTTTCTTGACCGAGCCGTTGAGAACCATTTTCTTCGCATTACTCCCCCTATCCTTTTTCCAGAAGTGACAGCAAATGGTCTTTTCGTTGTTGATTGTTTGTATAGTTTTGATTTTTGGTATAAGTGACAGGTTGCCCTGATTTTGTAGAGATCTTTTCGCTTTTTTTGGTACAGATGATTTGCAGTCGCTTCAAATATTCGTGAATGTGCCGATTGTGAGAATTTCGACAAAATGGCGGGATTCGTGTCCGTTATGTTATAATAACGACTTTGGCGTGTCATCGCTGGTGACGGATTCGACTAGCGTTTTCGAGTCGTCGAAATCGGCATTCAGCGTGAGAAGACCTTCTTGTTGAGCTCCAGGCTCCTCTTCGTCAGTCTGAGGGGTGGCATGAATAAGAGGTTCGCACAGCGGTTGCTCTTCATCTTCTTGTTCATGGATGCAGAAGCTTTCGAGGGCTCCAAAGGCACAGACGAGGCCGCCTGCCCACCATGCGAGGCCATTGCAGCCAAATTTCAGTCCAAGGGCGTGGATGCCGCCTGAGACAGTTGGTCCCAATGCCCTGGATAGGCAAGCAGTTGAGGCAGCGACTCCGTTGATCGAGCCAAGAACCGATTTTGATGGTGCGGCATTGGCAAGCAGGATGGCATTCGAAGGAAATGCGACTGTGTGGAAGGTCATCTTAGTGAGCAGGGCCATGTAGATGCCAACAGTCTGAAGTCGTTCGGGGAGGAGAACGAGGTATGGGACGACAAAGTAGAGGAAAGGCCAGATGACCATGACCAGTCGAAATGCCGATAGCGTTCCAAGGCGGCGGATGAGGAAGGGAAAGAGCCACAGTTGAGCGATCATCGAATAGACGCCTTGCACCGCCATCATGAATCCAATGGCTTTCGTCGACAATGCGAAACCGCCCGAGAACAGAAATGGTAGACGTGGCTCGGTTTCCGACTTGGCTTCTGACAGGAAGATTGGCATGAGTGAGTCGAAGGAGACGCTGTGACTGCATACTGTTAGCGAAGTTCGGAACTCTCAGGGAAACACTCACTATGCCAAAATTCCGTATCCAACGATAATCAAAATCACTTGCTTGTTGAATACAGCTACCGGCCTGGTCATCTTCTCAGGTGATCCAGTTTCGACATCGTCGACCAGAAGCTCTAGCTCTTGCTTGCTTTCCACTGCGTCGGATTCGTAGATCCGGGTCGTTTCGATTCCAAACAACCTGTAGAGTATTTTGTCGCCAAGCTCGATGCCAACATCACGACGAGTCCTCCTTTTCGCATGGGTCTCTTCTAGAAAGAGCGCACCAGTTGTAATTCCAAGAATGAGGATGCCCACTGAGACCAAATTTGGCAGTAGGAAAGGGTATTTGTCAAAGATCGTTCCTTTGGAGAAAAGCCATGGATATGCCTCGCAGGGCATGGCAAGTGCGCCGCCCATGGCAGGACCGATTATCGAGCCGAGACACCATACGAAGGGCATAATGGAGTAAGCTCTTGGTTGATGCTCCTTCTTGGTGACAAGCTCGGCGACTGTGGTCTGTAGAACTCCAACATTGCCGTTCAGAAGGCCGCCAAGTGCTCGCGACATTATAGCCATGGGCAGCGATTTCGAGAAGCCGAACGAAATCATACTGAGCGCTGTTCCTATCAAGCCCATGACTAGCACAGGTTTGCGACCGATCCTGTCGGATACACGACCCCAGACCATTCCAGTGGAGAACTCGGCGAACGCGAACGCAGTGATGAGCATGCCAGCATACATTGACGTTTGATTTTCATTGTTGGCGATATCGAAGGATTCAATCATTCGGTATGCGTAGGGAAATATTGACATGAACGCAATGGGCTCGCATATCCGACAAAGTGCTGCAGTCTCGTGTTAGGATTTCGGCGCTAGATCTTGGGCCGCATGACGTACCGAGCACAAATAATTGTTTTGTGGGAAAGCTGTCGTCGGCATTGTGTGGCCTGAGCCTCGAGTTGTAGAACCTTAAGATGGCCTTCATGTTTGTCGAGGCAGAGAAAGAGGAGGGTGAGGAAGAGGTGTGAGATGGGAAGAAGGGACGGCGGTGAGCGTAATACTAGCAATAAAAGAAGGGGGAAAGACGAGGCGCGGGATGATTGTGAATATGTGATTGCATCTGGAGTGCAAGGCCATATCCCGGCATACAAGATCCGCAAGGGAGAAGGAAAAAGACGGTCAGGTTTATTTTAAAGGCGAAATAGAACCCATTCTCGCGGACCACGGCGAGCCAAACTTACCTCGCGCGGATGAGAGATGGTTAGACGGGAGATGCGCGTAACTGGTGACATCCGTGACGCTTGCCCAGGACAAGCGAGACGTGGTCGCCCCATTTTGAACACTAGGCAACTCTGGCCGGGGTTTCCGCTTTGCTCAGCCGTTGTGAATTGTCTAAAGTGGGAACCGGTACTGGCTGTTGGACGAAAACCGAGCACAATTGTCCGCGCAAGTCTGACAAGGATGTCGAATCAGAATGTGATAGAATTATTGTTCGCATGCGAAGTTGCGGAGTGGTGGCATTATCTTCGTATTGATCATCCAGCAAGCGGAACTCACCCTGGAACCGCAGGACTGGTACTCAATCCTAGTCTTATCGATTGCCCTAGGATCAGGATCACTGGGCGGAAGGGGTAACGATTGGGCAGGTAAACCTTCTACCCCTGACCAAAACATTAGCTCGTCAGCTAGGAACAGATATCCTTGTCTTCCGCGAATATCGGATGAAAAAAGCCAGCCCATGTTCGCTCATGGAAGCCTTCTGACAGGCTTCCACAAGCACCCACCTTTCTGACGATAGCGCAGCCGCCTCAGCCCACGAAGCAAAATGAAACTTGAGCGCTTTTCGAAATTTCGACATCACACAGTTTCGGCGGCAGGCGGGCCCAAAGCTGGCCTGCAGACATCGATCTCCAATGTTCATCCCAAGGGCGGTGAAAAGAGCGGTCTTGCATAGTGCCCCGCTGCAGCCAACCAGAGTTTATCGTCTTGCTGGCCTTGGAAAGTCGGGCAGCTGACCTCTGATTTTCTGCTGACAGAGAAAGCAAGGGGCGAGAGGAAAGCTCCGAGGCGAGCTTCGTAGGGAACTTGACGGATGCTAGGAAAGGCAAGGTGTGCTTTTGCCATGTGATGACGCTGACGAATCGGACCTCACCTCGAAACTGGTACAAAACATCGGAGGAGGTCCAGGTGGAGCGAGCGCTGTACCATGGCTCCATAGCGCCCCCTGATTCATCACACAAGCAGTAACGCGTCAAACCCGTCCCCCGTCCCGCCTTCTTCGTAAAAAGGCTCCCGGGGACACGGTTTGGCTTTGCCGCCGCGGACTCAGCCCACAGACACTAAAGTTGAGATTGCCGAATTTCACACCTCGAAATTCAGCTTCCGAACTTCAAGTCTCTGCAACTCTCCATGACTCTGCGGCGGTGTGGATAGCAAACATCGGTGCAGTGGAGGCTCCATATTACCCATGCTACACCCAGTCTCGAGTCCACCTCAGCGCATCAATGCTGCTGTCAAAGGCTGCCAAAGCTTGCTTGGATCCGAGTATCAACTTCTAAAGAATGCATCAGAGTCATTGCTGTGGCTTGTAGAGCAAGCTGCTTTGCAACAAGGCAAACGCCCGAGTCGAACCGAGCTTATGCAATGAGGCAGCTGACATGCGACGTGGTCGCTGTTGCCCAAGCCTAATACTGCTGTGCAACACCAACGTATCCTCTGACAGGTCAGAGCCGCTGCAACTATAGCCTGTCTCGACACGGCCCGCATGCTGTGTGCCCTTCGAGACATGACGGCCTGCCAGTTCGCATCTAGCTGCTTGCGATTGCATAGTCTAGATTGCACGCCTTGGTACGGTTGCGCAGCTCAACGGCTTAACACCCATGTTGGAAGCTTTCGGACGAACTGCATAACCCAGATCTAGACGGTCGGCAGTCAAATATGCAGGCTTACCGACGTCACCGACAGCCATATATTTAGCTTTGATTCGCTGGGGTGGCTGCAATTTGTCCTGCATTCGTCGTTGAACTGCCTATTCTTACTTCAAGAATCGAAGGGAGCATCCCTTACTTGCAGATACTTCTATGCACATGCCGGCAGAACACACTCTGCTTTCACACCATCAACGATTTGATCGTGACGTGCTTGTGCGCCCAACGCAAGACAAGGACTGCTTCAGTTTGGCAATCATCGCCTAGCGATGTGTTGGCCGGTCATGTGCACAATCAGCGGTGTATAACATTGGCTAGTGGCTTCCCGGAGGCCACTAAAGACTCTCTGGTCTGCCGCTCCTGCGCTAATGGCATGGCCAGCATTTTGCAAACGACGCTCAATCGCTAGACTGATGAGACTGTCTTGTGAGTGGACGCTTTGTCGTTGTGGTCTTCGACGAGGTCTCAAGATGGTGGTCGCGACCCTAAGGGAGAGCAGTGCTCAGCAGCGATACTGTAATTTGAGCCACTCGCTTAATGCCAAGTCATGTCAGGCAGTGACATTTGACATCCAATCTAATGCAGCGTTAATCGATCGACATGCCAGATAGTGGCATGAGTTTGTTTCTTTGATTGAGCCGAAGTGACTCACCGCCCTGATGGCGATTGCGACGCAGCGTTGGCCATGCAACCTTGACAAAATCTCTCCTGGACGATTTGAGTTGGACTTCTGCTGAGATTATTGATAGCAGAAGTCTCTACTGGCACGTTCAAGCGCGTCTCGGCTGCTTCGGCGAGCAATGCCACGTGTTGTGTTGCTTGGCACAATGATCCCACTGTTGCTCAAAGTCGGGTTAGACGACACCCTGAGCAAGCACTGGCAGCGATCTATTCTTCATGGTCTCGGACGGCTCAGAGCATATGCCGTCCAAGCAAGAGTTCATCGAAATGGCCAGAATGGTTCGAGAGCCGAGCTGCAGTGCTCTCTGCCGCTGTCCGTACCCCTCTGCAGCAAGCTTGTGCTTGTGCAAGCAGGATCGGTCGCGTCTGACCCGTTGAAGATCTACCCTGACGCTGTAGCTCATCAGCGAGAGCTCGAGTAAGTGGCGTTGTCGGCGATTGGTCGGCCCTAGATTCTGGGACTGTGAAGAGCATAATGTCTTGTGCAAAGAACGAATCCAGACTGAAGGCACTGGCACGGCGCAAAGGCAAACCTGCGTGCTTGACATCTTTACGGTGGGTGAGTAAAACCAGAGACGAGACTACTAGTAGCGGGCTTTAGCTTGCTATCAGCAACTTCTGCATTGAGAAGCCTGACAGAAAGAAAAGATACGGCAGATAACGGTGCACATCTCGCCAATAATTCGCGTATCTATTGGACGCGAGCCGACGAGCTGTCAATTGTATGCCTAAGTCAATGCTTTGAATGATACTGTGACTCTGAGGCATGCTTCGATGCTTCCGTGTAACATTGCTCCCCGGGAGGTATTTTGAAGTCGTACCATCCATGGCCGGGGAGATACTTCATGACCTCGACAACCACTTCCTCCCCGATTGCGGGCCAGAAACGAGCTTATCAGGACGAGGCTGTCGATGACGGTCTGAGTAATGAAGCAGCGTCTGGAAGTACTCCTCCTCAGGCTGCGTCTGCTGCCACGTCGGCGTTCAGGAACGTGTCGGCGTGCAATCGCTGCCGACAGAGGAAGAACCGCTGCGATGCACGGCTACCGTCCTGTACAACGTGTGAGAAAGCAAACGCGCGATGTATTGGGTACGATCCCATAACGAAACGAGAAATTCCACGCAGCTATGTCTACTTCCTCGAGACTCGGCTGGACTACTTCGAGTCGTTACTCAAGAAGAACAACATAAGCTACGAGGTGGATGCTGTGTACAACGCAGACTCGCAAGTGCTTCCAGAATCCACTGGAGCCTCACAAAGCTCTGTGCCGGATTCAAAGAGATCAGTCGCCGAGCGCCGGAATGGCACACTCAAAGCAGCGAGCGACGAGAAAGACAAAATTGAAAGACTGGTCTCTAACATCGGCATGGTCTCGGTTCAGGGTGCATCTGATTCGCGGTTCTTAGGCAGTGTCTCTGGAATTTCCTTTGCTCGAGTTGTACTGTCTGCCGTCAAGTCGTCTGTATCTGGCAGTTCCTCGGAGCGGACCAGTAAAGCACCCCGAGGAAACACTAACAGCTCTGCGGGAAGCTCGATGGGTAGTTCAATGAGAGACACATACTTTGGCCTTGCAACGAAGCCGGCCTTCAAGGAAGCACCATTTCCGGATCGGCCACTAGCTGACAAGCTGGTCAACCTGTACTTCGAATACGCGAATCCGCAGATCCCGATCCTTCATCGAGGTGAATTCGAGAACATGCTTCAACACGCCTATTCCGTCGAGCCTACGATGCGAAGCTCACGCGAGCTCTATCTACTCAACATTGTCTTCGCTGTGGGAGCAGGGGTCATATGGGGTTCCTCAGACCAGCAACATTCCGATGGTCTCAGTCGGCATGAATCTGCGACTAAGCGAGCAAAGTTGTCGAGCCAACAAGCTCAGCCGGAAGAGTATCACGCTTCTGCCATTGTACACTTGGGTGTCTTTCTCAGCTCAGCCCCGACGGAAACTGCTGAGCGTTCTGGTGGTGACTTGGAGGAGTTGCAGGCAGTCTTACTGCTCGCCGCGTTTGCATTGCTGCGCCCTGTGGCACCCGGACTTTGGTATATTGTCGGTGTTGCTATGCGGCTGGCGGTCGATCTTGGTCTTCATTACGAAGATGGCTCAGACATCGAAGAAATGCAACAGAAGTCCGACGATGTTCTGAGCTCACGCGAAAAGGGCCGAAGGCAGTGGACACGTGATTTCCGCCGACGACTATGGTGGTGTACCTATAACATGGACCGACTTGTGAGCACGTGTGTGGGCCGGCCATTCGGTATAACAGATCAGGTTGTGACAACCGCATTTCCATCTCTGCTCGAAGATAAATATATTTCGCGTACAGGAGGACTCCAGACTGTTGTATCATTCGAAGAGCCGTCCTACAAGCGCGTGGCTCATCACTACCTCAAACTTCGCTTATTGCAGTCAGAAATTTTGCAGGTGTTGCAATACCAACAAGCACAACAGGTCCGCCACAAGCGACGCAGATTCCAAGATGAGCCTGTCGACACCTCAATTTTATCCCCATATCTTTCTCAGCATTCGTCGTTCCGGTCGTGGCGTCAGAATATTGACCAGAGGCTCTACGAATGGAAGGAATCCGCCCCGTCACAGGTCTCGACAGGCGTGAGCTTCGATCGTAAGTTTCTGGAGCTCAACTACTGGCAGGCAGTAATAATGCTCTACCGGCAATCGCTCGCTGTGCCCGCTGCCTTTGCGAACGAAATGAGTCCAACAGAAGAAGTCTCAAGTCCTGGCGGCACTCTTCTGGAGGAGAAAGAGGATGAGGATGTCATATTCCTAAAGTGTGCAGAGGCTGGCCAAAATACGCTGAAACTATACCGACAACTCCATCGTCAACGTTTGGTGAATTACACTTATCTCGCAACCCACCATCTTTTCATGGCAGGCATATCTTTCCTCTACGCTGTGTGGCACTCTCCAGCGGTGCGAAACAGGCTGACACTGGACTCATTCGACTTCACAGTTCTTGCCGCGACATCCGTACTGGGGGATCTCATGGAGAAGTGTCCGCCTGCAGAGGCTTGTCGCGACGCTTTCGAGCGCATGAGCAAAGCGACCGTGCAGATGTGCTTGTCGACGCCAGGTTTTGGCTTCTCCAAAGACGGCAGTGCTCGAACGTCAGTAAAACGCGAACCTAGCTTCTCCGAGCCACTGTTGATGGAGGGTCTCGCGCGAACAATATCGGGTAAGGAGTACGCGCCGATCGCCCCAAAGCCTGTCATTGCGAAGAGACCTCCACCCAAGTTCGACATGGACCTTCGACAATTATTCCCAGAGGAAATAGACGTGGGACCACGCCCTTCTGCTGCTGTGCCCAAGAAGTCGAAGCAACGCGGGACAGACTTCACACGGTCTCAAGCCCCCCTAGCAAACTCGACTAGCACTGAATGGCGTCAGGCCGCATCTCTGCCCCAGGCTGCTATGGCCCAGAACAGCGTGCCCAATGTATCACCCACCTTTTCGTCTCGGCAAGCGCCGGTCCCATCACCCTCGTTGTCGGAACCGAGTTTTCAACCAGAGCAGAACTACGACATCATGAATTATTCAGTCACGTCGTCCTCGGCCTTGCCAGAGGATCTGGACTATATGAATAATAGCTACGACTTCACAGCCATCAACGATCAAGGCTCACCATTAGGCGCACTGGATCTGGGATTTGGACCAGGTGTCATGGGGTTTGACTACAGCCATGACTGGAGCGATGGACAACAGTACGATCTGTTTGATGGCTTCTTCTTTGGCAACAATGCAGGCGGCAATGGTGACTACATGAGCGGACCGAGTGACCTAGGATGAGCTCGTTCAGATCGAGCCACATCACTTTTGCTTTCGAGTCCTAACACCTCCCGGTGATTTCGATGAGGGTGTCGAAAAGAATTTGCGGTCATGCGGTATTAATATTAGCTATGGTCATGGCTTTTATACAGATTTTACATCGTAAGATCAACAGCTGGACATCAATACCTATACACGAGTACTGTTGATGTGCTGCCACTTGACATGGAACAAGTCTTGGTTGCTATACAACAGATGCCTCAACGACTGCTGCACCCCGTTCCGCCTACACTTCCTGGTTTCATGGCCCGTATACGAAGGCCGACATATCCGGCTGTGTCGGGAATCCACCCTGCAAGGTAGCCGGACCCTGCAACTCAGGTTAGTACTGGCAGGAGTACATGTGTGATCAAGGCACTGGGCGCTGTTACTCACCATACGAACCAAGTTACGGTTGGTGATCTTCCACGTTCCATCTGCCTGCTTGGCCCACACGTCTTGATATTGCGCGTTGTCAACAAGCACGCGATCCGGCCCTACTGGGTTCTGTATTCCGGTATACGGGTCAAAGTAGTGACTGGCTTGGAAGTATGTGACCGAGACAGCGGTCGTTGCGCTGCAGATGTGGATATACTGTGTGCCGAGATGGTGCTGAGTCGACGCGAACGATTCCAGACCCGGAGCGAGAGCTTGGATCACCGCGTCCACGCCGTTGAGTACGCCGATCGGGTCAGAGTAATTGGCCCGGACCTTGGGAACGAAGACTTTACGAAGTGCTTCGAAAGCTTTGCCGTCGATCGCAAGAGCGTACAAAGCGGCGGTTTGCCGGATGGCCTCGATGGCGTAGAGATCCGTGGGCTTGGGAGCAGGGAAGTTCTCCGCTAGGAACTTGAAGCTCACAGGGCCTGGCGCGAGCTTGGGGCACGTGGTGGGTGGTGTAGGCGCATCTGGCGGTGCTGGGATCATTGCAGCCAAGGTCGTGACATTGCCCACGCTTTCAGCTGATTGAGGGAGGGCAGAGACCAAAGTTGTGGCCAACGCCACAGCTGTCGTAATGCTGAAACGCATTCTGGATGCTGGAATGTCGATCTATCTGGCTTGTGAAATGCTAAGATGTGATGTGGCTTTGGAAGCGACAATGCGATGAACGTGGCGAATCAAAGCGCGAGAAATGTTCCAAGGAGTGGACGCGGAGCTAATGCTCGGCAAAAGAGAGCGAGGCTTAAGGAGAGTACTGCTGAATGCAAATTCAAAAGAGGGTTTATGTTCAGAATGGAGGGAGAAGGGAGGAAAGATACGCAGCAATATTGGGAGATGCTCGCGATATACCTGTCTATTCCTTCGCCGCCAAACGACTCATTTCCCCTCAACACTAGTGGCCCCAATTGCTGGAGTATGCAACGGTGAGGTGCTACAACTGCATTTTGGCTAAAGCAATGTATCTACACTATCGACACCACATGGTCCAATATTCGGGGATTTCGCCCGTCAGTTTCCCTCCACTGCGAGACGTTCTTGAGTTCCAGAACAGTTCGGGCACCCCTCAGAGAGAGAGAGTGCTTGCAATTTCCTTGGGCCACCAGCTCTCACTGCACCTGCAGTTAGGCTAGAATATTGCTGATCTCGGTTGCTGGGGACCCTACTGTAATCGTGAGACAGTGGAGCCCGCTCAATGTCACTCCAACGCATGCCAAGAGTCGTTCGTCCCGAGGCGATGGGGAAGGTGGGACCTCCATTGGTACTCGAACCCAACAAGACTGTCAATTTGCTTGTAGCTTTCCTCTTCGATCACAGACTTGTACGCTCGCTTCCGTCGTGAGCCAAATCGTGGACGACAAGTATCATGACAGAAATCCGTCCTCCACGAACAGCAGTGAACAGCGAGCATGCATTCGTGCGAAATCCGCAAACCCTGCTCTCGTCAAATTTCTTGGACTTCGACCACGTTTTTCGTTTCGCTACGAAGCGTGCCACTGTGGTAGGAACCCCTTTCGACCTGGTACGCCGGGATGAGGCCGAATTCAATACCGACATCCTCAGCTACCTCGATCTCGGAATCACAACCGATCAAGCTTGGTCACTGACACGCAGGCTCTGTCCTGGGTATGCCATAACCAGTATCCGGGGCAGCGTGCACTGATGGTCTGTCACCAGTCCGCTAGAGGTGTACGAGCGACTCTAATGAAGTGTGTCTGATGTAGTGGACATGATTGTGGTAGGTCAGAGGATGAAGACTTACAGCACGGCCACCGCAGAGGCCGCAGACGTTTTCGAAATCACCTGCTGACTGCTTTGGTCCCGGACTCCCGGCCCAACTACCATGCTGAAACATCCAGTTCCTGTCAAGCTCCGGTCCTTATAACAAGCATGTGTCCTATCATGCAGGTACCACCGGACTTCATAAGCGAAACCCAGGCGGGTGTTTGATTCGATGCCAGAAACATGTTTCTGCATAAGAGCCCAGAGCGATACCTTTCTTCGTTTAGTGCCTATAATTTCGTTGCTTGTCGATAAGCTAAGTACCAAGGATCGAGCATTGCCCACGCCTACTGTGGTACAGTGTGGTAACAATGCCATACTCAGGGCTACTTGCGATCGGCAAGTTCCTTGATCTTGCACGAGCCGTTGAAGTCTGGACCGCAGATAATGTTATATCCCACCTCATGTATGCGCAGGCCTCCTCCCTGTAGGGCTGCTTATTCTTCGATTCTCCTCCCCTTCGATATCTGCTTCCCTTCGTGTTGCTCTGGCGTCAACAACATTCACAGATGGCAGAACAAGATGTCAAGGTCAATCTCTTCATCAGCCGTCAGGGACAGAGCGTAAGTCCTTCGCAGTTGTTATATCAGCGACAGCTACATCCTTCCGCACCGCGTCGCAGACGAAGACATTACAAGCCACCTCTTCTTTGCGCGGATTTCAGCTAATTTATCTTCTTTGGTATTGAACAGGCACTCCTGTGGATCGAGGTTGTTGCCGCCCTTGGGTTCGTCGCCTTCCGAACGTGGATCCAGTTTCGACACAACAAGAAGCTTTTCAGCAATGATTATTTGATACTCGTGGCCATGGTGTTGCACTTCGTTTCAGCAATCATCTCGCAGCTCATGATACCGCCAATGTATGACGTACAAGAATACCTAGCCTATATGCTCGTTGGTCAACAGCCGCCAGGAGACTTCACGAGTCGAATGTTGTTGTATTTGAAGTACCAGTTCACAGTCCTTATTACATTCTGGTGTACTCGTAAGTCATCTTCGACGCTTTTCGCTGGCCGGTGCCCTCCCGACGCTCAGGCAACGTCAAGCGAGCTCCATCAATACGCTCTGCTAGCGGTGCCATCGATCAAGAAACACCGTCACAGGACTGACTGACGGTCATTATAGTATGGGCGGTCAAGATCAGTCTGCTGCTCTTCTTCTGGCGCATGTTCGACTCACTACATACGAGGATGCGTATCTTCTGGTACATTATGATGTTCGTCGTTGCATCGACACTGCTTACGACTATCTTCCTTCAACTGTTCGCCTGTGGATCACCCAGTGCCTTCTTCAAGCTTGGCGAGGAAGGCTGCAGTTCGGATCGCGAAATCTACCTATCGAACCTGGTCTTCTTGTTCAGTGCTGGGACGGACATCGCATGCGATGTGTTGCTGATCATTATCCCGTTTCCGCTACTTTGGAAACTGCAGGTCAACGATCGGCAGAAGGTGATTTTGGTGGTCATCTTCCTGCTACCCTTGATTCCAATCTGCTTCGGCATTCTCAGATTGGTCTTCTGCAATCCGACAAGTGGTACGGTGAATGTGGTGAAATTTACATTTTATAGCATGCTGGAGAACACCGCAGGTAAGATACTGACCTCGTATACCACCTTCGGGGCTCTGAGCACCTTTCATGGCCCACTGACAATCCAATAGCAATCATAACCGGTTGTCTGCCAAGTTTGCGCCTGTTCTTCCTCCAGAAGTCTGGCGCCACTACGCGCGGAACTGCTGGATACACTCACTCCGCCGGCATGGGTGGTCGTGGCGGTTCGCATACCTACGGCAACGCCAGTGCTCACGGCCTTGACACCAAGAAATCCATCTTCAGCTCCGTCACTGCGACATTGACCGGCCATCAGTCAGACAAGTCCGGCCACATACCATTGACCGATATTGGTGAGAATGGGAGACTGTCCGAAGAGAGTCGGTCAAGGATACTTGGTAAAGGAGAAGCAGAAGCCGCCGGCAATGGCGGGAGGAGTAGCCTACCGATGCAAGTAGTGGTCACAAGGGAGTTCAGTGTCAACGACGAAGAGCTGAGGCATAGTTCGAGAGGGGCTGAAAGCTATGGAGATGAGGAAAGAGGACATGGCCACGGAGTCGGAAAGGCTTGGTGATGTGCAACACGAACAAAGAGCGGGGATCAGCTATGGCGGCTACCAGCTTCATTACCTCTCATCGATTTGCGCCAAACACAAGCACATGGGTGACCTGCCATGCGTTTCAGAACCGGCCCTGAGCACCCAAACAACATGATCGGTCATATCGGGAACCGATCTCGACCTTCGAATGCATCGCACATGAGCAATGTTGTACAAGACCTTCAATGGCATCTGCATACATACACACACCGGAGCACATGACGTCTGATGACGGGAGAGGACTGATATTGCGTAGGCCGATCTGGTTAAACATGAGGGGTGATGATATGTATATGTTCAGTACGCTGAACAAGCTAATGAGAAACGGCCTTTTCTTCGTCTTCGAACTGATGAATAAAGTAGTGAACCGATGGCCATGGTAGTAGCAATGCCGGTTAGGGGAGCAGCTAACTGCCTAGGTAATGACTGGTACTAATTATGATGCCAGTGGGTGATGTGTGATTTCGTCATCGACACGAGTGGCGTTCGGCGGTCACGCTTTCCCAATCGTGGCGGCTGGCCAGCACTTCGTGGAGCTGTTCTGCCAGGAACACAGCCCTGGAGCTGCTTTGTCCAATATCATACATGGGAAGCGCTTTCCTACCAGAACAGATATCTCTGCCCGTGTACTACTTGATGGTAGGTACCTGCATATTTCTGCATGTCGATGAAAGTATATGCAGCAGCGACCATGATGCATAACTTTGCAAGCTTCTGGAAGCTTTCACTCAACTCAGGCGCCGAACAGCCGGTGGCTCCGAGTCCCAGCCGGTTGCACCTTTCACCTGCCGAATGTCGCCTAAAGCAATGAGGCAAGCTCGTTCTTGGCGCCTTCTTAGTTGCCTTAGGGTTTTCTTTCTTATCTCGGATTCGCCTCGCATTCGCTTGCTACGGCTTGTGATTCGATCATCGCGCAGGCCGTTGAACGCTGTTCCTGCGCAGCGCTGCGAAAGCGCACCAAGATTGGGTAATGTCGCGATAGTACGGTGGTACTCGCGCGCATTCCAGAAAAGCTTGGTGAGCCGTGAGCACAATGAAGCTGGGGTAGTGCTTGCCCAGCTCGGTTCCTGACGAAACCTACATCATAGCACCGGATCCAGGTTTTATGTTGCTTCTCGCCTTTGTGGCGTGGGTTCGTGGTCGAGACAATTCCCTGAATTCTTGAGCAAGATGAAGGCTGCAGTTCTTGCAGCGGTAACCGCCTTGACGAGCACCGCCTCGGCTGCTGGGCTCAGCTTCGACATTACAATCGCTGACGGTCTACTCAACAGCAGCACGGATGGACGAGTCCTGCTTCTGATTGCGCCAGCTGGAACGGACCCGCTCGACGACACCGATGTCGTGACAACACCAGATTATTTCTACGGCTACAATGCCTTCGGTGTAGCCAGTGGCGATACTCTTAAGCTCGAGGGCGGCAGCGATGTACAGCCATTGACATCTGTGTACGGCTATCCAAACGTGAGCTTGGATGATGTTGAAGCTGGCGACTATACGGTGCAAGCGTTCATGAACGTCTATGAGACGGTGACGCGCTCGGATGGCTCGACGGTGACATTGCGCTTCCCTTGTGGAGACGGGGGAGAGCCTGTTGGTGGAACGGGTAGCTTGTATACGGAGGCTGTCAATGTGACCATCACAGGTGAAATTCAGGCTGTCGAGCTCACCTTCGACAATGTGACTGCGGTGGAAGACTTCACTGGTTCCGAGATCGGTGGGTGCGCCCAAGCAAACTACGAGGACTGGGAGCAGATCAGATACGTCAAGATCAGGAGCGAGGTGTTGTCCTCGTTCTGGAATCGCGACATGTATGTCGGCGCCAACGTGCTGGTCCCAGCCGGCTACGATCCAGAAGATACAGAGACGCGCTACCCTGTGATCTAGTGAGTTCCTCCTACTGCGAAGCTTCATTTCGGATTCTTTACTAACCAATGGTTCAGCCATCAGGGTCACTGGCCTGGTCCGGGCGGCCTTTACGGCTATTCTCCGATAGCTGTCGGCCAAGCAAACCTCGAATTCATCGACGCTTGGAATAATGGGACAGTGACCAACACGACTGACCCAGCCCCGAAAATCATCATCATAACCATCCGGCACGAGACCCCATACTACGATGACTCCTATGCGGTCAATACTGCTAACCTCGGACCGTACGGAGATGCCATCAACGACGAACTCATCCCCTACATCGACGAGCACTTCAACACCATCGCCGCTCCCTACGGACGTATCCAGGATGGCGGGTCTACTGGCGGATGGGAATCTGCCGCAAACTTGATCTTCCGGCCAGACTTGTTCGGAGTGTGCTTCTCGAGCTATCCTGACAGTATGAGCTTTAACCGCCACCAAGATATCCAGCTATACACAGCCGCGAACGCATACACTTTGGCAAACGGCAGTGATGTCTATTCTATTCGGGAGGCCATCAACGACACATTGGTCAACGAGATCACCGTAGCTCAGGAGAATCACTGGGAGCTCACATACGGCACTAACAGCCGCGCTTTCCAACAATGGGACGTCTGGAATGCTGTCTTTGGTGCGCAGGGCATCAACAGCTACCCTCTGGAGCCTTGGGACAAAGTCACTGGCGAGATATACTCTGAGGCTGTTGAGTACTGGAAGCCAATGGACTTGGCCCTGTGGGTCACCACAAACTGGGACAATGAATTGAACCTGGGCGAGGTCCTCGCAGACCGGATCTTCATATACGTTGGCAGCTGGGACAACTACTTCCTCAACGAGGGCGTTATGGAGTTCCGAGATCAGGTCGATGCACTTGGGGGCGAGGGCTGGGCGAATGTGACGATATTCGAAGGCAAAGAGCATGGCGGCAACTATCAACTTCGCACCACCTGGAATTATTTACAGTTCGTCGTGGACTGGGTTGAAGCCCATGCTCCAGATGGCGAGACACCTCTTTCGCCAAACGTCACAGTAGCAACATCCAGAGGCAACAAATGGGAAGACGTGATCGCGGCTGGAGGACACCAAGCAGCTCTGGACAGGCAAGCGGATCCAGAGTTGACGGCCTCCAATGGAAACTTCGTGGCTAGTGTCGGCAGGTGGGATTCTGGTGTCAAGTTGGTGGCACAATGGGTGGTTGACGGTGCGCCCGAGGGAGACTCGATTACTGTCACGCAAGGAGAAGAGTTGACCTACCAGCAAAGCGGAAGCGGATGGAGTGGCTGGAGCTCCTGGGGCGGCAGCAAGGGATCACTTCAGCTGCTCGTGACTGGCACGAAGGGGGGGTATGTGGACGAGACGAGAGCAAGTAATGTTGTCAGCTTGTGAGCTATATGGGAGGATCTTACGCTAATCTCATAATGATAATGCCATACGGCTGCTCAGAAAGAAGCTGTTCCGCGAGTGAAGTCGAGGCGACCAGGCTTGTTGGAGACCAAACTCTTTCTGAGTATTTCCACACTGCTAGCCTGACTCCATCAGATAACACTGACTGTTCAGCGACGACACGATTGCTCAAATCCAATCACTGGCTCTGCACGCAGTCCTCGACGACCCGGTACGAGCCGAGAGGATATCACATCTGGCGAGCGTCTCCTCAACGCTGCACTGAATCCATGACACAGCTTCTGCCTTCGCCTCCCGATCCTACAGCATTGGGCGCCTTAGTCAACCTTAATCCCTTCCTGGCCCAAGCCATCCTCATCCCCAAACCGGAAGCCCGACTCGCGGTCACCTCTCTTCCATGGATATCCGGCTAGCACGTCCTGTATCCACAACGGCCAGCTTCTGATATTCTTGTACCTGACTTGATCCTTGGGCACGAATATCTGACCAGATCGTCCGGAAAGAACTTGCTCAACGATCAAGTCTGTCACGTTGGTCGGTGGATCCGGAATGATGCCGTGCTTGGCCAGCTGGGGCTCTGCGGCTTTGGTGATGCCTGTTGAGTGCCAGGAGGGATGGACTGAAGTCGTGTTGATGGAGTGACCGGCGATGCCGTGGCGAGTGAAAAGTTCGGCGCGAAGCCTGTGAAGCGAAGGTCAGCATACACTCACTGGTCAGGGCGATGACACCTTGCGACAGAGGATGTTGAAGCTGACTTTCACCTACCATCGTTCAGGTAAAGAGCGCCGACCTTGCTAACGCAATAGTCGAGCAGACCGGGTGCAGCAACAAAGCTGGCCATTGAAGCAATGGTTACTATATGTCCCTTCTGTGCAGCCAACATGCCTGGGAGGAACTCCTTGATGAGAAGGAAGTGCGAGGTCAGATTGACCTTCATGAGCCGGTCGACAGCCTGAGCAGGTGTAGTCGCAACGAGCTTGCCGTTTGCTATGAGAGAGGTGCTGTTAGCATATGGTCCCACTGCGCGGAAAGAAGGCACGTACCGATTCCTGCATTGTTGATCAATACAGTTGGGTCACCGTGAGCGCTGCGGATCTCTCCGCAAAGGTTGATCAACGCCTCGAAATCGGTCACGTCGCATTTGTAGAAATGCACATCTCGTACTGAACGATTACATTAGCAGTTAGCCCACCACTCGAATGTAACACAACGACATACACCTTTCGAGCTCCGGCGGGAAGTCCTGGATGTCGAGTGCAATCACTCTCGCCTTGGTCGCGAAACTCTTTACCATCTCGTATCCAAAGCCACTGTACGAAATTCAGTGAAGGACCCCAGCGCCCTGAATACAAAGTAAATACCTGCTACCACCCGTGATAACGACCAGCTCGCTCTTTTGAGCATCGCCGAATCGCCAGGGTGCACCTGGTCGTCGAAGATACCAGTAGTTTCTGGCCCATCGGTCAAGCAGTTGACTGATGCGGCCCCATACCCCCAGAGCAAGCAGTACCTTGAGCAGCTTCACTGCCTGGGCCAGTTTGATGTCGCCATTCTTGGCCAAGATGTTGTTGCGAAATGGAGCAAGGACCTTTTCGCGATATTGAGCCGGGGCACGGGTCAATAGGTAAAGCAGAGCTCCGCTAAGGAGAGGTTCGCCGGCAGTGTAACGCAGAGCAGTGACTGGCAAGAGGGCTGCTTTCACCACTGTAGCTGCCATCGTTGACTGTATGAGCCACAGTGTTCTGTGGATGTCGACAGAGTTGAGTAGGCATCCACGAAGGTTTTGAGGAGAACGAGGCAGGTGCGTAGAGGCCGAGGCTCATGCCATTGTTCAAACGTGGCGCGGCCATGTCTGATGCAGGAGCGGGGAAGGAGCGGCAAAAATCGATTCGCGAGACGCGTCTCAATCAGCCAACAATCACCTGTGTCCAGACACGGCAACATTGATGAGTGTTTTCGAGCTCTTGAAGTTGCCTCGGATTCTGCCGCGGGGTATACTCCACGCCCTGGATGGCATATCCGACGCCTATAAGCCGATCTTGTTCGGTAAAACTGTGGGTCCAGGTCATGCTTACCTCGGCGAGGTCATAGTTGAGTGACTCGACAGTTCCTTTGAGGTCGCCCATAGCTCTGTGTTGGGTCAGGGGAGGCACAGCGTCGTTACTCGACCGCCATGACCTAGAAAGCGTCCAAGAGATCAATAGGCCTATAGCCAGAGACTGCATGCTCATCGGTCCTTTGAATTAGGCATCCACCAGCAGAGCACTCCACGGATGGTGCTCAATTCCCCGTCTGGTCCCCGCAGTCACCAAGCCCGATTGCTTCCCAGAGCTTCACCGAAGAATTCCAAGCTCAGACTACTTACAAAGTTCTTGAAATGGCCCTTCCTGAGTGGCACTTCGACCACCAAATATTCACTTGGCTTCTCGTGTCATGTCCAGGAAGGGGTGCTGGCTCATTCAGTAGACCATGGAAGGGCTTCGGACACTCGACTATCTGCTAAAAAGGCGCTTCGTGTCACTGTTGCTTCATGTGAACCTTTTCAAGCCCGATCAACAGCACTGTTCATCTCAGAGCTCATCACGAACCCGGTCGGAGACCCTTTTGTTGCCAAAGAGCCCCGATTTCTCCAGCCAAACTTGTCCAGCTCTTCCACCAGCGGCCTTACCCTCTAGGATTCCCTGCAGGAAGGAGTCCACGTTTTCCGCTTCGATCTCCCAGTCTTGCGGCATTGGGTATACCTCCGAGTTGATGACTCCTTCCACCGATAGCGCCGGCAGCTCCAGCTTCGGGTCGAGTTCTAGTGCGCTGAGCAGTTCTGGATTCTGGTCTGAGTTGACTTGCACGAAAGACACATAGTCCCGCCACCTTTTCGCCGAAGATTGCACCAGATGGGCGACTTCCTCTTGACTCTTCTGGAACACGTATGCGATTGGCTTTTGAAGCTGTCGTCGTCAACAATCGTGTTCAATTTGGTCGTACTGACTTACAGAATACAGTAATTGAACTTTTCTCCGATTGAACCTATGAACAGCTTGCTCCGCGCACGAGTCGAGCCAGCTGGCTACCTTGGAGACATCATTGAGGTCCCCTCCGGTTAGTCGTGACCATGGTAGTGGTCGTCGAAGGTTCAAGAGAGCGTATGACGACTGTGCCCGCTTATAACATAGCAAAGCTGGTGACGGCCCAAGAGCCTCCGTAAGGAATCCATTGACTTCACCCACCAGGAGTCGCCGGGGGTACGAGTCAGCGATACTCAACGTGAGTGTCTCCAGACCACTGTCGATTCCCGAGGAGATCACGATGTTTGAGTCAGAGTCGAGAAATGCTTCCAGATCTTCGACCGAACTCAGGATCCTGACTGCTGGCTTCGTATGCCGTTTTAGAGCGGTGTATATCCTTGACATGGTCAGCTTAGCCACAACAATGGACAGCATTCCTACGCTGCAGCATCTCGCGGTCCCCTATACCTCACGGTTTCTGTATCAGGTCCGAAGATTCGGATAGTTGGCCAGCTGTGAATGCCTAGCTGTGAGCATCTGTCTGTCCAAGCCTCATTGCAGCAATCGACAGTTGCAACAAGCGCTTTGACACTTGCTGGAGTGCTCTCCTCAAGAGCGACTGCCACTGTCCGTAATGCTGCTGACACCTCCTCGCATGTTTGACATCTACTTTGTCAGTACCATGTAGTATATCCGTGGCTCGCAACTTACGACTGAGACTATCGAGCCGTCAATTTCTGCCTACCGATAGCCAGTGACACCACACAAGAGAACGAAATCGCTTACCGTTTGGACTGTATCAAATTAGTCTATGGGCCAGCATACGATACTGGACGTCCTTACATGATATCAGTAGAGGCTGATCTGCTTGCAGAGCCGCATCGAAGTCTTCCAGACTGATGTACTGTTGGAGAGCACTCTCGGCCCGAGCCAGCCACGCAAGTGAGCTCAGCAAGGTGATCGAAACGCTGTAGCTCCTAAGTATCATGGTCGGCAACATCTTCGTTGTCCAACACCAGCAGAGCCAACGACGACGAGGACGAAAAGGCGATGCATTTGCAATCCTGTCCCATCACAGAATGCAGTCAGCATTCAGTCATCTCATTACTCAACAGTCGCGCATCATTGCTGCTCGTCGGCCATGAAACACGCTGAAACACATCGTGGTAGTACCCTGGTTTCAGGAGACGCGGCCTTGGCCCCTTGCGCCAAGCCTCTTTCGAATGCATACCACAGGCTTACTATGCTCCCTGCGATAAGCAGATGGGGTACAGGTCATCGTTGTCGTCGTGAAGACGTTGCTAGCAGCTGTGCAAAGTCGACCACATTGATTGCCTGTGACGCGCCTGTGATCATCATAGCGATCATGCTCAGGACTCTCACCGCGGCCTTATGGCCGCGCACTTGCCCAGACTGAGTGTCGCGAAAGCGACCCAGGAGCCTCTCGCCGACGCAAGAAACCCTGATCTATGTCCGCCACACACCTATACCACACATCTGATATCGCTCTCGCCACTAGTAATCTATATTCCCTCCTTCCTCAGCACATCCGAGATATCCCATTTGCAATCCACGCCACTCAGCGCATTCGAGCGCTCCTCAGTCGCCGACTCCTCCGGCGCACAATCCTCTAACGCCACCACTCGCACTTCGTCGTCCACATCATTATCCGCCAACTCATCGCCGCACGTCAGATGCATTACCGAGCGAGCCCGTCAATTCCAGTCGCTATCCCTGGATCCAGCCCATATCGAGCCGCTGCAACTGGTCAAGTACGGCGCCGGACAGCAGTACCACGAGCACACGGACTGGTTCACGAGTCCATCTCAGGCGACCTGGGAGGAGCACGGCGGCAATCGACTGAGCAGCTTCTTCGCGTACGTCGAGGTCAGCGACGACATTATCGGCGGTGGGACTCGGTTCCCATTCTTGGATGCGCCTGGTGCTGAGAGGCACGGGGAAGGCCTCGGCACAGGCGTGTTTCGTGATCCAGCTATGGGACTCGGGCCTCCCGGGGGGCCAAACGCGACTGAGAGGGCGAAGCGTGAGGAGGAGTGGTGCAAGTGGATTGACTGTAATGAGCCTTGGGAGAATGGGTTGACGTTTCGGCCTGTGGAGGGGAGTGCAGTGTTCTGGGTGAACTTGCTACCAACAAAAGGCGGAAAGGCCAGAGTGGGTGACGAAAGGACCGTACATGCGGGACTGCCTGTGCTGAGGGGTCGGAAGATGGGTATGAATATCTGGACCCGGGAGGGGAGGATGAGTGGGAAGTACCGAGGAGAGTGACTCTCTTAGGCGGCTTTCGTACCAGAGTCCCAGTACCATATGTCCAAATTGCTCGGTCCATCAATGTGGTCGTCGAGAGAATGCTGCAAATCACGACCTGTGCTGATGTAGTGAGCCTTGCAGCACTCTGTTGCCGGATTTCACACCTGCAAGTTAACCCCAAGGCAATCGACGTGAGGCACGACATGGCTTATCGACAACGTTGCGAATGTTGTCCGAGCATGTCAGTCGATGAGGCAGTTTCCGATGGCCTTTTCTGTTAGGCCCATCTCGACCATCGCTATCGAGAAAGCACGGGCGATATCCCATTCGCCGTCTTCGTTCGGATGCAGCCCATCCCACCCGTCTGGACAGTAATCGGGCTGACAGCCGTAAACACGATTGAGATGCACCAGTTTGATCATACTGCTTGGCTCACCCTTGTGCTCGATCCTGGTGATGTTCCCGATCAACCTGCGATTATACTGTTCCGTCACATTCACAAGATGCTCACGAGTCACCGACTTAGCCAGTTCTGGTGCGGGACAGTCGCTACCATGAACCTCAGATCACTTTTGACATCTCTGGCGTTGTCGACGAACTTCTCGAAGTGCTCCATGAGTTCATCGGCAGCCGCACCCATCCACGACAGGTCATTGAAACCCATCATCAGCAACACCCAGTCTGGCTGGTGGACTTTGACCCAGCCGGCGATCGTCAGCTCGCTCCAGCTCAGGGGCCGACCCCATGCAGAGGCGTGGGCGCAAGAGCCGGCCAGAAACTCTGGGTCAACACCGGCGGCATACTTGCCTTTCATGTGGAAGACGGTGTTTGGATTATGGTCATCGAGGAAGGTGCCATTGAAAGGGCCGACGAACTGAGGCGTGACGACGGAAACTGAGGATCGTAGGTATTGCCAGAAGCGATAGCGCCAGGTGTATTGACCGTCCTTGCCTTGGGACATGGAGTCGCCGACTATCATCGCTCGAAACGAAGGGTGAACGATGGGCTCTTGCTCGGCGGTACTTCGGTCTGATGCCGATGCTGATAGCACAGCGGCCGAAGCTGCGGAAGAGGAGAGTGTTGATAGACTGACCGCTATCGCAAGGACGAGCGAAAGCCAGCGATCCCAGCCATAAGTGGCGACCATCGTGACGCACAACAACAACTGTCGCCCACAATCGTCTAACGACGCGCAGAGCTCAAGACGTCAAGTAAGACATGACAGAAGGATGGGATCACTCGCCTGCGCAAAGTCGGGAAGTACAGATAGCCGTAGTTCCAGATATGTACCTCTTGGGTCTATTGTATAGCGGCATGTGGCTGGTGATCCCGCGCATCACGCAGAAGTTGGCGGACCAGGGGAGTTCGCGTGGTTCGTGAAGTGTGGCAACAGCACACCTTGGCGATGATAATCATTGGTCGGAACCCAAAATCTACCTCGGTCAGCACAATGGTCATGGATTGTGAGGTTGTATCTGGCGGGGCACTACTGTAAGCGAGCATGAACTTGTTTGCAAGAGGACATCCGCTCGCATTCCAATGATGATAGTCAATCGTTCGACTCGTTGTCAGAGCTGTCCATGATCTGCGCTTCGGGCATATTACCGCCGGGGAACGCGAATCAAAAGTCCACGTGGAAGACGCCAGGAACACTTTCGCGCAACGTTAAGAAGGATATGTAGCTCTATGGTCAAGTCGGGAGACTGCCGTAAGGGAAGCAGCGAACTTCTTCGTTGATCAATATCGACGCTTCTCAACAGTCATTTGACCATACTTCGAGCCTTCTGATGTTCCCTAACTGACTGGTCTACAGAGTGTACAGGAAGTCAGGCCTGTGTTTATGTTAGCAAATTTGGAGCGCGCTGAAGCCTGAGAACACCAAACATACCTCCTGTCGCCAATCAACGCAATTTCTGCGGCTGACTTGCCCTGTACAAGGTGATCCCTCTTGCCGGCCACTTTGGCAGCGTTCTCGCGCACAAGCAGAAACCTGTGCACGATCGAGCCACCAAATAAGAAGACTGCAAGGAATCCCATGCAGATGCCGTGACCGGGAAGAAAGCGTGGGGCGTCCTTTGTCTGATATACGTTCGAGCCAATGACGCCCTGCATGTTGGACCATCCGATGACGATGCCCATAACAATTGCTCTCTTGAAAGTGCCGTTGGTGTTGTTCGCCGTCCAAGCAATCGTTAGCGGCACACATGGGTAGATCGCACCGGCAGCGAGGTACAATGCGAAGTACTTGACGCCGGAAGATACAGGAGACATCAGTAGGATGAATCCAAGTATACCGGTTCCGGAGGTGGCCATGGTACAGTAGCCGCGCTGGCGTGTGCGATCAGCAATCCACGACACTAGTACCGTGCAACAGGCGGCCACAAAGTATGGCGGAACCGTAAGTAGCTGTGCTTTCGTTGAGGAGTACCCTAGTTGTCGCACAATGGTAGGTAGTGACAGCGACACGGCATACAGAGAACAGCCATTGCCCATGAACATGCTTGCGGTAGTCCACGTCTTCCAGTCCTTGAGGGCCTCCCTGACTGAGGACCACTTAAAGCTCTCGTGCTCTGCAGAAGCTTGTTGATCGTCCTTCAGGCGGTAGTAGACTCGCAGTCGGTCTTCCTGGCTCAGGAACTTGGCTTGGTCGGGGAAGTCGCGGACCATGAAGTAAGACGCAGCTCCGATCACTACCGTCACGATGCCTTCTAGGATGAAGATCCATCTCCACCCAGCTTTACCAGCAACGCCGTCCATCTCCGCGATGCCAGCAGCCAGGAGGCCTCCGAACGATCCTGCTGCTGCTGCACTGGAGAAGAAAATAGCTGACCTCAAGCCGAACTCTCCCCTTCGGTACCAGCAAGACAAGTAGAATTGGCAGCCTGGGAATAGGCCTGCCTCAGCCATACCAAGGAACCACCTAGTGGCTACGAGCCCGCCAAAGTTCTCGACAAAGCCAATACACATGCAGCAGATACCGAATACGACGACGATCGACGAGATCCATATCCGTGGTTGCAGCTTCTTCAGAAGGACGTTAGAAGGGGGCTCGAAGATGCTGTAGCTTATGAAGAAGATCGCTAGGGCCAGGTTGTATTGACCGGGAGTGATCTTAGTATCTCTCTCGAGACCAATAATGCGGGCATTGCCTATGTTTGTCCTGTCCAGGAAGCTGACGAGGTACAGCAGACATAACCTGTCACACGCCTCAATAACTGATCTTATCTCCTAGGGGGATCACCTAACCATGGCACCAGGTACATATCGATTTTCCACACAAGGGCTCTGTCCTAGAAGTGAATGAGCCAATGGTGTTGGCAAGACAAATAGCCACGCACCTTCTTCGCTCGCTCTTCCTCCGATAGCCCTGCATCTGGATGTGGAGGTACATTCTCGTCAACCTCCTTCGTGACCTCAGCGATGGGTGGCTCTTTGATGTCGTCCATGGTGAAGGGTTAAGTCAAGTCGCGCGACGTGTCAAAGGGGTGATACAGATGGGCGCGCCGACTATTTGTAGAATGCCCACGTCTTGCCCTATCTCTAATCCAACGTCCAGACCATTTGTTGCTGTATTCCCCTGCCTCGGATGTGATAACAGCTCGACCCTTCGACCACATGGCAGTGGACATCCCATCGAGTTGCATATAGTACGCGGACCAGTAGGATGGTAGCCTTCCAGCAACCGTTTCGGCGTTTTGCTGCTCTGGTAAAGATCCGCTGTAGTGCCAAGTCGCTGTGGCTGGGCTTGTGTGAATGCTTCCCCCGCAAGCCAAGGTTTGGGCCCCGGAGACCCCTGGAGCCTGGATCTTCCCCGGAGCCAGATAGACGGTGTCTCGGAGAATGGCGACGAGAGCGCATCGCTGCTGAGCAGCATTGAAGCTCTCATGCGCCAGGAGTATGTCTGCTGTCCGTCAAGGTACACAGACTGCGCAAAAGGGCGGAAAGTCTTCGCCATATCACTCCTTATCTTCTCTGCTCCATTGCCAAGAGGAGATACCAGAGCCCAAGAAACTGAAGGACTCCCGGCCAAGGCTCGGCTTCCCAAGCGATTCCATTATTCATCGCAAATATTCATCTTACCAACAGCTCGGGGATTGCCATTTTCGCCGTTTCATTGTGCCTTCCTCTTTGGTCAGGATATCGATGACATGTTGAGTCTCGATGAATGGAAGAGGCGTTTCGCATCACCAGTTTGACGGGTGCACATCAGGCATTCCATTTGCTGGACAACGACAGCACGCTTGCGCCAGACCTAAAAACGTCGTGTGGCATTGACATTCTGCCGATCGATCGGACCCAGTGACTCGGAATGCGCGAGCTCCTCATCGTAGTAATGTTGTCGAAACATGGAAATCAGCACGAACAGCAAGAGCTACCTTATCAAAATTGATTTTCTGAACGCCAAGCCTCGAGTGACGCCTGCCCCGGTGTAGCAGCGCACGGTGTATCCAGAGTACAACATTCGGTATCATCAAATGCATTGCATGAGACTTCACATCTCGAAGGCTGATGCATACAGCTTCACCCATTGGGGCGCGACAAGTACTGACAGCCTGGTCTCCTGCCGTCGTTGAAACCCTTGACGACAGCAGCTGTCAGAGTATAGGTGTAGGCAAGTAGGATTCCATCGCCCACTCCAAATCTAGCATTCCTCACGCTATAGTCGTATATATATGAGCTTCGCCATGTTGGAAATCAAGTGCAGTGGCATCTTCAGTCGTCACGGACTATGAAAACGTTCAAGGGCCGCAGGACGCCTTGGAAACCGGCGTTCCTGCGAGTGTTCTCAACACATACTCATGTTGCGCATTGTTAGACCACATCTGAAATGCTCAGCAGTTCGACGATCATTTTGACAACGTCACCCCTCTGAGCTCTGTCTACCAGCCTACCACGCGCCAACAATCCCAGCAATCGGCAAGTCAATCCCAGTCGTATAACTCGCACCCTCCGACAACAAATACACATACGCACCACCCAGCTCCCTCGGCTCCGCTAACCGCGGCATGCCACCATAGTACCGCATCTTATCAGCCCAATCCGGGCTCTTCTCAACATAGTAGGTCATAGCCGTCTTCACAAACCCCGGACTCACCGAATTGACCCTGATCCCACTATGCGCCCACTCCATGGCCAAAGTATGCGCCATGTTCCGCACCGCAGCCTTGGTGCCTCCGTACGGCGCGGACGGCGCGGCTCGGTTCGGCCGGTAGCTTGTCATGGAGGCGGTAAAGACGATTGAGCCCTTGACGCCCAGCCGTTGGAAGGCACGCGCGGCGGCTGTGGCGCAGAAGTAGGCGCCATAGACGTTCAGGTTGAAGAGGTCGTCGAGCTGGGCGCGGGAGAAGTTGAGAGCGGGCTGGTGCTTTGTCATTCCGGCGTTGGCGACCATGCCGTGGATCGCGCCTGACCTTTCGATTATCGTGTCGATGGCGGCGGTGACGGACTCTTCTGAGGTGACATCGCACTGGATGTATTGCAGACGAGCAGTACCTAGTCGTTTCTGGAGGGCGGCGAACTCTGGGCCTGGGGCATACAGGTCCAGGCTGTAGATGATCGCGGCGTCGTTGGCGAGGCAGACCTCTGCGATCCCGAGGCCGATGCCCCTATTGGCGCCGGTAATGGCAATGACCTTGCCCTCGAGCGTAATCCGCCAGTGGTGGTCATCAGCGGGGCGTGTTGAAAGAGGTGTGGTCGGCGATGAAGGCAATACTGGAGCGTCTGTGGTGGCGGAAGGGTTCTGGGTTGGGGGTGGTGAGCTATTGCTTTGCTCGGGATCGATTGCAATTGGTGGCATGGTGCGTTAGGTTGCTCTGTAGGCTTGAGATGGTGCTTCGTAGGATGGCAAGTCACTGCAAGTGTATGCGTTGAGGTCCTCCTTGCGTTGTGAGTGTTCTTTGCTGGTCGAACACAAGATGCTCGCTCATTTTACTTGCTTCATATACACTTTCCCCCGGACTATACTCCGCCAAAAACACCTTTCGCCCACCCGATCGGAGAGAAAACGCGACACCATCCTTGTGGCTCTGCGTCAACTCGATGCTGCCTTCGCACGGAAGCCCGTAACAGCTGATCGTGAGTCGGGCACGATTGCCGGCCAGGCCGACCCAGTCACCCGGGAGCGGGAATGGTGCACGTAACGAGGAAGCGTTCAAGATGGACCTGGAGCTGGAGCTGGAGCTGGTCGGGATGTTCGAGGATCGATCATTCCAATTCCGGGCATGCTCGGCACCGTCTGGGCTTGGCCTTCTGGGGGCATCCCCACACGAAGAGGCCCCGAAGCGAGCACTTGGCTATCTATGGATGTCTGCGCTCGAATTTATCATCGCGAGAGTTCGAAGTGCGAATTCTCCGAATGAATGCTTGGAAAGATCTAAGTAGTTGCCTGGCACACGAGTCAACGTGCACCAACACAGTCCCGTCCCCTAAAGGCTCACATTTAGTTCTTTCGTCTCCGTAGTATGGTGTTCAAGCCAGCATATAGCACCACTCCCAGACCCAACAAGGCAGTGATAACGCCGAATCCCATAATGTACTGCGGCTTATCCTCGATCGGGAAGAGGTATGCTCCATAAATTTGGGCCTGTAGAACACGTTAGTCGTCTCGCACTGGCAAGCGTCGACGCAGAGAACTTACCAAGTTGCCAAATGCATTGACCAAGGCCAAGGCAATAGCGCGAACTTCAGCAGGCATATCGCCAAAGGTGCTTGACGCATAACTCAAACTGAGAGCGTTGGCAGCCCAGATTCCCGCAGCCATAATAACCAACATGGCGTACCGAGCCGTGAAGTTGAAGACAGTACAGACCACAACCCCAGTGACCCATGAGACCGTCAGCCATCCCGCAATCACGTAGCCACGATAGCTGACGATCCGGTCGGAGAACCAGCCTGTGACAAGTGTGGTCACAAAAGCCACAGCGAAGATGGGTGTTGTCATATACTGAGCAGTGATTCGGTCCGTATAGCCGAGACCATTGACGAGCGTAGGGTAGAAGTAGGACAATGTGGCAGACCCAACGATGACCATGTAGCCGACGATCAGAGCCCACATTCTCCAGTCTTTGCAGGCCATGACGATAGACTTGCGCTTGCCCATGACTTCGTTAGGGTCCGAGCGGACATTGACGTTGTCGGCCTTGAGGCGCATGGTCGCGATGTAACGTTCTCGATCGGTCAAACGGCTGGAGTTGGCGGGAAAGTCCAGGAGGAGGAAGGCGGCGATCCCTGCGAAGCCGATCGTGGCAACACCTTCGACGATGTACAGCCACTTCCATCCACGGATTCCGTGCGCGCCTTCGAGGCCGCCAGTGATTGCGCCGGCCAGAAGACCTCCAAAGGCACCGGAGAGGACAGCTGCGCTGATGTACACAGCGAATCGCTTGGATTGTTCTTCTTTCTTGTACCTAGACACACTGTCAGCTCTTGTTGCTTCAGAGCGCATTAGAGTTGAAGGCTTACCATGAGCTGATGATCAAGAGAATGCCTGGAGCGAAGCCAGCCTCGAAGACGCCAACGAAGATCCGTAGAACGACGAGATGCTCGAATGTATTGACCGCAGCCATGACGCAAGTCAGAGCCCCCCAGATGGCCATAATTGTCGGCAAATAGAGAGACGGCTTCCATCTAACCAAGATCATGTTCGAAGGAGCCTCGAACACGACGTAAGTTACAAAAAACACGACCAAAGATATGCTGTATTGATTCGAGGACAGACTCAAGTCGTCAGCCATTCCTGCCAGGCGTGCGTTGCCAATGTTCGTCCGGTCCATATAGCTGAAAAGATACCTGTGCGGCAAGCATTAGATCCAGAACAGCTGACGGAGGGGTTGCATGCACGTACATCAACCATATGGTGGGGAGAAGAAATAGATCTATTTTTCGGACGAGCTTTTTCTCTTCTTCGGGCGTCCACGATTCCATGGCATCTTGGTCTGAGCCTTCGATCTCAGCAAGCTCAGCGTCGAGCTTGCCATGCGCTGGTTCGGTAGCCATGGAGGTAGTGTCTGCGGAACTAGTCCTAGAGTTGGCGTTGATGTTGTTCAGGTTATAGTCCAGGTCGGTGTCTGGCTGTTCGACGTCTGTGTGATGATTGACTTGTCTTGGCTCTTGATCAACGACCATGAATGTCGAGGTAGATGCTGGTCACTTCTCCTGAGGGGCCATGTTCAAGGAAGTAGTGCTTTATAGTAAATGCTACGAGGTCCAGATCTCGATAGCTGTCCAGCATCGTGGCCATGCCGTCCTCGTGTTCGACTATGCGAGAGCCGTGTTCAGCCAGCACCTGACCTGACCAGGTACGTCTCCGCGCTTTCAGTGCCCGTAACGAGGTGTTGCCAGGATAATGCGGGTTCCACGGATCTGATCCCCGATCAAACGCTGGACGCGGGGCCGACCATGGGCGGTTTCCGATATTTCGCGCCGTGGTACCACAATTTTGGGACATCAGGTGCCGATCTGATCCGTCTTGCCCCAGAATTTGCTTTCCGCTTATTGCTTACTCCGCGCTGGAGAAGCTTGGCGGAAAGACTCGTGACGGGCTCGAGACGAGTCAAGTCTGGGCGAGAATGGATTGAGATAGAATGGGATGGGATGGGGTGGGATAGAACGGATGAAGGATGGAGACGGGAATTCGATGCTAAAGTCCAGAGGCTGTCTTCGCAGTATAAACACCGCCCTTAAGTCGGAGAGAGCTTTTGGCAAGTGCCAAGCCGCCCCTATCAGGAAGTCTTCATTGAAGCGTCTTTCTGCAGGTGTGTAGGGCGATGAGGTCTTGTAGTCCAGCAGCCGCTGTTTCCAGAACGCCGAGGTATTGAAGTGACCGTAGAGCCATCAGTGATCTCCGAGTCCGTGGTAAGTGTTGCAAGAATCTGGCGGTAGAGACCTGGGAAGAATCAGTCTACATCTACTATTCTCATATGCTAGAAGCTGTATATGATCTCACCCTGTATGTCCGATCGACGAACCGTTTCATAAAAGGTGGACGTTCGTCCCAGCCGAATCCATGCCAGTATATGGTCAGTCTAGCCATATCATAGTCAGAGCCTACAGCTTCCGACTGCGAATACTCCACCACTTCTTCTCTCCCCTCTCCGGACTCTCCATCCCAGACGACACGCGGCCCGCAGCCACACTCTCCTCGTCCGCCCCAACCACCAGACTCGGATCCTCAAAATCCCCAACCTCCATCCACCGCCCCGTCGGGCTAAGTGCCGGCGGTGGGAAGACCCGACATAAGGTATAGTACACCCCACCAGAAACAATGAACCCGGTGAAGAAGTTGAGGCGATAGATGTAGGTCGCGCCGATGGGTACCTCAGTACCGACAGCACCAGCGAAGCCAACGACGTTGATGAGGATACCGCAGATGTAGGCGATGTAGCCGCGCCACTGGATGCCGAACTTGCCGTAGTACGGGCCATCGCTGTCGGCGTTGTAGAGGTCACGGATTTGGAGGTAGCCCTTGCGGACAAAGTAGTAGTCGATGATCATAGGCCCTGCGATGCTGGAGAGGAAGACGGAGTAGGCTGATAGGTACGTGGTGAAGTTGGATGCGCTTGTGAGAAATTGCCTATTTGGACAGTGTCAGTCAGCCTGGACCAGGAGCTCGGCGATAACAGGACAGACTTACCACGGACAGATGACAATACCGATCACAGCACAAATATACCCTCCTCGTCGAATATTGATGAAGCGAGGCAGCAGCGCAGTCAAATCAGTACCAGCGGAGATCGAGTTGGCCGCGATGTTGACGCCCAGTTGCGCCACAACGAATGTCGCTGCGATCAAGAATACCCCGGCGCGATCTCCAGCACTGCCTACACCGCTCTCAGGATTCCCATTCGTGATGAATTGCCGCATCAAGTCCAGAGGGTTCCAGACTGCACCAAGGTCCGGGTAGATCACAGCACTGGCACTGCCTGCGATGATTCCGATGAACGAAGTCAGACCAAAGCCCACCGGAATGGTGATCCCTTGCGGCCACAGCGCAGCACCAGGAGTCTTTGCAAATCTTGCAAAGTCAGGATCGTTGACGATGAGTGTTGCGAAGTTAGAGATGCTGGCCATGATACCACCGATGACAGCCCAAGCTAGGTTGGAACCAGTCGCAGTGGCGCCCTGCCGCACGATCGGGCCAACACCTCCGGCTCGGACGCAGCACCAGATCAACAAGCAGATGCCGCCAATGGGAGAGACGATAGCCTTGACCGTGAACAGGTGGCGAATCTTGTGAACTGGGAACCATATGAATGGAAGCGATCCCAGCCAGAACAGAATAAAACCGACGAAATAGTTGACGGTAGCACCCATGGACAGTTCTCTGGTCAGGTTCGGACTCTGACCGAATGAAGGCCAGATACTGGCGATCATTAAGAACACACATTGTCCTCCAATCCATCTGCCTTCCGTCAGTGGACATTATTCATCCAGCGAGGTGGTGAAACTTACGACTGTACACCGTACCAGATGCAAGCCATGACTGCTCGGTTGAGGACGGGCCAAAGGGAACCCCAGATGCCGAAGGAAGCACGATTGACCACAGGAAACCCGATATGGTACGTAGCGCCTATGCGACCCGTTGAGACGATGAAGAAGCCAGCAATCGAGTATCCGACCCAGACGCAGATCCATGCTTGCCACCAGCTCAAGCCGCTTTGCAGCGACGAGGCAGCAATCATCCATGTGTTGATGTTGAAAGAGTCGGCAATCCAAAAATTGACGAAGGAGATGTGCCTCCATTGGCGCCGTGCCGGCTCGACAGGCTTCAAGTCATGGTTTGTGAGGAACAGCTGCTTGCTTGAGAGGCCTGGCTCGGCGGCCGTTTCCTGAATACATGTCAGTGTGCGGTTTGCGAACACTCGTGCTTGCTACTGACCAGTCTCCTCACCCAAGACGAGGACGCCTTTGTGGGTTGTGACGGATATTCATCGTACGCTGCCATCTCTGCGGGAAACTCGTACGGCTGGGTACAATGCTGAAAGGGCAGCCACTCCTACCGTTGGGTGCCATTGAGAAAGTTATATCCTACTCGTGTGCCATCGTACCCTTCGTGTGCCAAGAGATAGAGAGGAGGAGGCACAGCGGGCCAAGCAGACCAAGAGAAGGCTTCACCAGATATGAGCCGCTGGAGGAGATTCCGCCGAATGAGAAGTCGCGTGAAAAATATGCCATGGTTCTAGTTTGAACTTCAAATGCTTGGACCTACCATTGATTGGAGATGTGGGGGATTCGATTTTTGTGTTACTCGATGCCATCGAGTAAAGGTGGGGACCAGATCGAACAGGTCTGGAGACTGTTCACAGGTGCTCCCATTGCCAACGCATTCCCTCGCCTTTCACAAGAATTCGATACCGCTTGGCATTTGTGTACTGACCAGGCACTGATAACGGCTGCTCGATACCCAAGTATGTGCCAACCCTGAGAAGAGGCGTGTGCAGCCTGCTGTGTAGACGCTGCAAAGAAGTAAGAAATGCCGAACAAATCGCGAGACTTCCAAACCACAACTTAAGCTGTACGCATCACGCGTCGATTGATCTGGGTCTGTCCGAAAAGTCTGTCTGCATGGCGCTCGGGGCAGAGTAGCAATGGTCTGAAGTATGATCGCAATGTTCCGCGAAGTGCACAGCCCTTGGATCGCACTGATGAAGAACAGCAGCGCGACGACATGTGCGCGTGGATGTCGACATCGACCGGTCACTCTCATGGCTCCTACGTAATATGGAACTCGGGAGTTTCCTCTGAGAATGTGGACTCGTCGTCTAACGTCCAATCCGCGGTCTTTGAACAAAACGGCTATGAGGTAAGCACCAGACCTAGTCTGTCGCGAGTGCACAGAAAATCATGATCTGCAGTCGACTGTTGTTGGGGGCTAGCTTACGAGTCAGCCATTGAGGATCTGAGATGGCCTTTTGCTAGCGGATGGACCTTCCGAGGTGCAATTGGCACAACTTAAGATTTAGAACAAACTCGAGGTGAGAAGCTACCTCATGTGCGCGCTGATCAGGAAGGGGCGTTGAGTTAAGTGTTTCGTGAGGAAGGCGCCAGCAACGCAACGCGCCAGTGTCGAGGTTCTTCCACGAGCAACTATCTTGCGATGTTGATGAATTTCGCGCGACTGTCTGATCACTCAAGGTCTAGGTCAGACGAACCGCCTATTGGATGGTCGGTTAGGGCTGAATTAGACCTGGCCGATGACGACGTTGGCGCCGGGAACCTGGCATTTACGAGTGCTGCATCCCGGCACCTTTCATGTCAATGGGCATACTAACAAAGCTTCAACCGCCCTTTATTAGGCAAGCCCTTCCCTTTCGCCGGGCTCGCGAACCGGTCTGCAGCATCTTCGACGTGCAAGAGGAATGCGACATCAGTATCGCGTAGAACCAGCAATCAGAGCCAAGTCTCGCTCACCTCTGCAGCTCTATCTCCCAAGTGAGCGGCTCTATCATCTACGTATGGTGTAGCGATTTTCGCAAGCGAAGGCGGTCAATTCCAAGACCGCTCGGGCCTTCAAAAGTCCTGCGGTCAACCTCAATATGAACCATCGGCGCCGATCAGCACTTGAAGCGGTCTCCAGATGCTAGTACAACGTGCAATTCAACCACCACATATGCTGGGCGACGCAAAGGCAAGTTCAGCGCCGCCTCGGCCAGTAGACCAGACTCAACTCGCGACCCGGCTCCCCGTGACGAGACCACGATATGCCTCCCAACCGTCGCTTCCTACACGACCGACCCGCGCATGGAAGCTAGTTGATGCCAATAAGATCTTGACGAAAAGGAAGTATGTCAAGAGGAAGCCCAAACCGGAGGACGCGAAGCAAAGCAGTACGGAACCAGATCAGACACCAGAACAAGCAAAGACCGAGTCCTCGGAAGACTACCGGTCTGTGAGAAGTCTCTCGTGGCCCAGCCCCGAAGCAGACACTATCCATACAGGAGGACTTAGAGGGAATCCATTCGCGTGCTACCCTTCCAATACACCTACTGTCCACCGGGCGCTGGACTTTCTGGTCAAAGAGATAGGTGTGAATGCTGTGCCTGGGACTGTGCACAAAGATGGCTTTTCCCCGAAAGCCGCGGCATTCATGCAGATGGGGTTCCAACACGATGCAGTGTTTCATGCTGTCGTAGCGTTCGCTCGAGCATACGACGAGGTCGCAAACACGGGCTCAACTGATCCATCTGCACCTGTGCTCTACCACCGAGGAAAGGCTACACAACTGCTTTACGAGCGCTTGAAGGACCCAGCGACCAGAGCTGACGATGCATCAATCTTAACCACATTTCTTCTGGTCGACAACTCATGGCGCTATGGAGAAGATGAGATCGGTAAAGCCCACTACGGAGGTCTTCTGAAGATGATCGAGATGCGTGGCGGGCTCGAGAACACCGACTTGCCTCCCGCCCTGAAAGCCTCCGTCGATTTCGGAAACGTGACCAACTTGGGTGATCAGCTATCAGAATCTACTGCGCCAGAGCTGCCTGACCTGAAGTACTGTGGTCACCCTTTCCCAGCACAAATGTGCGGCCTGATCGCCCGACTCCCCGAAGGCTACGCTCAAATCGCCATGCACGGCCAGCTGAGCTTGGAGACCATGGCGACTATCATCTCATTACGTGAATGGCTCACCGCCGATCCCGCTGAACGAACACCAGCTCCACACCGCCAGATTGGTGCCGCTCGACGATGCATGGCCTCCTCCAAACCGCCCGACGGCTCACGCGTCGAAGAAGCCGTATGCTTCGGCATCGTCATCACCGGCATGCGCTCTTTCCACGCACGATTTTCGCGCATGGATCAATCCTTTCTGGACCGCATCGTCACGCTAGGCGAGCAGTTTGACAAAGTCGCAAGCAGCAAAAAGAAGCACAGGATACCTGAACGAGAACACGTGGCGTATTTAACGATGGTAGCCGTTGAGGCGTCCGACAGGTGCATTGAGTTGCAGCCGCATGTCAAGAAGCTTGTGGATCTCCTCCTGGCGCGGGAAACTTTCGCGCGCTCCTGGGCGGGTATGGAGGCGGCGATCAAAAGGTTCTTCTGGGTGGACTTCGCGGCGGACAAGTGGAGGGAGTGCTGGCTGAAGCATCTGAGGCGTGTTGAGGAGGAGAAGCAGATTAAGAAGAGGCAAAGCAAGAGCCCTGGCTGAAATGTGCTATTAACGGGTGGAAACTCTGATCTGATCACCACAAGCAGAGTTCCCCAGCAACCACACGGCAGTCCATACTGAGCATACAGTCGATGGCCTCGATTGCGGGAAACAACGCCCGCTCGGAGGCGAGGCTAGACGCCCAGCAGACGCCTAGCGGAGACCGCGCGACGCAGCGGCCCCAACTCACTTGCATGCACCCAATTCACAATTTGCACAGTCGCTCGGACGATTTGGTGGTTGGCACCTGGCCCCCTAGGCAGCCTACGGGTGCAAGCAATCTCCAGCCGTCACCAGCCGCTTCCAAAACGTCTCCCAGGACCCCTGACCCGTCTGCTAAGAGGAACTAGCCAGAGCCGATCATTCCACAGAATATGTCCCGGGCCTCTGTTGGGAATTTTTGTTGAATGCTTCTGGATGTCCAATAAGCCAAGCCCAGGAGAAAGCGCTTCTCGCAGTCTCCTGTGGAAGATCATGCCACTACTACCAACGTCATGAGCGGCAGGATTCAGAGGTCAGAGTGGAGCTAGCTGGAAAGTGCAGGAAGTTCTACGCAGACGAGGAAAGCAGCAGGAATCCCAGAAAATGGGAAAACGTTATCGTCTTGGAGAGGACGACAGTGGTCTTAAGTGATGATGCGTCAATGAGATGAAGAGAGGTTTCGTCAGCATGAGGCAGCCATGAGATATGCATGACATGGTAGATTTGAAATCGAGTCATGTCTAGGAGATGACCACTGGTCACTTTGTAGTTGTAGTAGTGAGCTATCAACCATGTGCTATTGAGAGATCGGAACTTCTTAAGGCAACCACGCCCCACATTGAAGAGAAGTGAGGCAACCTTGCATAAATATTCTTCGCATTGACCACAGGACCACTGCACAACATTGGGACTATTGTGGCCTCTCCATTGATCGTACGACCGCAATTGCCACGTCTGGCTCCGGTGTCGCTCGCTAAGCTCTCTGCCTATTCCCGCTAGACGTAGATTGAGACAAACGTTTCAAGGAAGTCCCGGCGAGCATCGTGCCCCTTCGATGCGACCAGTCGCCTGCGAATTACATGTAGCCAACGGCGCTGTCGATGTCACTCAATAGCTTTCTGGATGAGATCTACAAGTCTCTGCAGAGCAAAGATGGCCAACGTATCGCAGACTTAATCCACCTGGATGTTGAAAGCCTGCCACCTCAGCGCCAGCAACCGTACGTCCAACTCAACGCCGAGCTCCAGAAGCAGTACCCAGCCAACAACGATGCGGCTCTACTTCAGCAATGCAAAGCCAGGATATCACAAGAAGAGTTCGGGACGTTCTCAACACCATTCTGTGACAGCATAGCACGCTACTTCCGTTACCTGCGCGACATCCAGACCGCCGACAATCTCACCAAAGCTCTCGCCATCCGCCAGCTGACCAGTCAGTGCGTCACGGCTCTGGGCGACTCACGCTATGGCATTGTCATGATCCCGATTGTCTTGTCATTCAGCCGCACGCTGGCCTCCATCGCGACCAAGCTCGATCGCAACCCTACGCTCATCCGCCAACACGCACAGAAACTTGGCGCCGGCAACACCGACTCGTCTACTCCACGCACCTCCTTCGTCGAAGACGCCGCCAATGTCCTCCGCGACGCCTTCATCAAATGCCTAGCCGGCAGTCCAGGCACAGCACGCACGTCCCGCCCACAAGCTGACGACAAGCGGATCGGCATCTACCTGACGGCCAACTCGACCCTGAAACTCCTCTTCCGCTGCCTCAAGCAACGTAATGCCCAACAAATCTTCTCCTCGATCGACGCCCAATCTCCGCCCCTCTCATTCTACCCCGCCGCCCAACGCGTCACTTACCTCTACTATCTCGGCCGCTACCACTTCGCCAATAACCACTTCCTTCGGGCTTCCGCCGCCCTCAACGCCGCCTACATCCAATGTCACAAATCCGCTACATCTCACCTCCGCCTGATCCTCACCTACCTTCTCGCCTCTAACCTCGTCATCGGCTCATCCCTCGCCCACAACTATTCAACACCCCACACGCCCAACCACTTGCCCCGATCTTCCTCCCCCTAATCTCCACCCTCCGCTCAGCGACATCGCACCTTCCACGCCATCCTCTCCCTCCCATCCCCACTGAACAACAACCAACCCCCAAACCCCATCGCGGCCTTCCTCCTCCGCCACCGCATCCACCTACAGCTCCTCAATCGCTTGGAGCCTTTAGTGTACCGCTCCCTCATCAAGCGCACTTTTCGCCTCGTCGGCTTCCCCGGCGGGACCGGCGCCGACAAGAAAATCCCCTTCCTCCGCCTTGCCTACGTTCGTGCCGCGGCGCGGTTCAGCTTCACACGCGCACCGATCGCGCCTGGTACTCTGCCACACACGGCACCCCTCGATTCGGATTTCTGGGATCTGGAGAACGCGCTGGCGGAGACGGGATTCGACATCGGCTCGGGTATTTACGACAGCAGCAATACCACCACGACTGCGCTGGCGGTGCAGGCGAATCCTTTCTCTCCGCCGAATAGTGAGGAAGAGCAGTCTCCGACGATGGCGGAGATAGAATCAGTGTTCCTCTCGCTCATCCAGCAGGGGTTCCTGAAGGGGTTTGTGCTGCATGTGAATCCCAGGTTTGCGATCCCGGGCGCGGCGCAGCGGGGTGGGTGGGCGAAGGCCGGGTTTCCGGTCGGTGTTTGGGGCGATTCTGGAGCGGGACGGGGTGGGGAAGCAGGGTGGATTGGGGGGTGTGAGGATGCCGGGGTGGGTTAGGGAGGAAGTTTTGGTTGGTGCTGGTAACTAGGATTCGCCATCATTTATTCTGATGACGCAGCCGAGCAGCAGCAGTCCAA